GAATATGATCCAACATGGTGCAGCATCTATTTTCCAGAGCAATGACAGTGGAGAAACTGATGCGGATCTGGACATTGAAGAATTGCTCAAAGAATCAGAAGAGAAAACGAAAGAGTTAAATGAGAAGTATGCAAGTTTGAACTTGAATGCCCTTCAAAATTTCACTAACGACGAGTCTGTGTACGAGTGGAATGGTGAAAACTTCAAGAAGAAAGAACCTACAGCGATTACCAATATAGGGCATGGCTGGATCAATCCTAGTAAGAGAGAACGGAAGGAGAATTACTCGATTGACATGTATTATAAAGACGTTTTGAACTCAGGTAGCAGATCAACACCAAGAAGCGGCCCGAAACCCCCAAAGCAACTCAACATTTACGATCACCAATTCTTCCCACCAAAGTTGATGGAGTTATATGAAATGGAAAAAAACTACTATAAAAAACAAACCAACTATAGCGTTCCTTTAAGAAGTGGTACTGCCAAAGACTTGGCAGAGCGTGAATTAGAGCAGAAATTGGAGCAAGAGGAGATTGAAAATTCAAGACCACTTACGGAGGAAGAAAAGGAGTTGAAGCAGGAGTTGTTGACACAAGGCTTCAACAACTGGAATAGAAAAGATTTCATTCATTTCATCCTGGTCTGTACTAAGTACGGAAGAAATGCGATTTCATTAATCGCCGCTGAGTTTGAAGATAAGACGGTGGAAGAAGTGAGAGATTACGCTCGAGCCTTTTGGACCCGATACGAAGAAATTGATGGATACGAAAAACTAATCAATCAAATCGAGCAAGGAGAAGAGAAGATTGCAAGAATTAAGATTCAGAAGGAGAGTCTCCGCAGAAAAATATCACTGTACAGATACCCACTTCAAGAGCTTGTTTTGAAGTATCCACCTGCTGCTACGAATAAGCGGACATTCACAGACGAAGAAGATCGGTTTTTACTCGTTCAGATGTACAGATTTGGGCTTGATCGTGGCGATTTATATGAGAGAATACGCGACATGATTAGGAAAAGTCCACTACTTCGTCTTGATTTTTTCTTGCAGTCAAGGACGACTGCAGAGTTATCCAGGAGATGCAACACACTTATCGCGTGTGTGTTAAAAGAGATACACCCCAAGGCGCCAGCCGTGAAAAGTACGGAAGGTTCGAAAGAGGGGTCGAAAAAGCGGGCTTCAACTCTGTCCTCAAAAGCAACCTCTAAGAAAGCTAGAAGCAAATGAAGTATTTGAAAGCAGTTATGTTTACAGAAAAACAAATTTTGCCATCATATTCCTGAGGTTTAGGGTGTTCTATGTAGCAATTCGGAAATGATTGGTTCTAGTTTTGAAGGCTTAACAGCAGAGCCAAACCTGTAAACCACCTGTCCGTCCTTGTCTATTAAAAATTTTTCAAAATTCCACCGGATTCCTTTGAAACCCAATGCTCCTTTTTTTTCTATCCTTCAAGAAACGATAAACTGGATGTGTATCGTCGCCGTTGACGATAACTTTTGACATCATAGAAAACGTGACGCCAAAACGATCCCGAACAAAGTTCTGTATGTTTCCATTAGCTGCTGGCTCTTGACCACCAAATTGGTTGCATGGAAACGCTAGGATCTCAAAACCTTGTTCATGGTATTTCTTGTAAAGATCTTGTAAGTCCGAGTACTGCGGAGTAAAACCACATAGTGATGCAACGTTAACTATTAGCACAACTTTGCCTCGTAGTTTCTCAAATGAAAATGGTTCTCCATGGCAATTAAGCGCAGAAAGGGAATAGAAATCTTCATTTGCTGGGGAATAAAAGACAGTTTCTGGTCGCTGCTAGTTTATAAACGTGGAATAGTATAGGCAAATACGGTACACTGAGCTGGTGTAGCACATAACATCCGTACACCATATGTGTCATTACCCTTCGGGGATTACACCCACCAGTCCTCTAATCAAACGTGCATAGTTCTTTTCACCGAAGACTTAACACTATTTGTAATTTCACGTATTTTTCAGAAATATAATTTTTTGCAACTTGAATTCCTTTCTGCTTCTAATTCGGCTAAGGAATCCGATTGTGTTGAAGACTCAGGCTTGAAATGGAAACTATTGAATAAGGCATACTAGGGTACTGTGGACTTTCTAGTTACAATGTGGAGCAAAGTTCCAATGGCACACGATAGTATAGATTGTATTCATAGGAACAATGCAAGAAATATGGGATCGCGGCCTTGTTCCGGTATTCGCCGTTTTCAGCCACTTCGATCACACGATTTCGCACCCGCACTTTTGCGTAAAACATTTTTGTTTCTTCCTCATCTTTAAATCATTCTGGTCACGCTTAAAGACCTGGAAGTTTAACAGCCACCGTTGAAGTGCATTGGCATTTTGTCTATATACTTTCTTGCGACTTACTGCTGTCTCTGCCACTTTTTCCCTTTAGTCTAGTGAGACTCGGAATTTGTGTCACTTCCCCACTTCACGGAGATTATAACAACAAAGTGAAGGATCCCCTTTCGACCTTCAGTTCCCTCATCACATCTTCCTAGCCTTTTATCCTTTTAAAGAAGCCACTCCAGCATAACAATGTCTTTTAACGTGAATTGGAACTCCTTAGAAACAGACTCTTTACGGAGCTGGACAGTCGAGTTGCTCACAGAAGCGTTAAATTCTGGCAAGCGGCCAAACATTTTGGCATCGGATATAACTATCAAGGATCTTAACTTTGGTAAAATTGCACCACGCTTCGAAATACTTGAGATTGGAGAACTTGATAGAGATCGGTTTAGAGGCATTTTCAAAATTGATTACAACGGAGATTTTCATCTTACTCTCCATACAAAAGTCCAGGCCAATCCTCTCAAGATCTACAGTGATAACTCTTTGGAGAAGGAGATACTGGCGTCTAGTCCATTTGTGACACCTGACTTTCTACTTTCACTGGACGCATTCAACATTCCTTTGGATTTAAAATTGAGCGATATCAAGATCTCAGGTATAGGTATTATCGTCTTTTCTAAATCTAAAGGCCTTACTATGGTTTTCAGGAACGATCCTTTGGACTCCATTAAGGTTTCTTCGACTTTCGATACCGTTCAAGTTTTGGCTACATTTTTGCAAAATCAAATTGAAAACCAGATTCGAGACTTATTCAGGGAAACATTACCGACTTTGCTCCACAAAGTCTCGTTGAAGTACACATCATCTAACAATACCAATGATATCATTGATAACCTAAAAGACCATTTGAGCAACAATGTTTATCTGAATGCTTTGGAGTCTTTAGAAGTTGAGAACGTTTCACCTGGTAACCTTCAAAAACTTGCGAAGATATACTCATCGAGGGAGACGCTCAAGTTGAATGTTCCTAAGCTTAAAAGAATTGTCCAAAGAAATCATTTGGAGAAGTTTAACAAAAACTTAAACCCCAACCTAGCTAGTTGCTTGTATACCAATATGGGATTGCAAGAATATTCTGGCTTTTCGGGCGTTTCATCAAGCTACAACTCCATTCCTGTTGGGCTTATTGCAAATGAAGATTTCAAGAAAGTGGATGAAATTCTTCAGGAAATCTCTAGCATTCAATCTAAAAACTTCAAGTCTGGCAGTAATGATCATAAGCCGGCGAAAAGAAGAACTATCAAACTTGGTAAAGGCATGCGCCAAAAGAAGGTGGATATGCAGAATGTGGATGAATCCACTTTGAACTCTATCAACATGTCCAGATGCGCTACCGAGTATTGTGACACACTATCTGATGTTTCAACCGTTTTGTCAGATGACCAACACAATCACATTGAACAACCTACTCCGTTGAAAGTTTTCACCGACACTCGTCCACCACTAAGGAATGTCGTGTATACTGAGGGGTACAAGTGTTCTTCTCCAATGAACTCAAACTCCTCCTTCGTTGGTAGCGTTGGCCTCGGAAACAACTTTTTCCAAATCGCAAGTGGATGCGCTCCATCTGCCTCCCCTTTGAGAAATGACCTCAGCGGGCAAAAGAGCGTTCATAGTCACGATGTGAAGGTAAAAGTTAAAAAATCCATGAACCGGATTGATGTTAGCCAAATCAACGAGAAGCTCAATGGTGGCTTCAACAACGGGACTCTGAAAGAGGCAATGCACAATGAGAATAAAGCCTTTTCTCATAATGATCCGCTGATCACGCCGTTTGAGCTTCCTCCTCCGCCATACCACCAGCTCTCGCGTGCCTGAGTGGGTACGACAAACTTTCCATAACTTTCTGCGCATTTGCGCATGTCAATGTCTCTGTTACGATTATACTATTTATTTGATTATGACTTTTTTATACGATTGATGATTTTATTTAGGTGATTAAATTATGTTAGTGTATTTATAGTGTAGTAAATACAATAAACTGGAATAGGCAGGTGTCCCTGCGTGAAGCGATTTGCGCACAGGCTAGGTTTTTTTCTTCTATTTGGGGCATTCTCTTTACCCGAAGCTGTTTCAACCATGACATTTGGAAATTTCGAGAGCATATGTGAGAAAACAAGCTTCCCGATATGTGCTGTTGTTAATGCTGCCCATCATTCTTCTGGGTTTTCAAGAGGTATCGTTCCAGTATGCTATGCCAGACTGGTGGAATTGGCCAACACAATGATCTTTCAGATCGGTAATGCTTTCATTCACTTTGGTGCCATCATCGTCGGCCTTATTATCATTTTCAACGTCCGTGCAAAGTATACAGCCATTGGAAGAACAGAAATGTTGACATTTTTTTACTTATACATCGCGCTCGTCATCAGCTCTCTCGTGGTAGATTGTGGTGTCTCGCCTCCATCCTCTGCAAGTTACGCGTACTTTGTTGCTCTTCAACTTGGGTTTGCTTCATCTGTATGCATAGCCCTCTTGTTCAATGGTATTGTCTGCTTTCAGTTTTGGGAAGACGGCTCTAAGAAGTCTCTTTGGTCCATGAGAGCGGTTTGCGCTATCTGGTTTGCTATTAATTTTATTGTTGCCATTGTATCATTGAAGTCATGGGACTTGCTGCTGGAAGACACCAAAACACTGGCGTTGTTCGCTGTCAGCTATGTCATGAACGCCGTCATCTTAGCAGTGTACGTTGTGTCGCAGTTGATTTTAGTTTTCGTTGCATTGGATCTGCTTTGGTACTTGGGAGCCATTGTGCTCTTCTCTTTCTTTTTCATTGTGAGCCAAATTTTGGTTTACGTGTTCAGCCAGCAGATTTGTGAAGGAACTACACACTATGTGGATGGTTTGTTCTTTGGGTCCCTTTGCAATTTGTTCGCCGTGATGATGGTCTACAAGTTTTGGGATATGATCACAGCTGAAGATTTAGAGTTTTCCGTTGCAAACGTGGAGCACGGCATTTCGGCATTCGGAGACACAGAGAAAAGGGGAAGCACTTTTTACTAGGTAAGTTATTTCGACAAAATATCAACAAACGGGAACGTGGCCTGTTGTTGATGAGGGACACTTTAGTTGATCGCTTACAAACTTATATATGGGAATAAAAAAAAAATCATTTTGATATATGCATCATGTCGGACCGATGGTATAGTTCTACTATATTTAGAGAATCTTAATGTCGCATTTTGGTCTGTTTTACATATTGGTCATCTTTTTCTGCTGCGGCCAACATTCGCGCTCTAGTCACGGGTCCTAGACTTTTATGCAAGCGGTGATCTAACGCTCAGGTAAACATCACAAACGAATCTGAAGGGTTAACAACTGACATTTCTATCAAGATGGCACCAGCTAATCCTGCGACTCCACAAACAGAGAGCGCCAAACTTTTAGAGCAAGAATCTGTCAAGAGCTTTTTGAATAGCGATGGATCATTAGATGTTCTCTTGGCCCGTCTAAAACAATCGATAAACACAGGTGATGAGATTGCCAAATATGTTAAGAAGAGAGCCATGATTGAAGACGAACATTACGGTCAATTGAAAAAATCAGCCATGAACATTCGAGCTACTTACAAAAACAAAAATGTCAAGCATGATGTGTTCAGCAACAAGTTAGATCAAGTGATTGAATTCGATGAAAAACTTTATGGGGTAGGGTCTTCATATGTTAAGGCTTTGAATGTCATGAATGAAGAACTCGTATCATTGGTTGGTACAGTCTCAAGAACAAGGAAATCAATCAAGGAAGAATGCAAAAGGAAGGAAAGAGACTGCGCAGACTCTGTAGCTCTAGCTGAGAAGGCAAAGCAAAAATACTATCATTTGTGCGATGACTTGGAGAAAATTAAATCATCAGACCCACAAAAGAAGTCTTTTTTGAAAAATAAAACAGCTGAACAACAAGAGGATGAATTACAACGAAAGGTGGACTTGGCAGATCAGGATTACAGGCTGAAGGTCAATGCATGCAAAAAATTAAGGGATGAGATGCTCATGATCCATAGACCCACAAACACAAAGAAATTAATGAACTTGATCTTGGAAAATGGACATTGCTATGAATGTTCAGTTGCAGAAGTTTTGCGACGTGGACTGAAACACTTAATATGAAATTCCCGGGGTTTTGGTGTCTCCATTTGCAGGCTGGAGGAAACAATCAATGAAAAACATCGTTTCCAGTATTGACAATGAGCTTGATTTGTTTGATTATATTCAAAAGAACTCAAAGACTCCTGTTAACAGATCGTTAATCCCTGTTGAGTATGTCACTCACCCATCCTTCGCCAAACAGCAAAAGCCGACAAAACCATTCTTTTCCAATGCAAACTCTACGAAGAATAACCACATGAATGTCTCTGCTGCTCTTTCACCTCAAGGTGAAAATGATAAGCCTGCTGATATGCTTTCTAGATCGCCCAATGGCTCTCAATTTGATGCTTCGGGCTATGCGTATAGCTCCTTGGATCCTGGGAATCATGCTGAGTTAAACGGACCTAGGTCATTGAGCCAAGTGGCCAAAAACCCACAACCCTACTTTTTGGCGTGTCAATAGAAGATGTTATACAATACGCTGGCATTGACAATGTTCCATTGGTGGTGAAGAGATGTATTGACGTGATAGAGAATTATGGTTTGAATATTGAAGGAATTTATAGAACGAGTGGTAATAAGACCACTGTACAGCTGTTGAAAGATGCAATTGATTCAAATTTTGCCAATTATTTGTTAATTGGCAACAATATCGACCCAGATAACGTCCTTGACGCGGATATATACTGCGCGGCATCGCTATTGAAGGTGTACTTCGCAAGTCTCCCGGAGCCTTTGTTGACGCGAGAGTATGTCCGCTCATTCATTGACACAGTCAAATCATCTGATGAAACATTCATCGCTAAAAAATTGCATCATTTGGTTTATAATCTTCCTGATGGTGCTTACTTTACATTAAGAGCATTGATGTTTCACCTCAATAAAGTTGCAGAGCATCAAGATGAAAACAGGATGAATGCAAAATCTTTGGCAATAATTTGGGGACCTGCACTTTTGAATGATGATTCCATGTCTCCCCAGGACTTGAGTTACAAGAGCAAGGTGGTAGAGGAGTTGATGCTTATTGCAAACGAAATTTTTGATCAGGATGAGTAATGACACATATTTGGATGCTCATAGTTTTCTTATGTTATTATTATTATTATTATTATTATTATTATCATTTCTATTATTATTCTTACTCTTATTACTATTACTACTTATTTCATGGACATCACCAAAACCGTAACTTATTCCTTTCCATCAATACATTAGTCCTCTACCTGGACCGTAAGGTTTCTCCCTATCCCTTCCATTATCCATCGCCATCATGAGAAGTGTTGAAATGGAAACGAGGAGGCTTTGCAATCTTATGTGGAGCTGAAAGGGTGTTTCACTTGAAGTATTCTGTAGCACTCTCGTCAGCTGCTCTTTTCTTCTTTCAGATCTCCTTTCATTCTCTCTCGCTAGTATGATGCATATCTTCGTCGCTAATCCTCACATTTACGCTTAATATCTTTAACTTCAGCTTTCAAACTGTCATGAAATTCGGCGGAATCAATGATTTTTTCTTGGATGTCCTTATCCACTATACTCAAAATACTGCTCCCTTTGGCATTCCCAATAATCTCTCCTTGAATCAAAGCCGCCATTTTCCCTTTGTTCTTGAGTAATATGGAGGGATCATTCTTGATTTTGTTCTCAACCATTAGCTTTAGCTTGAGTAATAAGTTCTTATGAGTTTGGGACTGTTTGAAATTTTCTAATAGGAGTTTTCTCTGCTTGTCAAATGCACCGCTTTTTTTGTAGACTGAAACTAAGTGCTTATAGTCTGTTATTGGAAGTTTCGTTTCATCTTTTGTTGATTTACTCATTTGACAGCTTCTGTGGTATTCTATGAATGTTTTCAAGAGATAAAATGGATTTCGGTGCTGATTGTGCATACAAATTTAGGGAAGATAAAGAGGCATACATTGGCTTAGATTCACGGCTATCCACATGACTTCTACTCCATACCCGGATTTTGAAGACAGTCCCCGTTTGGATGAAGATACTATATCACATTTGCGACTGGGGTCACCAAACTATCCATCTTCCTCTCAGGTCAACAAATCACGAAAGAAGTTGCGACTGGAACGTGTTCTTGGTGGAGATGACATGAAGACCAAGTTAGATGCTGTACGTTCTGACGTGCATAACATTATAATTTCAGTCCTTAATAACGAGCCTGTCTCTCGGTCGTTCTCCTCCATATACAAATCTGTGGAATTGCTTTCCATTTATAAGCACTCCGAACAGGCTCACTTGGCTGATTTCGTATTCAATGCTATACAAGAACGTTTGGTATCCGAAGTTGTACCAGAGGTTCAAGCAACCTTCGAGAGTCTAACTAATGTTGATGAGTCTTATTGTGACTGCATCACATCGTTCAACAAATGTGTTGAATCTTGGACCAAGTGTCTCGAGTTGTTGGAACAACTTCTTCTCTTCATGAACAGATCATACCTCTTGCATCATCCGAAAAAGCATACAATACTTGAGTTTGGTATCATTCAGTTCTCACTTCAAATAATTTACAATGAAGATAGTTTGATACGCAAAAAGATTGTCATTCTACTAAGGAAAATCCATATCCTATCCAGAAGTACGAATGTGGATGATATTAGAGACTTGAACGAGTTGGCAAATTCATTTGTTGGTACCATAGCACGCTTGGATTTCAAAGGGGAGATTCTTGGCGGCTCAGGCCTTGAGAAAATACTTTTGCCAAATTACAAGCAGCTAAAGTCTACTTGGATTGAGGAAGGAAATGATTACTTAAGAGTGGCACTTGATGCATTGTCGGCCGAGTCTTCCTTTCTAATAGGATGTGGTTTATCTGAACAGGTTGTTATGAACATCTTGAAAAAGTTAAAGTGGGAATTGATATTTCAGGACTTTAGTCAAGTGCTAGATATTTCCTTAACATATATGATTCAACCTCAAAATATTGAATACTTGAAAACCTTATGGAATCTCTGTCAATCATCAATGGATGACTATGCGGTCGACTCGTGTCGCACATTCGTCTATGCGTGGGGTTGTTTTGTTCGCAATGATATTGAGTCAACTATCCGAGAGTCGAAACTTAAGAATAGTTCCCTTATCCCAGAGTTAGTTGCTTCATTTGACAATTTGAACAAACTTGCTACTGAATGTTTAAATGATGATGCTATTGGCTTCGAGTCCAGGAATGCTCAGAGCAAGGCATTGGCCAACAAGGATTACAATAACTATGTCCTTCTTCAACTCTCTAAGTACTGTGATAACTTCTTTAAGCAGTCTCGGAAGACGAAGGATGTTAACTCCTTTGCCCAATTCGAGAAGGAAGTGGTTACGGTGTTCAAATTAATAACGTATAAGGCTGATTTCATGCTCATTTATGAGCGCGATTTGTCTAAAAGAATGCTTTTGGGAAGATCTTTCAACTTAGCTCTCGAAAGAAAATTACTGGAGGCAATTTTGGGCGTGGTTGGAGAGGGGGATGAAGGCTCGAATCTCCGTGCAATGTTCCGAGATGTTGAAACTTCTAGATCGCTTTACAATCCAACCCCTATAGATTGTTTACCTGGGGTAGAATTCAATGCAATGGTGTTGGAAAAAAAATTCTGGCCTGAAATTCCTGGCTCTGGATGCGATATCGCATTGCCTAATATACTCAGCCAAGCATTGGGAGAGTTTTCATGCAAGTACGAAGAACAAGGGGAAAAACATAAGTTTCATAAGCTTGATTGGACAAATTTTCTGCTCCATCAGATTGTGCTATTGGTAGAGTTTGATTCGGGTCAGAAAGAACTCAGCATAAATTTGCTTCAGGCGTCTGTATTGATGCTCTTTGAAGATGTCGATGAGATTCACTACAATGAATTAAAGATGCGCACAAAGATGGAGGAACGTCAATTGAAGAAGGTTTTGTCTTCTTTCACAACAGAAAGATGTCCCATATTAATACTAAGAGGAGACGTTGTGATATTTAACCGCTCGGCAGAGTTGAAGAATGCGAGAACTCGCGTTCCAATGACGCGAGAAAGAGAGATTGACGCTACGGATGACTTTTCGAAAGTAATTGAGAAGAACAGGGATCCAGAAGTTAGAGCGGCACTTGTGCGGACCATGAAGCAAAGCAAGAGCATTCTCTACGCTGAACTCTTAGCAAATGTATTGCACACCATGGAACAAAGAGGCACTAGTTTACTGGTGCACACGGTGAAGGAAGGTATCGAATATTTGATCTCCAACGAGTATATCCGGAGAGACGCTGATGGCGTTACATTGGTCTACGTTCCCTGAGTAGAACAAGATCAATATATGATATTATCATTTAGAATATGTAGAAACGTAAAACGCCTTTTAAATGCCATAACTTAGACTGGGACATCTTCTGGGTCTGGGTTGTAAACCCAGTGTTCACCGAAGTAAGGAATCTTGGTGTAGAAAGTGTTCTTGAACAATGGAACGCCGTCGGTGAAAGTGGCAACAGCACCGGCACCGGCAACACCCCAGAAGATCAAGTCTCCAGTGTATGCCTTAACAGCAGAGAAGTTGATACCCGACTTGGCGACTTTGTAGGCTGGACCTCTAATGTACTAAAACTGTTAGTATACACATATCGAGGAGGCAAAAGAAACAAAACATATTAGGCGTGTCAATGCTCCCTTTCTTTTACCCTGTAGCGACATTGACATACAGAAACCATAATGATAGGTGTTTGACCAAGAAGTTTTCTTTGGGTTGATTTTACCGCGCAATAATTGGACAGAATCTGGTCACGTGTATGAACCATCTAACCCATATGGGAATTGATCCAGAAGTTTCTTACTCTTCTAACCCACTAATCTAAGCAACTAGGCGTAATTGCGTATCAAAATTAAACACGCAGTAGCTAGATATTGTCTCGAAATCTAGATCGTTTATTTGTTGATCAAAGAAAATTATACAGTGCCCAATTTGTCGCCAAGCATGCGATAAACCCTTAAATAATTTAACAAGCATCTGGTTGGGAAACAATGTAGTCAATAGTTTGGCCAACCGTCTTCAATGTGTCGGCCTCGTGGTCTGGAATCTGGATGTTGAACTCATGTTCAACTTCCATGACGACTTCGACGACATCCAAGGAGTCCAAGTTCAAATCTTGCACAAAAGAAGAGGATTCTGTGATTTCTTTTCCAGCAACCTTGTCGTAGCCCTCCAATAATTCGATAACTCTTTCTTTAGCGAGATCTCTCGTTAAGGCGGGGAAACCGGCGTAGAAACGGACAGCTTGGAATCTTGCCGCTGGTAAACGTTGTGGAAGAACGGCAGTCTTCAAGCATCTGCTAGCAACAGCTCTAAACATATCGAGTTGTGGAAGTGAATAGACTAATCTAGTATTGTACGCAACAAATTGGGAACGATTTTAGTGGTAGCCCAAATATGGTATGTACACTACCATGTTCTGCATTAGGCGTTGGATAAAGAAACACAATCTTTCTAGCTGTCTCGATTGTAGAAATCAAACTCTTGTATTTTCTCCTTCCAATTGATACTTTTCTAAGGGACGACCAACCATTCAAACTGTTCCAATTTTAAGCTGTGGGGACAGAATGGATTCGTGTTGTGTGCAGTTTTCGCCTTTTTTTCAACTTCTCGTTTTCACATTCAGTAGTGTTTGCAAGACTTGATCAACATGCTAAGATCACTTTTTGGTGCAAGACTTGGGCTCACGGCCCGTGGTATCATTGGAAAACCTCAGCCTGTGACCACCTATTTTTCTTCCATCCGTTCAAATATATCATTGAATGCTTCAAACACCCCAAGCATGCTTAATCAAAAAAGATATGCCACATTGAATCAAATCAAGAGCGGAAAGCATGTTAAGCCAGTGAAACCATATGTTTCTAAAGCTCCGCATTTAGAAACAAATCCTTTCAAGAAGGGTGTTGTTTTGAGAGTCATGATTGTTAAGCCAAAGAAGCCCAACTCTGCTCAAAGAAAGTGTTGCAGAGTGAGATTGACTAACGGCAATGTCGTTTCATGTTTGATTCCAGGTGAAGGACATAATTTACAAGAGCATCATGTCGTTTTGGTGAGAGGCGGCAGAGTCCAAGATTTACCGGGTGTGAAGTATAGACTAGTTAGAGGCGCATATGATTTGGCTGGAGTTGCCAACAGATCTACGTCAAGATCCAAATACGGTGTGAAAAAGGCAAAGGAGTAATTAGTCCAAGCAACTTGTACATAACTTAACCATGGGCTTTCTTCAGATTCTGTAATTTTGTTCATTGAGTTTCTAGATACGGTGCGAATGCATTGTTCAAACTCCCATGCGTAGCATTTTTATGAAGAGAAATGGAAAACAAATCAAGCACGTCCAGCTTCAAACCTTCTGCCACTGGCGGTTTTCCTGTTTTCAACTGCTTTTCCATCGTCATCTACATTCTCCGGCTTCGCCCTGTTCAACACTTTCAAAAACTCCTTGACTCTGAATCTCATTCTCGAATGCATGTATGCCTTCGCACATTTGATGTGATAGTGAAAGTAATTTCTGAAGAATTGAATGTGGGAAATACAGTTTTCTCTGCTGTCACCTCTGGCTAAATGCCTAGGGAATAACACAAAGGTGACGTAACCCTTGTTTTCGTTATCCTGGCGAGTCTTAACTACGCTCTGGATATCCAATGGCGCCTCCTTATGTGTGTACAACACTTGTGGTGCAGTCTGCACTGATCTTTTTCTTGCATCAACGAATTCTTGCAAGAAAACTTTTCCAAATATTTTGTCTGTTTCATCCTTAAATATGGTTGAGAAGATCACAGTTACTCTATCAAATGATGGCTTAATGTAGATACATTCTTCTTCTCCACGGAACTTTACGACCAAAATTGGCTCCTTTGCCAACTCAGCCTGCACCTCTTCAGAGTATGTGTTTGTGTTTGAGTATTCTTGTGATAGTTCATCATAACGTCCAAAAGCAGTCTCAAATGCGGAAGCAATGGAATGTCTCTTCAACAATGATAATTCGTTGATCAATTCGTTTTTCGTTTCTTCTGGCGCTTCCTTCAAAGTTTTGGTGTTCAACGCAAACGAATAATTATATCCAACTTCAATGTCCGATGGACCCAAAATGGTCAAGTATTCTGAGTATTTCGAGTACTTGGACTTCAAGTATTCCGACACGCCATACTTGATCAAGTCATCCCAACATTGCAAGAATATGGAGATTAACAAAATTTCCTTATCGTCTGGGAAGGTGGAAATATGGTAATTGGTAAAATCAAAATCACTGATGATTCTGTCTAAAGATTTCAATGGAGCATCTGCACTCGGAAAGATTCTCTCCGTTAAGGTCTTTTCAATCAAAAGGTTATTCTTTTCAATTTGTAACATGATTAGAGTATCAATCACAGGCAATCGAATGACTTGTACTGGACACTTTTACTCCTAAGTTTACACCAGTGCGTAAGCCTGCACATAATCATCTATTCATGAAAGTGGCTTGGTGGTGAGCCTTTGATATTAATAAGAGGGTTCTAAAGTGTTCATGCAGTTAAAAAAGAATACATTTGTAACAGTTTTCTCGATATCGATGCATTAGTAGGAGAGTTACAATCCTGTAAAAGTAACAGAGGGCAACGTTTTTTTTGTTTTTTTTTACGAGAGTCTATGATACTCTTAAGGAGTCCACTCAGTGTAAAATACATTGTATTGTGAAAATGTGTATATAATACAAGGTTGTAAAGGAGTGTGATATGAACAAGGCAAATGCGGTTGTAGCTTGCCTTTTTCATGTTGGAATGACTTTGAGTTGGGTTTAGGCAAAATATCGATGATGCTACCGGCGCAATCTCTGGTTGTGCAAACCACCCCTGTGTAAAGCAGGTGCAGCCACCTTATTCTTGAGTAAGCTTTGCACATTTTCTCTTCCAGAGAACGCGGCACCAGCAACGGCAACATTACCTGTTGCTGGTTTGGTTGATCTGGCTTCGCCTGTTTCTTCTTTGGCCCTCTTCAACCCTTCTTTGACAAAGTCACCCATGTGCGGGTCGATATCTCTGTACCGTGTTAACCACGGTGATTTCAAAAGCACATCATAATGAGGACGTAATGCGGGGTTCTTGTTTAAACAGGATTTGACAAACATTTGGGCTTCTTTGGAAAAAATAGAATCATCTAATTTCGGTGGCTCACCATCCACAATGGCACTAAGTTGCAGAAAAATATTGTCATATGTTTCAGGCGGATAGGGATAACAACCTGCTGCGATCTCCAAAATTGTTAATCCCAAGGACCAAATGTCGGACTGCACTGAATATGTTGCATCGTCAGGGTTCAAAGTCTTGATTCGTTCAGGGGCCATGTAGGACTGGCACCCAATATTAGTTTTCGCCAACGAAGCAACCAAATTCCCGCTGACACCAAAATCACACAACTTGACTTTTCCCATGGTGTTCACTAAAATATTGGTTGGCTTCACATCTCTATGAATAATATTATGTTTGTCCTTCAACTCCTTCAAGCCCCTGATGACACATTCAGTGATATAAGCGAGACATGCTTCGTCATGAACGCCATCGCCATAGACTTTGTCAAGAGACCCGCCATCCATGTATTCCATGCACATGTAAACAGCACCTTCGACAAAGAAAGCGCCATAAAAGTCAACGATATATGGCGAATTACACTTGTGCAAAACCTCCAATTCCATTAAGATTTGAGTAAATTTGTTTTCCTCAAGCTCAAGTCTGACTTCTTTCATTGCCATTAAAACTCCTGTAGGTTTATGCAAAACTTTTGACACTGTTCCGTAATTTCCACGGCCCAACTCCTCAATAAATTGTAATTCATCTAAAGAGATGTGGAAGGATGAACCGGAAGAAAAATTAACGCCTTCAGAATGCAATGATGCTTTTCCGGCGAAATTAAGCGACCCTGACTTAATATCCACGTATTTGGAGTAATTCGCAAAAAGTCCTTGCAACTTAGGTTCGTCATCGATAGATTTCCCTTGTGCCTTTTCAGCAGCTGTAACTGGCGCACTAGAGATGCCACTGCCTTGGTCATTTAAATTCAATTTCATGTCTGGGCGCTTTCTCTCCGAGAGTCGACGGGCAAGCTCTACGCCAGTGGAAGGTGCTGCATCTGAATTTTGGCCCAGCAAATCATTCATGTTAAGTTTCATTCCCCGTCTTTGTGACAAGGATGGTTTTTTTGACAAACCCTGTTGCTGAGTGGAAGTAGGAGTAACATTTTGAGGAGAGCCTTGAGAAGTTGGGGTCAGTGCTTCCATCAGAGGAGATGCTAGCAAAGGCTGCTTCACGGATTCAACTGCCGATGATGATCTTATAGGTGCATTGGGAAGAGGTGGAAGAGGCTTGCTTGGCGGTTCTTTTAGAGGAATGTTTTGACGTTTCTGTTGAAAGGCCATTATGCGGGCTTGAATATCACTGCTCAACTGGCCATGGGCAGTAGATATAGGTGGTGAATGGGTCCCCTCTAGCGATCCCAGGCGGGGAGAACTAATTCCTAGCCGATCAAATCGGGAGGTGGTATCAGAAACATCTCTTTCTTCACCCATGATGATATGGCGATGCTGACGAGAGAGAATGAGATGCCAGAGCAAGTACAATTCAACAAAGAAATTGACAAGCTGTTTTAAGCGGTCTTTTTCTTGTGGTAGTTCGCGTGAACGTGAATTTGAAAGTGATCTGTTCTCTAGGCCATACAATCGGCAAAAAGAAACACACGAAACAATGGGAGCCTGTGAGACAAAAGGAGGTAGAAAAAAAATGAACGGAAACTGTTGCGATGATGCCACAGGATTTTCAGTCTTGTTCTCAACTGTAGATGTCGAAGAAGAAAAGTGAGGGAGAAACGCTTGCGACCCGCACGCTTAGAATCAAAAATGCGAAAGAAGTTGTCAAGACCCTCGAACGGCACATTGTCGCAAACTCGGAATACTCTGCTTATAAATAACTGGACATGCATTTAAGAATCCAAGGGATCACCATTGTGCCTATTGAAAGTAGCAAAACTACCGATTTACGTTACTTGAGTATTAAACAACGACTAAGAAACTCAAACTCAAACTTTGGATACAGTTGTTTCTTGGCCACCAAGGATGTCAAGAACCCTGCACTGTTCATTTTTTGATCCTCGTTTCTCATCTACTATTATCTTACACGCCGCATTTCCACCGTTCCTTTAATGTAGGTACATGAGGAAGGGTCTTCGTATCGTCCGTATTTGTTTTTGCCACATTTGAAATCCGGACGGAGATTTCTAATATTGGCATACCAACATAACCCAAAGCGGTGATTGCGACACTGTATGCAAGCTAGATAATCACTCCGCCAATGTGAGTTCCGACATGCTGTATAGTGTTAATCTGCGTATTGTTTCAAGTCGTAAAAAGGATATATCTCGAAGTATCCCCGGTACCTGAACACCTCAAAACGACGACATCTTTCCGAGAACAAAGAAGTGAAAGTTCTCACTCTCTATTGTTCTGCTTGACCTGCACCTTCCGGCAGCGCCTCAAACCTCTGTATGGCAGAATCTATCTTGAACAGCAGACATAGACTAGTTGCAAATACGGACCTAGCAATATATGACTAGATGGGCAGACCACAGGGCAAAGATTGCTTTTGCAAAATGAGAATGTAACATCATTTGCCCATCGGAACGGCCATTTTCACTTGTATCTCCGGCCGAGCCCGCGCGGAGTTAACCAACTTTATATCCATTTCCGAAAATAGGCGCTTGCACAGTTCTCTTGAATGGCATACGCCCGATGCGCAAACCAACGCTAGTTACTTTGAAACGCAAAGTGAGTCTTTTTTAGCTTTCGGGCACATTTTTTAAGCCGACCGAAATTACCCGGCGGATTTACAGCTCCTCATCCTACTCAGTTGCCATTTCGCTTCTAGATTGCGCTTGACCTATCTCATGCGTCACTAATATTTATTGTTTTTTGCACGTGACTGTAACCCTTCATCTCAACAGCACCTAAGTAGTCGTCTCTGAGTTCATGGCAGAAGCTCTTCATATCCAAATTAACGACCACGATACTTATCATGAGTTACCACTGTCGCTAGATTTGATGCAGGGTGCCACAAAGGTTCCTATAATCAGGATCTATGGAAGTCTTCGTGTGCGCACCTCGCAAGATTTGGCCTACAATGTGCTAGTCCACGTCCACAACTATTACCCTTACGTATATCTTGATTGGTGGGGCCATGACGAGAGTGCGATCACTGATGATGAGCTTAGAGACTTCAAGCTGTATCTTGAAACGTGTATGAAAGCTTCCTTCAAGAGAAACCACGACATTGACTCTGATGCAGACTCTGACGTCGATCGCTATGAAATTCTACTACGTGGTCGAAATAAAACTAAAGTCGACTCCTACTATATTGCATCCATAGTCTTATGTAAGGGTGTCCCAGTGTACGGGTATCACCTAGGGTATTCTACAAAGGTCAAAATACTGTTCTTGCTGCCTCATTATAAAACACGCTTCACTCGTCTTCTCAACGAACGAAAGATCGATTTCGGGAAATTCTTCGTCAAAGAAAAAAAGTCTATCTTTACTCCTAATATTTATGAGGCCCACATTAATTTTCTCACTCAATTCATGGCCGATTTCAATCTATATGGATGCGGTTGGCTCGAAATCGACTCGTGTTTTTTTAGATCACCAATCACTACTCCGAATAGAGTAGACATTGCTCCTTTAAAGAAATATTTACAACCTTATATTACCAGTGAAAATATTTTGAGTTCAGAATCTTTTCCTCGTATGGGCCGGACCCTTCTCGAAATCGATGTCTCGACTCACAATATAATGAACTGGAAAAAACTCAAACAAAGGAATATCCATAACGACTTTTCAGAAGTCAACATGGTTCCAAACGCAAATGAAATCTACCTTACATCTTTGGAAAGCACATTTAATGAGTTGAAATACCAATGTGACATTAGGAAAGCCTCACAAACATCACAATTGCTTCACAAGCTGTATTCTCAAGTCTTTCCAAAGATTGGTGTTGGAGGTTTTCATGAGTGGGAAGCTTATAATTATACTGTAGAGCTCTTAAGTTACATGAAAACGCTCAACAAGCCTACAAAGTTTTCAAATGTTCATGACTATTATGAAAATATCATTCGTCCGACACTTAGGAATACTTTGCTACCTACATGTTTTGATGTCATTGAGCGGACTTCTTCAACTAACTCTCAAGTATCTCACAAGTTTGACGTCCATGATGATCTTCTTAGGTGGGATAATTATGACATGCTATTTGAGCCTCTTGAAAATGTATCAGAACTTTTAATTGAGGAAATTCTCCCTTCTGAGAAAAGGGCGTATAAGATAACTGACCAGGATAATTCTATTTCTGCGGCGCCCATTAGCGTGCTGGAGACTCCCTTGCAGAATGCGGATGTGCTCAAATCTTCAAACGTTCCTTCAGTGGTAAGTTTAGATGTATCACCCAAGACTCACATGACTGGGCTCTACTCCAATTCGCTTGACGGGCATTCAAACCCATTGACCGAAAAAGAGCATCCGGTATCTCACGATACGAACCAAAGTGGTCTTGATCATCTGTTTTCTCAAACGCTGGATTTCCTCGTTTGCCGATCCAATGATTTGTGGGAATTTTTAGTTCCCTTAAAGCTTCGAAAGCAACTTTTCAAACAAACCATGCTGGCATCTCCTATCTTAGACATTGAGTACTCTGAGCCATCGTACTATTTAAAGCAAGACCTTCATCCTAACCCACTCATTTTTGCTAATAAGAAAATTGTTGTTCCTTACAATGGTGAAGGGTCAAAGAAACCGATCAATGTGGGAAATAATACTCCTAATTGGGATGTAATCAATGATGAGCCTCTAAATAATGTCAAGTGCAAAATTTCTTGGGAGTTCATGCCTCGGGCACCGTCGAGGAACGAGATTATCCGGTGGATTGAAGTTGATGAAAAGAAGCAGGCTTATAAGGCAAATAGGTTCAAGTCTCAGATTGAGCCTGCTATCACCCAGACAAATGATTTCAAATACTCTCATAGGATATCCAAACTCAATCGAAATCCAAGTGGTTACTTGAATTTGTCCATGTTGTATATGGAAGTACATGCAGATACTGAGAGTCCGTGTCGCCCTGATCCATTAAAGGATCCGATTACGATGATCATCTATCGATTTGATGATTCTAACCATATGTTTCCTGATGAATACAGTACGAATCGTATTCTTTTTTGCTGTAATAAGGATTTCGTACAGACAAAGAGGCAGTTAAAGATTGTGTCCCTGAATCTTAATTTACACATCGAGTGTTTTCGTACTGAGATGGAAATGGTTGACTCTTTCCTACTCCGGGTGGATTTGTTTGATCCAGAAATACTAGGTGGCTACGAAATAAATGCTTCTAGTTGGGGGTATTTAATTGAGAGGATGCAGAATGTTTATGCTATAAACATTTTATCTCGTCTTAGCAGAACGAAGATAAAAGGCAACGGTAGATATGGCGATAGGTGGGGTTTTACACATACATCTGCCATCAAAATAAATGGTCGGCATTTGATAAATGTTTGGCGAATACTCAAATCAGAGGTGAACTTGACGTCATACTCTTTGGAAAATCTTTCTTTCAATTTGCTTCATCAGACCATGCCCCGATTTTCGAATTTGGAGCTAACAAATTGGCGCCGTGGTGGTGCGATTCAGGAATTGATTATGTTCTGTGAGTACTACAGTACAAGACTTAATTCGGCCCTCCTCATCACAGACTCACGAGAAATCATAATCAAGAATGTGGAGCAATCCCGGTTGATTGGTATCGACTTCAACTCCAACTTTTACCGCGGATCTCAGTACAAAGTGGAATCTATTTTAATACGAATCGCTAAAAGTGAAAATGTACTTCTCAATTCACCATCTAAGCAACAGGTCCATGAAATGAGAGCACTTGACGCGATTCCGCTTATAATGGAACCGGAAGCGAATTTTTACAAGTCCCCGTTGGTAGTACTCGATTTTCAATCACTTTATCCATCAATAATGATTGCTTACAACTATTGTTATTCAACTTTGATCGGAAAAGCAGAAGGCTTTAGACAGGATAAGAATGCAGTTGGTTACTTAAAGCATCACAATCTTCCGCTTGGGATTGTGGACATTTTGGATAAAAATGGTGGTATCACAATCTCACCGAATGGTTTGGTATTTGTGTCTTCCAAATTTAGAAAATCATTATTATCTAAGATGCTTCAAGAGATTTTGAACATGAGAATTAATGTGAAATCTGTGGCATCTGCTTTTCAGAATGACGATGATCTTCTGAAGGTATGTAACTCGAAGCAGTTGGCCTTGAAATTGATAGCAAACGTGACGTATGGTTACACTTCGGCTACTTTTAGCGGAAGAATGCCTAACTCTGATATTGCTGATGCTATTGTTGCTTCAGGAAGGGAAATTCTATCCAAGTCTATTCAAATAATTGAAGATAGTGAATTCAATGCGAAAGTCGTCTATGGTGATACAGACTCGTTATTCATTTATTTTCCAGGCAGGTCAAAAACAGACGCATTTTCATTTGGTAAGATACTTGCTCAACGGGTGACAGATTTCTTTCCCGATCCGATCAAACTCAAATTTGAAAAAGTTTACCATCCATGTGTTCTATTAGCAAAGAAGCGATATGTTGGGAATTGCTTCGAATCAGAAACTCAGACACTTTCAACATTTGAAGCAAAGGGTATTGAAACTATTCGCAGAGATGGTATACCTGCTCAGCTGAAGATGGTGGGCAAAACAATTAGAATTCTTTTCGAAACGAAAAACTTGTCCCAAGTTAAAGAGTATGTCGTAAAGCAGTTTTACAAAGTCCTTTTCAACAGGGTAAACATTAAAGACTTTTGTTTTGCCAAAGAAGTCCGCTATGGAACTTACAAGAACGAAAAGTACTTGCCTCCTGGTGCTATCATTGCTGCAAAGGCAGTCAAAAGAGATCCTAGAAGCGAACCCCAATACAGAGAGCGAGTTCCTTATTTGGTCATTAAGGATCCAACAAAAGAGCGCATTAAAGATCGATGTGTGAGCCCTGAGGAGTATGTGGAGTCTTTCAAATCCGACTGCCCGTTAGAACTAGATTTCGAGTACTACATTTCGAGGGTACTCATTCCTCCATTGGAAAGAGTATTTAATTTAATGGGTGTTGATATCAAAGACTGGTATAGAACTATGCCTAAATTGCCCAAGCAAAGTCTTTTCAAGAGAAATGACATCTTGCGGATTAGCGGCTTCTTACAGAGAAGAGAGTGTCTTCATTGCGGAAACAGTCTTGAATCTCAGGACTTGTTTTTATGCATCGAATGCATGAAAAACAAATCTGAGTCTGTCAATGACCTAATTTCAACTAATCAGCAGAGCAATAAGGTCAGAAATAAATATGAAATACTTTGCCAAAAGTGCAATATCAAAAATTTTGGAAGGGCAGCAAGAAGTGGATTTGAGCAGGCGTGCAAAAATACAGACTGTGAACTTTTTTATGCAAAGGCAAAAGCAGTGATGGAAAATGATGTCTTGATTAGTGAAATCAGTCAAGTTCTTGAATCTCTACAGTGGTAAAATATATCGGATGTTTATTTGCCATGTTTGTAGCACACAAGTCCTCAAGACTCTCGGTGAAGTCGCATCAACTATAAAAATAGGAGCGCCATGTCGACCCAAAATCATAAAGAACTTTATGAGAGCAAACAATTCAGATAAACATTTTTATCGTTTAAAAAACCTCAAATCGTAAAGCGGTTTTTTTTTTTTGAGGTTTTTTTTTTTCTTTTTTTTTTTTTCTTTTTCTTTCATCTTGTTGTTTTTGAACTATGTTCCATAATACCGTCCCTAATTAAAATACCACAAACTAAAACCAGAAGAATTAAAAACACAAGAACTCGTCGATTTCTAAGTTCATTGCATCATTATGTGGCTCATTGCCACGCTCGACAGTTTCAATCTCATTTTGACTTAGCAAAAAGTTGAAACCGTCGTCCGATTTGGGGAAAAAATCAGACATCAGAACAGGTAACACAGGCTCGACTGGTGCTGCAGACCAACAGTTGTAATACGTGGAAGTAACAAAACGCAAGTTCTAAAGAGAGTTGCTTCTATGCTATCAATTCTGAGCACATTCCAATTGTGTCATGAACTTCCACGCATATTAATCTCATATATCTTGCCCACTAGCAAGATATACCAGATTAATATACGTTTCCATAAGCACTAAAAGGAATGTGGCTTTAATAAGCCTAAAGCGTCAGAACAAGCAGAGAACTGTCATTAGAGGGGTTGCATTGTTCACTTACACCATCAACAACCTAGGATGCAAAATTACTTCTGAACTTTGCGCCATAATATCGACCCCTGGGGTAGCTGTTCCGAGAATGATTCCATCCGAGTTCAAAGCGGACATTTCTGGAGTATTTGGTGTGGAGTTTGAAAAGGGAGATGACGCCCCTGACGAGATTTTTGTCGGAGTATCATTAGGATCAGACTTTTTGAGCCTCAAATCAAGAGGAGAGTTAACTGATGAACTGATCGAAACCGGGCTCATGTAGTTGAAATATCCCCCTGACAGATTAATCAACAAGTCGGATTCAGTGTCCTCCAACTTCACAGGATTTGCGATGGACGCAGAAGAGGCGATGGAATTTGTAATGTCGCCAGTAGAGAAATTCGTTTCAGAATCATCAGTCTCCAGACTCTTAGACTGTGGATCATGCATTCTTCCTTCTTCACTCTTCACCGAAAAATTATTGCAGGTCAAGTTCTCATGAATTTTCTCCTTTAACTCAGAGATATCGTCAGGCTGAGACAAACCCAAAGCAGCCAACTTGTCTTTAGGTACAAGTTCGCTGACCTTGTGAAGATTCGCCGCCAATATTTGAGTGTTCTTCTCGAGAGCCAACACATACGACTCCAAGTACTCCACGTGCTTTCTTTTTTTCTCTCTGGAGGCGTGGGCGGCTCTTCGATTCCTTAGTATTCTCTCAACCCGACGTTGTTCTTTCTCCTCCTGGGTCTTTGCCCGCTTACGGGGTGGCAAAGACGATTTGAAACTAGTCTCAACCGTATCAGACATTGGAGTGGATCACTTGGAGTACTTGTTGGCTATGAAAAATCTGATCTGGGAGGCGTGGAAAATCGCGGAGCTTTATATGGAGGCAAAGCCACTCTGGTCCGCGTATTTTCTGCATGGAGGAGCCTCGACAGAGAAAATAGCCGAGCTAAAGGCCCGTTCCTTAAAATAGAGAGCGCTTTGTTTATCATGAAAATCGCCCTTATTTTTTGCCACTTTACATCATAGCCTTTGTTTCGAACTTGTGACAAGTTCCTGTAACATCAAAGAATGTGTTTTCGTCTTCTATTGCAGGTTGGAAATTAGGGTTGCGACAAGTACGAGCCTTTCCCATGAAACTTTTTTTTACTTTTTTTTTTCTCTTTTTGGATCTGTTACAGAATATACTAAGCAATACTCTGAAACACTTTGCCATCCCTAATAGCAACATGCACCTTCCCTCATATTGTTTTGAGTATTTTTTTGTTGCGACAACCGCATCTACAACGTAATCTATGTCCAAATAACCTTTTTGTTCTGTTGTTTTACACTTTCAATTTCATCTGTTTCTTATCCGGCACTGGGCCGCCATAATCTTACAGGAGGCTACTACGCGCATCTACTGAGCAAATATCCTGCTTAAGGCCATCAACTGCCGCGGCTTCACCTCTCAAATAATACTTCATGGTGATTGTGTGTGATCGTACATGATAGATGCGGTTACCCATCATTGTGGAATAAAGTCTTCGTTTATGACCAAACTCATTAACAATAATCAATAGGAGAAGATGGTGCCTGGCTCTGCATATACTTTAACGCTGATGCGGAACTCTACTAACCATGACATAGCACCATATATAGAAAGGAAACTTTTGCCGTCACATAGCAGGCGCACATCCCCTTCAATGTTTTGCGCTCTAATGTGAATGGTGAAGAGCGTGCTGTTGTCGTTTTTTTTGGTGGCTTTCAACGTTTAAAACTTACTATGCACTTCTTTCCATGTGGCACTACTTTGGATGCCGTCCGGTATGCGCTTCCGTCTGGTATATTACGCACATGGTACTTGAGCGCGGTCTGGTATACTAGTTCTGTGCGACAAAAGTACTCGGTCCTAGAATCACATGTGCCCGCACGTGCATACTATGGACTATGATTCAACAATGTCTTCATCGCGAGAAAATCCAGTCCAGCACACCATGAGATCCGTTTTGTCAGTACAATCTCACGTGGCCCATGGTTACGTCGGGAATAAAGCTGCTACTTTTCCTCTTCAGTTTCTAGGGTGGGACGTGGATACTATTAATACTGTCAACTTCTCTAACCATACTGGATATGGTTCTGTGAGGGGAAATTCTATCACTGCGACAGATATGGCAGCGATCTTCAAGGGCTTGTCTGAAATCCGATGTACACATGATGCTATCATTCTGGGTTACATTCCGTCAGCAGAGCTCATAGATGTTCTTGCTTACAATGTAAATTGCATAAAGACTGAGAATCCTGACCTTTTGTATATATGCGACCCGGTCATGGGAGACCAAGGTCATTTATACGTTGACGACTCGTGCGTCGAGGCATACAAAAGACTTTTGCTGACAGGAAAAGTGGATATCATCACCCCGAATCAATTTGAGTTGGAACTCCTCTGTGGCTTCGAGATTGAATCGCAAGATACTCTTCTTGAGGCTGTAACTCGTGTGACTAAGACCTATAATGTAAAGCATGTGGTGGTTTCCAGTTTGTGTGGTGCAATAATCAACGAGTCAGGCGTCTCAGATTCCCTTTACTGTGCTGTGTTCTCCGCTGAGGAATGCAGACTAGTATTGTTCAAAATTCCCGTAATTGAATCTTATTTCACCGGTGTTGGTGACCTATTCACTGCATTACTTCTAGATAAGTTTTGCAGCAATAAGGACAATATATCAAGAGCAGTGAACCAGGTCCTCACTATCATGGCTGATGTTCTTCATCTCACGCATACCTTGGGGATAGAAGACTACTGCCGGCAAAATAAAATTTCAGCTGCTGATATCAATGATAAAAATATTCTTAAAAGCAAGATGAATGATGGGGATTCCATGCGCTTTTTCGAACTTCGGATTATCGAATCCAAGAGGTTTTACGGCTATGATCAGGATGGCATTTTCAAGCCACTACTCATTTAAGTCGCTGATGCCGTTTAATAGTTTGTCCGATAGAGCCGTCTTATCTCGAAGGATAGTATGTGCACGTTCGCATATTGGAAGTTTTTCCGCCGATATATATGCAGGAATTGGTTATGATTCATAGAAAATGTACAGGTACTCACATGATTCATATATTTGCCGAGCTTCCTCTATTATTCACTGATGCCTCTTCCCAAAGTTTTAGTCATAGGATCGGGAGGAGTGGGCACGATTGCTGCTCTTGCGTTAACACTCAACAAGAAATGTGAAGTAACTTTGGTTGTTCGCTCTGACTACGAAAAAGTCATCAAAAACGGTTATACAATCATATCCGCTACCTACGGCAAGATCGACAACTGGAAACCGCAAAATATTGTACGAAGTGTTGAGGAAGCAGCAGAAAGTGCTGAGTATGATTTTGTTGTGGTCACAACGAAGAATATTCCTGACGGTCCCACGCCGTGTGAAGAAATTGTCCGTCCGGCCATAGTTGACGGAAAGACTGTGATTGTTCTAATTCAAAATGGAATTGAGATTGAGAAACCAATGATACGTGAATATCCCCATAGCACTGTGATTTCTGGAATATCCTTGATTGGATCTGCCAATCTTAATGGTGTGATCCACAACTCTCACAAAGACTCTATTTTACTTAGCCCGTTTCACAATCCTAATGTACCGCATGAAGTTTCCGAAGCTCAAACTAGGAAGTTCGGAGAATTATATCAAAATGAAGATGAAAGCATAAACAAGATCCTTTATGAAGAAAGTGCTGTGAAGTCTAGGTGGCAGAAGTTAGTTTACAACTGTGTTCTTAACACTGTGTGCACCATTGCAGGGTTAGATGTCAATAGATGCCAAATCAATGGGGCGAATCTGGACATATTCGTTCCTGCAATGAATGAAGTCATCGCTATCGCTGCTAGTGAGGGGGTCGAAGTTGATGGTAAGGACATGTATTTGCATATTGGAGATGGAAAGTTCTATTCTCCATCCATGTTGGTGGATTCGAGGAAGAAACAACTATTTGAATTAGAGGTCATATTGGGAAACCCTTTAAGAGTGGCGAAAGCCAACGGTGTTTCCACCCCGATCCTTTCTACATTGTATACGTTGTTGAAAATGATTCAATTTAAGATTAAGGAAGAAAAGGGCTTAATCAAGATCAATGAAGATGACTATAAGGGTAAGAGTAGCGATGACTACCCCCAGATATTTCAGCAATTATCAGGAACCAAATAATATATAATGCTTGAGATTAACACCATGTGAATACTGGTGGTCTACTGTAAACTTTCTCTAACCTCTCAATGATAACTTTTTTCGTGTTCGTTTCATCATCAGCGTAGTTCCTGTGCCTCTCTTCGTCGGTGTAATTAAGATTGAATTCGAAACCTGACATGTGCATGGGTCTGTAACCGATTGATTCCATTGAGGTACTCCTCATCCTCTTCGGACTAGTTTGGTGATGTAAAAGCGGTGTGTTCTCGGTAAACTCCGTGTTCGATGTTTGCCCGGTATCTCTATCATCTTGATCAACATGGTTATTCCTTCGGTCACCGATATTCTCGTTTCTTTTCAGTATCGGTACATACATTATATCGTCCCAGATCATTAAGTTTTCTCTCCGCGTCAACTCTAGAGGGCCCGCATAATGTAATTTGAGTATTTCGACTACATTGAAGGCCTGTCCTTTCAAAACAGCCACCTGCTTAAGCCACATTCTCTCTTTGAAGTCTTCATCCTTCATGAACACTTCTTTCAACATTGAGACCGTTTGCTCCCACCAATATTTCGAGGTTAACAAAGGAAGATAGTGTTCTCGTGTTTTTCTAGAAAACGGTTGCCCAATAATCGAATATGGCAAAAATAACCATCCAAAAGGAAACGAACGCCATTCGTTGGGGTGTTTCCAAGGGAATGCAAGACCTGAGTCTATTGCACCAATTTTCAAATAGGGCTCCATACGTTTCCTGTTCTCTTTCGGCTTGCATTCGCGCCATTCAAGTTTTATCATCCAATTATCGAGTCCACGGTCAGTGTTTCTCATGATATAATCAAGGATAACTAGTTTCTCAAGCTGCTCTTGAAACTGACCGAGAATTTTTTTGGTCCACTGGAAACGAAGGCTAGCACTACCAAATGGATTGTCCCCATCTACAAAAAAATCTCTATCCTGAGGAAGAGTGTCGAGGTCTTGAGGAATTGGATACAATTTCAAGAAATCTTGGGCTTCCATGTAATCCTTCAAGAACATCTGAAATGAACCAATTTTGTACCGACCATGCTTGGCGCTCCCTCGTTCCCAGAAAGGATAGTAAAATTGTGATGATTTTAAGTAAATGACGTCAGTGTATGGGACAATGTATGAAAGAAGTTGACGGTCCAACACACATGCTGCAGCCTCTGAAATATAACCTAGATTTGGTATGAGGCATGATCTACCAAAGAAACAAGGAAAAAATGTTCTATGAAGCCATTTTGTCCACTTCGGCGATAATGGGCCGTAAGGCTCTTCATCTTTGGGTTTAAATATACCTCGAGTGAATATTTTGAAGGAAGGCCTTTCGGAATCAGAACCTTCGTTCCATTCTTTTCCCAAAATAAAGTAGCTTCCTGATGAGCCATGACTTATTTGAACAGGTTTGAGTTCACTGTCATATTGAACATCACGAGTCATGACAGAGACCATATGGTTGAAGTCTGATGGATTCATGCTATTTTCTGGAATATCCCCATTCTCAATGATGCATCCTTCCGTTTTCATAATTTCGATTAAATGCTTTTGAAAGTCAAGTTCATCAGTGATTGGTTGAAAGTACTCAACCGGCTTGAAGACTGAGTATTCAATGGTATATGACGGTGGTTCAACAGGTTTGAAACTCTTTCTCCTTCCTGTCATCGAAGAGTACCATTGTCTTGGAGTATTTACAGCGATGGAAGATTCTGAGCATGTGCGCTTGGGAGTTTGCAGATTTTCAAGCCCATTGCTTCTCAAGGCTGGTAGACTGGTCAGAAGAGTAGAATTAGGCTTTGAATAGTCCTTTATTTGTTTTTTCCCTATTTCTTGGTCCTCAGTTTGACCATTGAATGCAATTATGTCTATACCCATGGTGTCGGCTTCGACTTGGTCGTCTCTTTTATTTACAGACGATGGAGACGTGTGATTCGAGCCAGCATCATTGGAGGAGTTAGATCCACTCATCTGTATACCATACTTCATGCAATGGGGTGGAATATATTTATGCTGTTGCTTCTGCCTGAGTAGCTATGGTCAGACTTCTTCAAGTTTGTATATAGGATGCAAGTAGATCCTTCATTTTAGATAAGGTGATATTGACTCTGGTGTACACACGTTGGTCGTTGCTAAATGAAGTAAAGCGTATACTGTACCGAAAAGTTATACATATGTACGAATATGTAGCTAATTCAGACTACGTTTTGACATAGCAAATTATCTAACTCTTTGTTAGCTGTGTTCCTATAGGCAGAGAAGACTGCCCACGATTACAGCTTGAGTATAGATTAGCAATTTTGTGCCTAGGCCATGCGAATTAGCGGCATTGGAGCTAGACTTCAGAGAAACCAAAACAGTAGAGCTTTGAGTAGAATTGGATGTAACAGCCTGCCTCTTGTTGTTGTTGCCATTAGTATTCCCTAGCAATGAAAGCAAGCCAATAAGATTGTTTGTCGCCTCACTGGATTCAGCTTTAGTGGAGGTTAATGTACTTCTAGACGAGGAGACATCTTCAGATGATAATTGCTCTAAAAATTTGCTAAGATCGAAACCCGAAGTTGCTGATGACTCAGCTGCTTCTGTTGTGGTAGATTGCTCGCTTCGAGTAGTAGTAGCCCCAAGCAATGAAAGAATTGAAGCAACTTCTGCAGCAGAATCCAAACTTGACTCACTTTGAGTCCTGCTTGAAGTTTTGGTTATTGAAGATGAGTTTCTGGTGCTGGAGGCCAGCCTTGTGGATGTTTTTCTGGGCACAACTATGTTTCCTGTTGGTATTAATGGTTTGCTCACAGTGTGTGTCTCTGAAAACACATAATTGTTGAGCTTTTCAAACACCCCATTTTTCTCGGTCTCTTGAATGATGCTTCGAATAGCACCAGCATATTTGCCCATTGAACTAGTGTCCATGTTACCGGAAAGAAGGTTCGATGCGATTTTCAATACGATATCCGGGCGAGAAAGAATTCTGCTGGCAATACTTGTGACATTCAAAGCTTGAGAATCAAGCTTAATTTGTCCATTTCGGATTAGGTCAATTGCAAGCTGTGCTGTCATATTTTGGTAGGCTTCGTTGGCAATAAGCTTCTTCGCATTGTATGTTAGAAATTGAGTGTTGTTCAATGCAACAAGTGTATCGTCGGCAATACCTGAAACTAGTTTGGAACTGAATATGGTTGACAATATATTTCCCAAAAATGTTTCCAAGCTTCCTGTACTTCTCTTCTCTAAGTTGTCTCTCTTCGATTTTTTGAAAACATCTTTGACAACATATAAGATGAGATTTTCGTTCCCTTCAAGAATACGGGACACCAATTTCACAAGTGTTGGTCTGTAGCTTTCATCTAACAATATTCCATCCAACAAACTAGTCACAACTCCAGAATCCATAACCTTTTCATAAATCAGCGTATAATTGAATGCATCTTCTTGTAGAAGTGAACTAAAAGAGGAAGAATTATAATCGCCCACAAGTCTGCCTGTGATATTCGCAACAAATTCAATTCTCTTTGGATCATATGCAATCTGGTCCAAGATATCGTAAATGATACCTGACCTATTTACCAAATTAAGAATCGACTCAATCGACAGCTCCATATCTCTTTTTTGAACCATTTGACTCAAATCACTTAACATCATTTCATGATCTCTTAAGTTTATCATACTCTTGAACTCAGCAAGCCCCTCAAAGGAAAAATCTGTCGGGGGTACAGCCAATGAAGACACCGCCAACGGTGTCAAGCTTAAGGCTAACACTGGAAGTATTTGTAATTTCATGTTGCTGGAGAAAAACCAATGCTAAATTCAAGAAAAGCAGTTAGTAAATTGGGGGGTAATTTCTTACACTGGTTTACAGGCATTTATATAATCACATAATAGCAATGACCCAAGAACATATCGGATGGGGTAAGAATTATACGTACCTTCTTCTTGGGTGCAAATTTCCGTATTTGTTAATCGATGTATTCGCAGTTTCCTATTCAGGAATACTGTTACTTTACTCGAATCATTCTCCTAAACGGGAAATACCTCTTACTCGGCAATTGAAGCACCTAGTCCACCTAGACTTAAAGAGTAGATCATATAACATTCTATACTTTTGTTCGTGACCCACAAATATTTCTTGTATAATTGTGCCAACTCCCCCTGTCATATAACCTGATAGTATACCATAAACTAATTGAAATATAGTGCATAGAGTATTCAATGTTTGGAGTGCATATAATTCATTCACTGTACCCCAGACATAGCCTAATGGGGTAAAAGAGTCTACGACGAAAAACTAATCGAGTAATGTTCGTTCGTAGCTAAATCCTTTAAAACCTCTGGATACTCCTTGAATTCAATTGCAATTCGGACTTCTTGTGCTTTCACCTTTCCCATTGTATGGTAGAATGAATATTTATATCCCGCTAATATGGATGTTGGTCTGGCGCAGCTTCTGTCTTGCCTCGGACTCAATGCTGCCTACATCACAACCACAACTACCAACTTCCCACGATGAATCCATGAAAGATCACTTTACCAAACTTTTCGAGAAATTTGACGAGTGCTTTGGGAAGGACTTTGAAAATGAGGATGAACATATGACCAAAAGAGATGCATTCGAAGACAATTTAGAAAATTTGCTTATTATGTTCAATAACTCTGGAATCTTATTGGACTTAATACATCAAATTTCGAACTCTCCTCTGCAAATGGACAGCATCACCAATCTCATTATCCAATTGCTGGGAAGAGTTTTAAACATGAACGGTAGTGTCAGTTTAGGTAATATGACTCAGCTTATAAACGAGACAGCTGAGGTGGGCATTTCGGCCTTAACTGAGCTATTTTTCGTTGACCTGCAGCGAAATATGTTAGCTAATAGTGTGGGTTCAGTGTTAGCGAATTACTCTTGGATTGGATCAATAGTTAATCATATCGGTGTTCACGGATGGATTACTATACCGAAAGTCTTTGAGATTGCCCGAGATTACAAAAGTAGGGATCCAAGCTTCAATGGAACACGCTATACAAGGAGAAAGAGAGACGAGGGAAATTCATACAATGGTACCTTTCAATCTTTCTTGGATAATTTTATCAACTCAGCTGTCAATTCACAGCTTGTCGCCGCCTCAAGCACATCCGTGTTGAATGCACTCAATAACAGCGGTATTCTTCCCTCAGTAGTGCAGCAGCTTGCTGGTGATCAAGACTTTTTCTATTTGGTTGGTTATATTGCAAACAGACTTTATGACTATGGCGTCCTTGATGTCATCGACTTGAATGCGTTATACAAGAGAGCTAAACGAGACAGAATATTAGAAAGATATCTCGAATTTGGATTAAGCAACCCAACATGGGCTCCTCAGGTAGGAAGGTTCATCTATCAGTTGCGTGAGAATGGTGCCCTCCGACAGTTTAAATTGAATCTTCTTGGGACTACATGATTTAACACAATACAATCGTAACAATTTTTAAATGACTAATATACACAAATAAGAAAAAGGATTTTTTTTGACACTAAAAGGAGAGGCAGCTCATGATACCATAACCAAGTGTGATGACAAAAATGTATGTGATGATAGAAGCAGGAACACCCCTTGTGATGAATGTGTTGACAGTCAAGTATCGCTTACCCACTTCGTCTGTCATACTGATGGCAGTGACATTGGGGAATCCAGATGTTGGCAAACCCATGGCACCTGATGCAAGTAATGCTGTACCCATAATCAAAAGTAATGGGTGTGGATGAGCCATACTCTCACCAACTTCTTTAACCAAAGGAACAATGATGATGGTTGCAACAGTGTGAGAAACGAAAGTAGCCACCACTAAAATTAAAAGGCCAAAAATAAGCAAGATTACAAATGCCTCAAAGTTCTCCACCTTCTTCTGCAAGGCCAGAGCGATAGTTGCCAACAAACCGGAACTAGTAACAGCACTACCCAAAGCAAGACCGCCCATGGCCAACAAAATGATTCGTCCATGGTGAAATTTGTTAACATCGGGCAAACCTTTCAAAATACCAGTTCCAAATAAGCAATATAACCCGGAAACAACAGCAATAATACCTGAGGATCCGAAAAGTGGACTCTATCTTACTCTCAACACACCATTAGATGATAGTACCTATGCCAAACAAATACTCACGTACCATTGCTTAGCAGTGAGTTTTTTCCTTGATCGGTTTGTAGGGCCTTCACTTTGGAAAGTTGAAATCTTAAAGTGAGGATCAACTCCATCCAGATAAAGATCATGCTGCAAACAGAAACTGGAATCGCCACAGCAAACCATTTACCCCATCCTGGATTAGGGTTCATGTACTGAATAGCGATAACATTCTGGGGAGAGGCAATAGGAGATGCCATACCACCAAGGTTAGATGCCAACGCAATTCCCAAAACCAATGCTTGAGAGAATGGAGCTTCGGTTGGCAAAGTGCGCAAGACGGGTTGAATAAGAGAATAAGCCAAAACTGGTGCAGCAACATTAGAGATCCACATTGATAAGAACAATGCGACAGACATGATTGCAAATAGGACATTCCGTGGTTTCGTTCCTGCAAATGCTAACATGTAAGACGATACAATTTTGGCGACGTTGTACTTCGACAATGCTCCAGCTAATGTGAATCCAGCCAACAAAATCATTAACGTGGAAGACCACATCTTACCCAAGATGAAAGTGGATGCGTCAGCTGCCCCCATTGGTCCCCCTGTCTTACTGTCTTTCAAGACCTGACATGTAACAACCAACAAAGGGACTAACATAGATGTAACCCACAAAGGTAAAGCTTCGGTTGCCCACAACATAGCTGAAGCTACGAGAACTGCTAAACAACGAGCTTCTTGTTTATCGTTCATCGTTTTCACCGCCAAAAGGATAATAAAAACAATAATAATGATTGTTAATTTTATGATTTGTGAAGTAAACAAAAATTTTGGGAGGGAAATGTGTTTCTCTGTGAATGGAATTTTAATATCTTTCATCAGCAACTGCAACAATGATGTCAACTGAGCTTCATCGCCAAGCTTACTCTTTCCAACAGCAGTTTCGTCAAGGTTCAAATTGTAATTATTTTTCTCCAATGATAACAAGTCCTTCCAGACGGTATTTCTCTCCCAAACAATGTGATCCCTCAAGTACGATTTCATCTCCAAACGGATCGCATCTAAAGCTTCTTTATCTGTGTAAGATCTTCCTGAGAGAGTAGCGTAGATATGCACTAAGTGTTCAATGCTGTAATCAAGTTTTTCGCTTGTTTGTGGGAAGAAAGTTCTGGAATTGTTGGGTAAGAAGTTGTTGATGAAATCCTCCTTCACTGAGTAATTGCAAGTTTTGTCAAATTTTTTACAGATTTTGGTAAATCCAATTCTGTTCAACTCAATGAAAGACTTCAATTCACTCAAAGAAATGAACATATGAATGGATCTTCTTTTCAATGTGATTTGTTTTTGTTTCTTGACGTCGAAGTCTTCCTTTGTCAACAACGCAGAGTTTGAGGAGTGATGATCTTCATCTTCCTCTTCATCATCATCTTCTTCCTCATCCTCCTCGATGCTACCCTTCTCCATGTCAATGTCTAAATGGTTGACTGTATCAAAAACCGAAGCATTGGTAGTAGTCCGCTCTAATGTGGATCTCACGTAGTCTTTCTCATCTGCACTTCCACCGTGATAAGCACTACTGAACTGGAGCTTATCATGGAACCTGTTAGCTTCCAAATCTTTCATCAAGTTGTCATATTGATGGTAAAGTTCAGCTTCTTTAGCTTTGAAAAATTTATCGATTTTGGTCAACTCATCGGATAAGCACTTGGAGAAAATTGGTAAAGGGTCAGCTCCACCTTGTGCAGAAAAAGCTTCATTTGCTTCAGTAAATACGTCCAAGTCAATGGAGCCGCGGTAAGTAGACCCATCAAGTTCAAACAGATGCACTTCAACATCATCGCCCGCAGAAACACCTTTTTCAATTTCTTTTTCTTCGGTAATGTCTTTGTTCTTTTTAAATCTCAACTTGTTCACTAGCTTAGAAGGATTGAATTTTTCATTAGAGATGTCTTCCTCATCCACTGCACTAGAAGAAGCCATTTGCATCGCTTCCCGTCTTTCTTGCAAAGCCTTATTTCTTCTGGCGATTCTTATCAAGTCAGAGATATTAGCGTGGTTGACCTTTATTGAGCCATCATTAGGTTCGGAATTTTCCAATTGGTTTTGCTGGGCATTGTAAATGACTTTTTTCAAGGCAGGATAGTTCAAGTAATAGTCCTGCCATTCAGGTACAGCATTAAACTTGATAGAATGAGAGAACTTCATGACAAGCTATGAATGCCCAAAGAGGAAATATATCGTCTGACAGAAAAGTGACAGGGCCCAGAAATTTAATACGGTATCTGCTCGTGTGACTTTTGGCCGAAGAGGTAAAATTTGATTTCTTTTGTGACCTCTTTGCAGGTCAATTAATACATGCCCACGTGGGGTTCTTATTTCGATATGTTATGTGCAGATTCATGTGCGAATTTCTTTTTCTTGGTTTTTTTTTCCATCCTTCATTACCGACTCGCTTCAAGTCCTTCCATCATCTGAAGGGGTGCATACAAACCAGTCAGTTCTATCTTCCCCATCTGTCCCCATCTGTCCCCATCTGTCCCCAAGCTTAGAAACAAATCATTCTCTTCGTAACTGACCATTAGTAAGTTAATATACTAAATAATTTAAATTACTATAATAGTTTTGATTTAAATTCTCAAATCTAAAATTTTCTAAATTTGTCTACTTTTCTGCAGAATGCAATATTAGAGAAAGATACATCATGAAGTAAATTTAAAACATTCATAAAATGACATTTACGTAGACACTATACATTTCTATGTGTTCTGAAAACTTACTTATCAGAAATAAATCTAAGTTTCAAACATTTCAAAGCTGTCTTTCCATTTGCCAGCTTTGTAGATGTCACACGAAGTCACGCTCACACGCGAATGGTGAGTCACATGACATCACCTTGTCTATGTAGTTGCAAGAAAGCTTGAAAGAAGAATTATCATGTCCTTTCCACCAAGAATTATTCATGAGGGCGAGTACATACTGATTCCGACAAGAAGACCTCTACCAATTAATAGTACGACTAGCTCCGTTGCAAATTCCCCTGCACTTCTGGGCCTGCCAGTTACAACCGAGTTAAAAGAGGATACTATTTGGAAGGACGACTTGGACAATGAATTGGCATCCAAAGCCCTGTCTCTTAAACTTAACAATTTGCCGCAAGAAGAGCTTCTCCCATTGGTTCATAGATGGTCACACACGCACTCGATTCTCAGTGTTGTGGCTGCACCTTCAAAGAATCTTGTATTGTGCGGCACCCAGGATTCCAAGATATTGATAGTTGATATCAACACATACAGTATCAAACATGTTATTAGCTGTGGCCATAATCTGTTTGCAGCTTCTGTACTTTGTTTAACTCTCAGCACTGATGAAAACTATCTATTTAGTGCGGGGTCTGATTCATTGGTGAAGATATGGGACTTGACTCCTTTTAACACTTCCCAAGCAGTGACACATGAAATTCGCTGTACCCATATAATTTACTCCTTGGTTGATATCGGTGATATATTTTCTATAACGTGGTCAGAACAGCTTTCAGTTCTTTTCATTGGTGCACAGAATGCATCCATTTTATGGTGCAAACTAGACCTTGTTTCAACGCAATTAAATACGACCCAAGCAGAACAGGGATATCCTTTGGATCGCTTACCACATCTAAGGTTTGATAAGTTCTTCGACTCCAAAGGACCAGGAGGGTCTATCAACAGAGCTCAATCGGAACATCAACTTCTTCGCGATAAAGACTTAGATCAAGTCCGCCCGGTATTGGTTGAAATCAGCCATAAAAATGTCATTAAATTCGCCCATAATGGATACGTTTACTGCATGAGTTTGTTAGATAGAACAAACGCTACCGAGTTTTGTGAGCTATATGCAAAGTTTTATTCAACAACCTTGGTCACTTGTGGAGGAGACGGTGTAATAAACGTATGGGGAGTCAAGGTTCTCGATGATGACTCATTATCTATTGAAGTCATTTCACGGCTTGAGAATGATGAATCAATTCTTTCGATGCATGTGAGCAATTCGTCTATATACGTTGGGTTATCAAATTCTAGTATAAATTCGTGGGATTTGACTACGTTTCAACTCACAAGATCTTTTCATTTCGTATCGGGAAATGATAACGGTGACGAGATTCTTTCACTATGCATCAATGATGGATACATTTACAAAGCCACAAACACTGGAGGATTATGCAGATTCAAGTTGAGAAACAACATTGGTGAAATTCCGAAAGAGAAAGGACAGCCTATATCCAGTAACGTGGATTTCAATCAACTTTTCCCTCGCGAGCTTGTGAGTGTCGAACATAATTCTGTGTTTGCAGTTCAAACGTTTCATTCTCGCGGCGCCACTTTCCTTGTTTCTGGTGGTGCGGGTTCGTTATGTCTTTGGAATATTACAAATTCTGGAGATTGTCAAGCCGAGAAAAAACGAGATATTATGTTTGGCGATATAGAGGAGAACTGGACCAACGAACACATGCTAGAATCACTCAAGAACTTGATCTCATTCAAAACTATTTCGAAATATCCCAGCCTTTATTTGGAGGACTCAAGAGAATGTGCGCGCTACATTAGTCGACTCTTGATGAGTTTGGGTGCGACTGACACAAGACTCTTGCCTGTTCCAGACTGTAATCCTCTCGTGTATGCTAAATTCACGAGGAACCACAAGGATTCACTACATAGGAAACCAGTTAGAGTTTTGTGGTATGGTCACTATGACGTGGTTGAAGCGACAGATAAGGAAGCGTGGAACACAGACCCATTTTCGCTTACCGCTACTGACGGTGTTTTGTACGCTCGTGGTGTTTCAGATAACAAGGGCCCCATTTTAGCTGCTATATATGCAGTTGCTGAGCTACATAGCAAAGAGTTATTATCAGTAGATGTGGTCTTCATTATCGAGGGCGAGGAGGAGTGTGGCTCGATCGGTTTCCAAGATATTGTTCTTCTGCAAAAAAAATTGATAGGTGAGATTGACTGGATTATGTTATCCAACTCTTACTGGATTGGTGATGATGTTCCGTGTCTTAATTACGGCCTTCGGGGAGTCCTTAATGCTTCCATTGTTGTGGAGTCAGACAAGCCTGACAGACATTCTGGTGTTGATGGCGGTGTATCAAAGGAGCCTACAATGGACTTAGTTCAAATCTTGGGTCTGTTAATGTGCCGCTCTACTAATAGAATCAACATACTGGGGTTCTATGACGACGTTCTACCATTAGATGAAACCGAATTGAGTCTTTATGAGGGCATTAAGAAAGCAGCAAGCACAACGGATGTTGATGAAAGTAACTTAGACTCTCTTTTGGCGAAGTGGAGAAACCCTTCGTTGACTATACATAGGGTCGATGTGTCAGGTCCTAAAAACAACACTGTTATTTCACAATCAGCCCAAGCTTCTGTGTCTATCCGTGTGGTTCCCAATCAAGAATTGGCCAAGATAAAGGCACTGCTTGTCTCTCATTTAGAAAGAGTGTTTGCAGAATTGAAGTCCGAAAACCGCATGAAAGTTAATATTTTTCACGAAGCGGAGCCTTGGTTGGGCGACCCTACGAATTTGGTCTACCAAATCCTTTACAAAAAGATGAAGCTGAATTGGGGTCCAACTGTTCCTGATCCTCTTTTCATTCGTGAAGGAGGATCTATCCCATCCATTCGTTTTTTAGAAAAATCATTCGATGCTCCGGCAGCTCAAATTCCATGTGGCCAGGCCAGTGATAATGCTCATCTACAAAATGAGAAACTAAGAATTATTAATTTGTACAAGCTTAAGAACATCTTGTTTGACACATTTCAAGAACTTGGCCTTGCATAGATTGAAAAATCATATCACCTTCAACACACTAACACCAAAGACTCTATAATGTATAGAATGCACCTCAAATCTATCTGTATTCCAATTTTGGAAGTCTTATACCTTTTCGCCGACTTCCTCTCTGCTCAAGGCAGAGTGCTGATGATCGTTAGTCTTTTCGCCCTTTGCTAAGATAGAGCTGTTGCTCTCCACATTATCACCTTTTTCTGGGCTGGCAGCGCCAGCAGCAGTTTCCTCACCACTATCATTAGCAGAAGGGGTAACAGGAGTTGCAGCAGCAGCAGCAGCAGCAGCCTTTTGAGCGGCGATTTTCTTGAAAAATGCAACATATCCGTACTTAGAATGCGCTCTAAGCTTTGGACCGTACTTCTTGAATGCAAAAGGAATTGGAACCATGGCTAAAGAGATGAAAGCCAATAATGTAGTAGCCCAATCTATGTGCAATCTTTCATACATTTGCACCATAAACAATGGGAAAACAGATGCCAAGAGATAACGCAACAAGTTGTTAGCAGCCAAGGCAGAAGCAACATAGGCAGGTGGGAAAGACATCGAGTAGTAAAGAACAATACCGAAAAAGACCCAAATTAATCCGAAACCAAATGGGAGACCTGCAAGTGTTGGTGCAATCCAATGAATAGATTTCTTGGCCGTCCAAGCTAACCAAAATAAGGCAATAGGCAAAAAGACAGATCCAGCCATGGCAATGGTTAATTTTCTTTCAGGGGCGTCCCAAACAAAATTGCCATTCTCATCACGTTTGCCTCTAGTTCCATCAGGGTTCTTTGGGTAATAATAGAAAAGGTCGAGAGCAACATAGAGCACCACTCCAAAAATCAAACCAATTCCAACAGCAAGGAAAGGCAAACCTGAGACACCGAAATCCATTCTGTAAAGGCCTCTAAAAATAATAGGGAAAGCCTCAAAGAAACCGAACAAAACCGCAAAAACGAAAGCAATGTAGAGGGATGTTAAACCGACGATAGGCTCCACGAATAACATTTCAACAGGTCTGATGATGTAGACTTGAAGGGCAAGCTTGACAATGTCAATGAATTTATATTGAACCAACTTCACACCTCTGCTCTTGGCTCTCTTTCTCAAAATTGCCAATTTGTATGTTTCTGGAACGAGAAGAAGGAATGGCAAAATAGCACCTGAGAACATCAAAGATACCCACATAGTCCATTTCCATCCTTTATGTTCAGCGGCGAAACCTCCAACGATCGGTCCAATGACAGGACCCAAGAATGGTGCGACACAGAACAAAGCCATTGCAATAGACATGTCGATGGGCGAGTTACCCCAAATATCAGAAATGGTTCCTCCAGCAAGAGACATTGGCGGCGATGCAATAAAACCAGCAAAGAATCTTAATACAAGAATGGTTCTGATATTTTTAGACAAACCAACACCCATGGTGAAGAGCATAGATGCTGGAAATGTGAGAATGTAGATATATCTCCGGCCCACCATCTCCGAAAGAGGAGCTGCAATAACTGGACCGAGAGCCAAGCCAATCAAATAGAATGTCAATCCAGAAAGACCGAGCGTCTGTGAAATGCCCATCTTTATTTCAAGCTCTGGCACACCTTCGACGAACAACGAAGAACCCAAAGAAACACATAAGCAGACGTTCGCAGTAACGAAGGTGATAAACCATTTCTTGGACTTGGACCAGTTGAAAGGGTTTTCTTTGTCATCCGGACCGTCCCAATCCAAATCCTTTGGGTCGATGAATTCTCCGTGAGTCCGACTTGGTTGCAAAGAAAGTCCCAATGAACCTCCTGTTTGAGTAGTTACAATCCTATTCAATTCATTTTCATCCATATTCGAAACATCAATTTCTTGCGGGTGTTGAATTGGCATGACATAATCAATCTCATCATCATCTAAATCTTTCAGGGATGATGGGGCATAAGGTTGTGTGGCTTCTTGAATGGTGGAATTGTTCTCTGAAACAGATTCCGAATAAGTTTCATTTTGGTTGTCTCTGTTATCTATTAAATCCTCATCAGGGTCGAATTCAGATGCCGAGGCGAACTCAGACGCTGTTTCGTATTGAGATGATGCCGACTGGTCAACAGATGCTCTTGACGCCAGAGCTTCTGCAGCAGCCCGTAATGCCTCCTCTTCAACTTTCGATGTACCTAGCACACCCATTTTGTAATTGAGAGTCGAAGCTGAGATAAATAAGAGAATTAAAGGATTAAATAAAGTGAGAAAAGGTACTGGAAAAAAAGACTCTGGTAAACAAAATAGATAGATGTAATCGGTTTCTATATACAGTACGGCAGAATGAGCCGAGGGTAACAAATTTCATTATTGACACTTACACACAAACAATTTGGACGAAAGAAAAATTAAATTGATATAGAGGCTGTAATTAAGAGCTCAATTTAACCCATCCAGCTCCGAGCTAAACTTTTCAACCTAGTTTGACAGGTCAAGATTATTGCCGGACTTTGGGTTATATCCCGAACAAGGGCAGAAATAGCCGATGCGCAACCACACCATTGAATTACATGTGGTCGCCCCTTACGGAATAGATGACATACACAAGTTTGCAAGCCAAGATTGGCATAAACCTGTACCAACAATTAGCCTTATTGCATCATTCTGTATTAGGTGAGAGTTATGTCAAAGTTTGAATAATATTGCGCTGTGAAATTCTTGAGCCCGGGCCATATACAGTTCTTGCAAACAGAGAAAAAAGTTTCCCGATAGTAAGCCGCGCGGACGGCTGAAATCCCGCGCTTAAAGTTACTTAAATTAGGTCAGTCCGGCAGTTTGGGCCGAGGCCCATCCATAGTAAGTTTTTGCACGAATATATCCGAATGCAAAGTTGCAGGAGAAAACAACTGTAATAGCTCCCGCAGCAACCAAGAAAACTTTGAAACTTAAGGGCTCGACCAATGAATTCAATATCATTCCAATGATTTGGGCACTTACCAGCGAGGTGTTACCTCCCTTGAATGGATCTTGGTTCATGCACTTCTCCCAGTAGGCACACATCTTCTCGAGGGCGGGCACAATTGTATCAGGTGAACAGTTATTTTCATGGTAGGAGCGTTCACACAGGGCGATCTCAACAAGCAAATTATTTGCCTGGGACTCAAGCCGATGGGCAACATCTTGACGAATGGTTTGCACTATACTGACGATAATATGCAAGAGATAACACGAGAGCACCATGTTTAAGGCAAGTTGTAAATATGAGGACAAAACGTACGGTACCCGCTCAGCAGGAGAAGATTTAGAATCCCACGGAAGAGGAAGCATCCCTTGATATGCTTGCCTTTGGACCTGGGTTACCTTTTCATCGAAGGTGTCGCCATGTGGCATAATTTGCGAGCGATACTGCTTAAGAAAGTTCGCTGAACCAGGAAGAGTGCTTCCAGAATCTTCATAACCCAGGCTGTAATAGTGATGGTGATGAACTTGTACTGCACTGGAGCGGGAATCCGGTTCATGGACGGATATGCTGGTGTTTGCGCCCTGGTACTGCTCTGGAAACATTTGCTTGCGATAATTGTACGAGCGATTCATCATAGTGTTATAGTAGAATGACGAGTGTGCGTCATTCCTTGTATTCGGGGTGTCAGAAACATCCAGGAAGAAGGACAGATTGACATTTGGATTGAAAGAGCTACGGTCGGGATCTTTGCTAGCAAAGGGCAATTGTCGGTACGGATGCATCGAGCTCGTATCAAACTCGTAGTCGTGCAAATCCAGATCTTTGGAAGGTGATGAAGAAGGCGATGAGGCGGATGGGGGTGGAGGCATGAGAAGCTTTTGTTTCTTCAAAGCGTATTGGGCGCCTAGATTGGTGGGACTCAAAGCATTTAGTAGCAGATGAGCTTGACTATCGTCATTCTCAATGTCTTCCGAAATGTCTAAGGATTCTGAAGATGACGAGTTATTAGACGGGTCCACAACTTCCTGATCATCAAGATTGAAGTGTATTTCATCAATCTCCATTGGATCATCGTGCATGTCTTGCGAGACGTTCAACAGATCATGAAGCGATAGCAGATTTATTCCAAATCCCAACTCTTGAAAGCTCATAATTTATTCAAGTAATTCACTGAAAATGAAATGTAAGACCATGAACGGTGGTTTGTTAGTGATGGATGATTTGAGTGGTGCGTAGTTTAGTCTCGTGTTCCTGGAACTGTAGGGCCAAATGTGGAGCTGCGCGCACTCACCATAATTTTCAGTCTCGCATCACAAGCTCATCGCCATGGGATCAAAAAGAAAGAAGCAAGAAAAGAAGAAAGACTTCCTTAAACCGAAGCTTAAGGTCGGAAAGACAGCAGCTAAACCTTCTAATTATACAGATACCTCTTTCACTGCAAAATCTATTTCGCTTCCGAACCAGTCTCTTGTCAAAAGTACCAATGGTCTGACACAAGTGAAAGAGGAAGTTGATCTTACCCACCATCTCCTGCTTACGAAGCACCATGCCGCTACAACAAGAAAGGAGGTGTTAAACTACATCGAAAACCATTTGCCTTCTAATCCTTCGTTATACAAACAAATTCTTTCTTTGACTGTTTCGTTGATCACCGATCAGTCTAATAATGTGCGGCTAGCTTTCGTCTCCCTTCTAGCAGCATGTGCACAAAAACAACCTGGGCTTCTAGAACTACACATGCGCTCAATAATATTGTTTGTTCATTCGGCCATGTCACATATCCAAAGTGACATCAGAGGAACATCCACTGCCGTCTTGAATGTACTTATAGACCATGCCTCAATCCCATTGGTTAAAGGACACTTCGTCAAGACTCTCAAGAGCTATTTTACTCTCATGTCGTGGAATATCTCAAATGACAAAAAGGCAATCTCGTATGCCGTGAACACATCAGCCACTCTTGGAGGTGCAAGCAAAAAAGCCCGCGTTGGCCATTTGAATGTATTACAGAAATTCTTGAGGGCTGCTCTCTTTGAAAATTCTCAAGAGGATGTCTCAAGCATAAATTGGGATGCTTGTAATACCATTCATCCACATACAGCAAGACATATGCTTCCTAATAATCCTCAAGCTTTCACGGCTTTTAAGTTCTTCATTGACGAACTTCCGTCCAGAAGAAATGATGATGACGAGATCGCTGGAGAGGATGGGGCCTACTCGCTTCATGAGATCGATAACATCTCTACGGAAGACCAGACTACTAGACGTAAAATCTTGAAAGACATTTTTTTGGGCCCATTAAAGAAGAACTTATTGAATATAGTGAAAGAAGGTGGGGAGGCAGGTAAAGAAGCGAATTCATGCCTCGCGGTCTTGGAAAATTTCGAAAAGGAAATCAAAAAGTCGGAACAAACATGATTCATACATAGATAGTAACATACATATATATACGACGTAATGAGTCCATGATTCGCTGCTCTTAAATCTAAGTTTCTTAGAAAATCCTGTATCGATCCAACCAACTATTAGGTGCGAACCCAGTTGATGTAAAGACGCTATGTTTCGCTCTTTAATTTTCAGATCCACTATAAGAGCTGTGCCAAAAAGGGTATTCCCGATAGCCGCTATTCCTACTAGAAGCTTTCATGCCTCATTTGTGTCTTTAAAAAAAAAGGGGAAAAAAGGCTCTGCTAAAGATGTCGAAGAAGAAGTTACAGATGCACCTCAAATTGACATGGACGAAGTAACAAAGAGACTCCAACTGGTAATTGATAAGTTTGCCAAGCATGCAAACGAAGCAAAACTAGGTAAAACAAATCCACAGATTTTTGACCACTTGCAGGTTGAAACTGCAGACGGTGAAGCGGTATTCACCTCTGTAGCCCAAACTGCACTCAAAGGCCGTAATTTCATCATCACGGTGTTCGATCCTGCCAACACAAAGCATGTGGTGAATGCTGTATTGGCGTCAGATTTAAATATGAATCCGATTGCAGATCCTTCTAACAAACAAATGTTGAAGGTTCCTTTGCCTCCCGTGACTACAGAATCCAAAAAGGAGAATGTTAAACATTTGAAGACAATATATGAGAAGTATCGGAATGGTCCAGGTGGATCAGGAAAGCACGCTAGTACTTTAGCGGCAATTAGGGCGGATGTGAAGAGCAAAGTGGCGAAGAAAAAGAAGTTGACTGATGCTGAGACTAAAGTATGGACCGAGTATGAAAAATTGCACAAAAGTTTTACAGAAAAGCTTGGAGAAGTTTTCAAAACAGCAGAAGCTGCTATGATGAAGTAAGTCTACACAACAAAAGACGGGCCAAAAGTTGTATATATTCTAAAAAGTTACTCCGTCACCGACAAATAATCTCTTATTGTAACGCTCGCACCATCTTATGATACGTAAACTTTCCTCGATAATCATTTGCGCTTGGCCCGAACCGCCGCAAATACAATAAAACTCTGATTTTTCATCTTGTAACAAAAAACCCGTCAACCAGCCACCTTCAAGTTGCCAACGGGTATATGTGAGCTTTTTTGCACTCAGAATCCCTTCTATTGCAATCGACGTTTTCGAGCGTGCTAAATTGGAGTACAAATGATTTACATGAGACAGCGCTCTAAGAACATGGCTCATATTTCCATCGAATTGTAGGTTGTCCATGTAAAATTGATTGTAGCTCTTGCGCTTGTAAATGAAATGCCTGATGATTGAAATGCCCAACTCTCTTAGGACGGGAGTGGATGTGGACATGTGCACAAGCTCATCACTCAATTTTCTGCAGAACGCTGAAGATCTCTTAATCCTGTAAGTAATGTAGTTTGCTACCTCTTTCATGTCGTAAAAGCTGCTTTTGTTTCCACTTAGTAGAATTATAATGATAGGTGAAGCAAGGGTCGGAAGGAACAATTGCTTCACAAAGAGATAGAGGAAGCCCGAGTCATTGAAGTTGGGCATACAAAGAGGAATCCAAAGCTCGGGTGCATCGTCATGTTCTGGAACCTGCAATGAGGATGAAACTGTAGAAAGCAAAGTTCTAATATCTTCGTTTCCTAAGTGGTGGGCTTTCGGTCTTAAATAGCTCAAAACTTTTTCCTCTATAGTGAGAAAACCAAATAGCAAATCTGATGCAATAAATCTTTCTTTATCAGATCCCAAAAGTTTGTCCAGAATAATCAATGATCCATTCGAGCTGTGTTGTTTTGCTTTTAGTCTTTTGCATGATATCAATATTGCATCAAGCTTCGCTCTAGTTGACTTCCGAATTTTGGCACATGTAATGGCATTGTTAAGCATAGCTCCTATGTAGAAGGAGTTATCCATTTCGTATTCTCCAGTGGTAGATAGAGTGAACCCATATGTTAGTTTCATGCACAAAGAATCTAACATGTTGAAATCCTGATGAGACAAGATATTTCGAAGATCATAATTCATTCTCCTGTCAAAGTTCTTACAAATAACCGGCTTTGAAAGAACAGCGAGGATGTAGTTGTATATAGTTCTGAGCTGTTCTTCGATTATCGAAGTCTCACTATTATCACCCGAGCAAGGTACGAGTTCCGATGAGACATTGGTAGCAGCGACCAACAATAATGGATTCCGATCCATAACCACTAATCTAAACTTGTCTTGGGATATGTGATGGAACTCGGATTTCAAGCTCTCATGAAAAGTGCTTACAATAGTGGTAATGAGACCCATATATCCCATAATTAAGCCGTCTGATCCATTCATGGAATAGATTGGTTTGCCTGCTGTGGATAGAATGAAAAAGTGTTTGAGTTTTCCCTTGAATGTATCCAAATTATCCAGCTTTTCTAAAGCCACTCGTTTCATTAAGAACGATTCATCAAGAGGTACTTCATCGTCAGTAAAAACATTATGCATACTTGGAGTTGAAATCCCGTTCTCATCCCCTCTTCTTGAATCCTTTGCCATAAGGTTCTGGAAAAGACTAGTAAGCTCACTGTTTTCAATGTTTTCCCCCTCGAACTCCTCATCAGATGAACCCACTGCAGATAGATACGGGCTGGTACCGCTTGCTAATGAGTATCTGTTCAGGTATGATGGATGCAACAGGCTAGTATCATCTGCTTCGTTAGGAAAAGCAATATCCGCTTGATTCGCATTTGCCAAGGTAACCGCGGTTGTAGGATTCGTTACTAGATTTGAGGAGCTGTCCGAAGCCGTTACTTTCTGTTGTAGGAAGGAGAAGGATAGTTTTGAAGTGAGTGCCCTGGGTCGATGTGAATTGTTGGAAGTTGGGGCTCCTCCTTCGTACGGATCCATTTCAGTGAACAAGACTAAAAGTCAATAGCGCGAGTTTATCTGTCCGCAATAGAACTATGGAACCATCACAAATTACGAAATAAATTGAGTACGAACTAAATTGGTCTATCTTTACTGCTTGAGACAACGAGTAATACAATATTACCCTCGTGTTCTTGGAAACATGTAATAAATTTATACAAAGGAAGAGACAAAGTGTATTATTTCTAGCGAAGAAACATGAACCAGATCACAAACACCACGAACAAACCAGCTCCAACTACTGGAATATACTGCTTGATCAATGCCTCAAAGTTTATTCTTTGTGCCTTCTTTCTGTACTTTATGGAATCATTCTTCAAGCTTGAAGATAAGTCGCTCATCTTGTCTAACGAATCACCTCTGTACAACAAGTCTTCAATGTTCTTTGTCATCACCTTTTTAACATCCGCTAAGTCGTTATTCAACTTATCAAGATTAGACTGAGCCCGCTGGTCCTGGTAAATCTTTTTGGTCTTGCTCAAAAAATTGTCGAATGAACTAAATCCGTATGGTCTAGCTGTAGAACTCAAGGCTTCTCTGCCATGTGAATGCTCAAATTCATGACTCACTTCTGTCAAAAACAGAAAGGCCAATTTTCTTGGGTACGATTTCTCGCAAATCGTAAGGTATATGATATTGTTCAGAATTAGGTAATGAATGTTGTAGTTACCTGATTCGATTGTAGCCTGAGAGGCAGAATTTGGTGTGATTCTGCTTATGATTATTTTGCATTTCTTCTTCTGTTCGTTCAAACCTTGGTCTGCTGCATCATCGACTGAACCGCAAAGTGGTAGAGCTAGCAATGTTAGTAAAGAATATCATCAAACTATTGAGTTGTAACGCAGCTTTAAAGCAAGGCCAAAACACATTTAATACAGAAGAAACATACCATCATACCTATAAATAAGGGTTGACTTTACCATGATGTCCGTCTAAGGTTACGCTGCGCTCTGTTTCCATGACTTGTCAGTATGGAAACAAGATATGCGCACGTGACGAAACTGTCACTTTTGCGTATCATCTCTCAAGAAAGATTAGCACACGAATTTTTTTATTTTTATCATTAACCATAATACTTTGCAACAAAAGACGATTAATTTGAAATTTCCTGGCCTTACATGGACTTGTCAAATCTATCCAATAATCTTCCTCCAGTGAAATCGCTTGAGCAAGTGTCTCTTGTGGATTTGAACAGAGATTTAACAAACGAGTTCAAGAACACTGCCAAAGCGGTTGCTTCACTTTATAATGCGACTTCACAAGCTGAATGCGAGCATAGGAGCGCAAAGACTGAGTTTTCAAATGCAGCGAAAGCTGTGGCATCATTATATCGCACTGGCAGCAATTCAAATGTTTTACTGATGCACAAAGGGTATTTGGATTGCTTAGATGACATGCTACGCGTTATCACTAATGATGAAGACATCGAAAGTTGGGTACTTACAAGAAGAGCCGAGTTGACCAACTCTTATAACACCAATCAAAATCACGGAGCAGGCTCTCCGGGGCGAGCATCTGTTAGTCATAATACCCATGAGAGATTAACGGATGAAGCATTTCCTGTGAGAACAAATAAAGATTCTTCTCACAGGCTACGAGACTTTGATGAAGCTTCCTCTGAGAACCTGAAGAAAAACACGACGGAGAAGAAGTTCCTGAATAATGGTACAGCAAATGATCTTTCACTGAGCCAGCTTCACACGGACTATGAGTTTTCTTTGCCCCAGGAACTTATGTCTCATGTAGTTTTCCGTCCCAGCTTCCCACCTCTCTCGGTTTCTTTCAAGAGACTGAAGAAATGGTGTGACATAAAGGACCGTAAGATGCCCATTTCACTACAAGATGCGAGTGGATCTTCAGATTGTGATAGTGATGATGGAATAACAGATGCAGACATAAAGAAAAAAAGATTAGCGCATTCATTACATGAAGTGCCGAAGAGGCAGAAAAGGGCTCCTGGCAGTGATAACGATTGAAACTTCCGTCGTACACAAATTACATTCTAGCATCATCTCTCTTTTAAGTGAATTCATGAATATCACGTATTTCTTCATTAAAATTATGCATTTCAGGTGTCTAAGTAGCAGCGCATTATTAGTAGCCAAATAAGCCGTCAGAGTTGTCGTAATCTCCCTCGTCAAACTCTTCGTAGTCACTATCTGAATCACCCTCAGATGAACTAGCGTCCTCGCTGGAGCTGTCAGACACAACTAAACCTTCTAAAGTCAAGCACAACAAAGTATCTCCCTTGGATTGAGTACCATTCATCACATCATGCGTTGACTCCACATTACAGTTGATCAACTTAGACTTGCTGCGGATGATCGCATGGTGACCCACAACCGTGTTTTCCAATTGAACATCATCTTCAATAACAACATTGTCTAGGATAATCGATCCTGTCAACTTCACTCTTTTACCGATTATGCAATTGGAACCAATCACCGTACGCTTGACCGTGGTCTTTTCGCCCAACAGTGTATTTTCACCAATAATAGAGTCGGCACCAACGTTTGCTGCAGTTTTCTCCTTAGCAGCAGTTTGTTTCACTGCACCTTCTCTTGCTTGCAATTTCAAATAATGTCTGTTACCCTCCATGAGAACAGGTAAGTTGTTACATCTAAAGAAAATAGCTTGTTCTGGAACCATCATGAAACCAATAGTGGACTTGTGGTTGGGTTTTTGCCACGGCTTTCTTGCCAAATCTCTCACAACTTTGATGAGAGGCCGAGTAGCGAAGTAGGTATCGATAAACTTGTCGGGATAGGCGTCAAAAATTTCGAAAATCTTCTTGGCATTACCGAAGAAAATAGAGCTATTCAAGGATTGCGTGCTGACAGTGGCGTTCGGGTACGACCAGACCATTTGAGTCCTTATTTTTAAGGCCTTGTGGAATTCAATGTCTGCCACAGAATAATAATCCAATAATTGCGACAGGCCAGTTGGTAATTCCGTATAGATCGTATAGTTCTTGGGGAAAATTTTGTTTTTCTTATCCTCGATCTCCAACCGATTTTTGTAGTATACCAACATGCCCACATCTGTATCCTGACTTGATCTATATGCTTCAATCAAGACCTGAGGGGGCAAATTTGTGATGAAATCACACGGCAATAATACAAAATGTTCATACGGACTAATAGCGTTCGTTTTGTACAAATGTTGCAAAACTTGCCCGCTGGCAGAAGAGTCAACTTGGACTACCAGGATTGACTCGGTGAACAGGAAAGTATGGTCACCACTGGTTTCACTGCTTGATTTCGTCGCCTTGTAGCGCTTCAAGCTGGCCTCAATGTCTTCAGCAGAAGCATCATCACAAACCAAGGTCACTTTTGGGAAAAAGGCACGCTCACACCAATCAAGCACATATTCAACCATAGGCACATTGGCAACAGGTAAAAGTGCCTTCAGAATGCCAGTAGAGCGCATTTTCGAGAAGGGAGTGAGCTGTTTTCCAGGCCCGCATAGGATGACCGCGTGAAATTCCATTGCAATCTGGTTATGTTGGCAGTGCCCTATGAAAGATGGGTTTTTCCAGTCTCTTGAGTGCTAGATGAGAGACAATTGTACATCCGTACCTCTGTCCATCTACCCATTGCGCGCACAAAATCCGTGGGTGGCACATTTTTGTGAAGTACACGCACACACACTAATCGACGCACGAGATTCTGAAGCTCTTGATAGTGTGGCAATTTCACATATAGCACGAGAAACTTCATTATAGCCATGAGTGAAGAGAACGATCCACTTTTGTCAGCTTTGCAAGGAGAGGAGAACACAAATGAAAACGTCGCGGGAAACGATGAGCAGCCCCAACAAAACCAACAAGAAGAATCGCCAGAAGACCGCGAGAGAGCTAAAGCGTTGGCAAAGTTCAAAGAGAAATTGATTGAGCATCGAAAATGGGATGCTCGTCTTAAAGAAATGAGATTGAGCATGCGAGATTTGGAGAAGACCTACGACAAGACAGAAAATGATATCAAAGCTTTACAGTCTGTTGGCCAGATTGTAGGCGAGGTGTTGAAGCAATTAACAGAGGAAACATACATCGTCAAAGTGTCAAGTGGGCCACGTTATATTGTGGGCTGTCGTAACACCATCAACAAAGAGAGCTTACAGAATGGTGTCCGTGTCTCGTTAGACATGACAACTTTGACCATTATGCGTATATTACCAAGAGAAGTGGATCCATTGGTGTACAATATGACGACGTTTGAACCAGGCGAAATATCTTTCAACGGAATTGGTGGTTTAACTGAACAGATTAGAGAGTTGCGTGAGGTGATCGAGTTGCCTTTGAAGAACCCTGAGTTGTTCACCCGTGTGGGTATAAAACCTCCAAAGGGTGTTTTGTTGTATGGTCCTCCCGGTACAGGTAAGACCTTATTGGCGAAAGCAGTGGCAGCTACTATTGGAGCAAACTTTATCTTCTCTCCCGCTTCGGCTATTGTCGACAAGTACATCGGAGAATCGGCAAGGTTGATCAGGGAAATGTTCTCCTATGCCAAAGAGCACGAACCTTGCATTATTTTCATGGACGAGATTGATGCCATTGGTGGAAGAAGGTTCAGTGAAGGTACTTCTGCCGATCGTGAGATCCAAAGAACCTTGATGGAGTTGTTGAATCAGATGGATGGTTTTGACACCTTGGGCCAAACGAAGGTAATCATGGCTACAAATAGGCCAGATACTCTTGATCCCGCATTGTTGAGAGCAGGAAGATTGGACAGAAAGATTGAAATTGGATTACCCAACGAGGCAGGCCGTTTAGAAGTTTTCAAGATTCACACAGCTAAAGTTGCAAAGCAAGGTGAATTTGATTTTGAGGCTGCAGTGAAGATGAGTGATGGCTTTAATGGTGCGGATATCAGAAACGTTGTCACAGAAGCTGGATTCTTTGCAATTAGAGATGAAAGAGATTACATCATTCAGAATGACTTGATGAAAGCTGTCAGAAAGGTTGCTGATGTCAAGAAGTTGGAAGGTAAATTGGATTACGAGAAGTTGTAATATGTATTAACATCATCAATACATTTAGTGCCGAAACTTAGCAAAAGAAGAAGAAAGTTTTTATCACCTTATGTACAAGTTTGCGAACGTAACACGTTCATTTCATGATTGGTTCTCCTTAATTTTCTCCATAGTTTTCTCAAAGTCGGGAATTGTGGATTTTGATAAAGCTTCCAAATGAGCCAAGAGGGCAGGGTTTTCAATCTTTGAAAGATGCTCAGCAATTCTTTCACCGATAAAGTCTTTAACTTCCTCTGATAATGGCTCGAGCTTCTTTTCTGGTTGTTGAGCTTTCTTGGCCAAGTATATCTTCTGTTCGGTAGATAACGGCATCTTTGGAGCAGTAAGCTTACGAGCTTGAACTTCTGTGAGCGTCTTTCTCTTATGCGAGGAGTAAGGGTTTCTGAGTTCCGCTAGCACACCCTGTGGAAGAGGAGATTTGGCAATCGATTGTGGTTCATATGATTTTACGAAAACGGCATCTGCACCTGTGGATAAATAGTCATCCTCTGGTTCAGTTGGAGGTTTTGGCCAAGGAATTTCGATGCTTTCGTGATGTTTCACAAATCTTCTGGGTAACCATCTTTTATATCTGTCATCGTAGTACTTATCCTTCATCACCACTTCATCAGCAACAATGAACGATATCTTTCCATCTTCATCTCTATCCTTGGCTGCCAACTTAATGTTTTTGCGAGGGATAGGCACAGGATAGTCCATAATGTGACTGGTCTGGTTTTTGATCCACCAGGCTTTTGGAATGATCTTCTTCGATAAGATATCCGTCAAAATAAGCGAATCTGATTCTTCTGTGTACTGAAGAACAGAAGAAACTTTCCCCTTGTGTTCACCTTCGCTGACATAAACCATGTCACCGCTGGCGATGCCAACATCCTCCAACTTAGTTTTCCTTTCGTGCTTCGGAACATAATCAGTCGCATCAAACGTAGGAAGGTTAAATCTGTTCGTTCTGTTCAAAAGAACTTCGCGAAGCGCCTTCGGGTACTTGTCCAAATCTTTTTGGAAGCGTTTCTTGGCTGTGTTCCACGACATTGGCGATCAGCTTTTGCTTAGTTACTTGGTCAAAGTACTGTGAAAAAATACGCTGTGGATCGCGCACTACTCCCAGAAGCTCAAGGTCATGCACGTGATCCCCCTATGTCCCATATCAAACTACTATATTTATAATATTTATACAACCAACTATGGTATTCTCTGCCGTAACGAGGAGGTTCTTTATTATTATTTATTATTATTCATCATCAAGGGCTTTTCTGTCTCAAGAAAAAAGAAGGTTGCTTATTCGGTGCAAATGTTAATGAACTCTTGTTCGTTGACTGTAAAGTTAGTATTGAAAAACGGTTGTTTCCGAATTTAGTCACTTATACGTACTCTCTCCATCTTCATCTAGGTCGAACTCGTCAATCATGGCCCGGAGTTCTTCATCGGATAGGTTTTCTCCCAACTCTCGTGCAACGCGCTTCAAGTTCCTAAAACTGATTTTGCCTGTTCCATCGTCATCAAAAAGCCTGAAAGCCCGTTTTATCTCTTCAATTGGGTCTCTGTTGATGATACGCTCGCCCACTAGAGTAGTTAGTATAACCGTGCTTGTCTTAGGTCCTTCGATAACAACATACCTGCGTGAAAGAAGTTTTCGTACGAGATCAAATTCCTGTCATCCGTATCGTAATTATGAATGATTTCCAACACCTCCCGCTTTGGTAGGTCAAATCCCAATGCTCGAAGAGCCACTTTCAATTCATGGTAATCCAACATGCCATCATTGTTCATGTCAAACAAGGAGAATGCCTCCCTTATTTCTTGCTTCTGTTCATTGAGAAGTTCAACTTTTAGGTTGCTTGCCCCTTTTTTCTGGTTATTATTGCCATTAACGACAGACATCTAGGTTTTCTGTGATCTTGAAGATAAAATAGTTGGAACCGTCTTGTTTATGATTCCGCACTGTCGTGCATATGCGCTTGTGTACTTACAATTCTCCATCGCCAACTTATCCACGAAATTCAATCCTGACACCTTATTTTTTGTTTTCACAACCTTTAGCAGAGTTTATGGATCTATCGAAGGATCATATTCTCTAGATGGCTTAAACTAATCAGAATTTTGATCTCATTACACGGAATATCATGGCACTGATCAACGTTGGAGATCGCGTTCTTGTGAAGAATGAGTCTGGGTTCATTCGATTTATCGGGCCAACGAAATTTGCACCAGGTCAATGGGTCGGAATTGAGCTAGATCGCCCTGTCGGTAAAAACAACGGGTCTCTTCAAGGCATCAAGTACTTTGATTGTGCCAAAGACGGTGAATACGGAATATTTGTTCGTCCAAATCTTGTGATTAGTGAGAGTACGAATTCACCTTTACAAAAATCAGAATATCTGGATACTGAAAAGATTGTGATTCGTCTTCAAGATAAGCTTAAAGTGGCCCGACAGCAGATTCAAGACAATCTAAAACATATAGATGATCTTCAGATTGCTCTCAACTCTAAAACTAGTGAGGTAGAAGAGCTCGAGATGAAGTTAGAAGGTGCTTTGGTGGATCAAAACTATCTCCACGAGAAAAATTCTGAATTGACAGGAAAGCTAGCAGTTCTAGAAGCGAAGTACAACGATATTTTTGCAGATTATGCTATTTTGCAGGAAGAGTCCGAGCTAAATAGGGAATTAGAGAACATTGTCAAAACCCAATTTTCAAAGACTGGCGATCTCTCTAAGGAAGATCTTGAATCTTTAATTCAACACAACAAAAAATTGGAGGTTGCATTACATTCCTTAGAGAAACTATCAAGCGATAGAGAAGTTAGTTTGAGGAGCGAGATAGCTAACCTTAATAAGAGTTTGGAAAATTTTGAGCTGATTAGTAAAGCTTACTCCGAAGTATCTCAGAAGTTAGAAAAAGCAGAGGCTACTATTCAAGTGTTACAAGAGCAGTTAGAATCTGTTGCTGACCTGGCTCACATCATTGAACATCTCACCCAAGAAAATGAATTATTACAAACAAAAGTGAGTGAGCTCAATAATACTATTAAAGAATTGACTGAGCTCAATGAACTTGATAGGTCTTTAGAAGAATACCAACTGAAAATGGAACAAGATCTCCGTAAGCAGGTTGATGATCTTCTTATTGAAATCCGAAGTTGGAAAGGCAAAGTTTCAAGTTTATCTCAAAAGAATGAAGAATTGAAAGAAAAAATTAATAACGCGGTAACTAATTCCGAAATGTTGGGGACTGCTGGAGATTTTTCGAAGGAGGAGGAACTTCGTTTAGAAGTGAAAAAACTCAAGGCTATACTAAAGCGAGATGGAATTGGTCAAAGAGTTACTTTGGACGAACTAGAACTTGTAAAAGATCTCATTCATAAATTAGTTCCAAGCTTCCTCTCCCAAAGGGTTAAAATGCTCGTTACTTTGTTGAAGTGTAAGTCTCAATGCAATGCGATAGAAGATGTTTTGCGAGATCCTTCTAACTTGTCTCAGGATATCCGACTTAACCTTTCATTGGTCAAGTTGCGGTATCTTGTTTCTGGGCTAAAAATAGTTGTCGAATGGGATAGCAAAGATGAATTCACTCTATGGGATACTTTAGAATCAATTGTTACTTCGTTTACCTCGAAAGTCGAGGAAATTTTCAACAGAGTTAAGAATGACGATATCGAGTGCTTGGACCTTTCATTCGTCAAAAGTTTTGTTCACAAAAACCCATTGCTATTTGATCGAATGAGAACCACATCCTTCGGAGGTGCATTTTTGTGCCTTGATCTTGCATTAGAAGCAGAAAGTGCTTCAACTGTTTCTACGGGATTATTCAACGCAGATATTTTTGGAAATGAGTTTGCCACATTCGCTACTCAGCTTAAACGTTTAGGAGAGGTTTCTCTGAAAGTGGCTACGCAAGCCCGATCACTTGTTCAGTCAGTACTCGAAGGTCGTTTCAAAATCGAACAAGAAGTTTCCATTTCACAACTTACGAACATTAACGAACAAATGATAGATTTGTATTTGATGCTTCATGAAGAGACGACGGCATTGTTCAGCGATGATAAACAAAATGAACGGCTTGTGAAATTGATGCATGAACATATCCCAAAATTTGATTTAAAGACTCAGATTATCACTTATGAAGAGATTTCACGTATCATGCAAAGTGTTCCTAAAGACCATAGCACGCCTCTAAACAATATTCTTTCGCAAGTTTCTGATGCTTTTATGTCACAAGAGGCTGGGATTCAAAAAGAACACTCATCGACAGAGACTGACAAATCTAAAAGCGCAATAATCGAGGAATTGAATATTAACATAGATCTTTTAGAGAAGAATATGGCGTCTATGATGGATAACAATACTGCTCAAACACGTGTATTGCAAGAACAGCTCTCGCAAGCTAAGGAAGATTTTGAGGACCTTCAAAAACGTTATGAGAGTTTGAAACAGGAGAACGAGTTGATTGATAATGAAATCCAAAATTTACTACAATCCAACTCTACTTCCTATAAGCAAATTCCATATTTCGAAAATCTCAAAGAGAAAAGACAGTTTTCGAATGAAATGGCTTTGGTTGAGGAAATAATGTTGTTGAAGGAAATGATTAACCGTGGGGTGGAAAGTAATGAAATGTCTTGGAAGTATGAACAATGGTTGCTGAAACCCCTTCTTCCTTCAAACCAGACTAACGGCCGTGAGAAACGGGAAGCTAGACTTTTCATTGACGAGGCACGCCAACGAAGAGAACAAACATTGCAATATGTGAATACTCTTAGAGGTAAGAAAAGCCCACTTCATGGATATTTTAAGATGTATTAAGTGACCTATATTCCGATACCATGATTTTTGGGCTTCTTGGGCCATTTGCAGGCAAGATCGATGTTTTTCGCTGGATAGAAGAACTCCAAAAGCATATAAATGTAAATATCAAGGATCACACAGAGTATGTATAGTTTTCCAGCAACCGGGCCACAGCAATAGTATTTTCGTAATCTCTTCACCAAGGGTTGATTAATTTGACGACTGTCAAGTGATCTGTAAACATTTTCCGTTCTCTTGGCGATATTCTCCCAGCTGTACATACTAGCCACTTCCTCATGGAACTGGGAAGTGTCTATCTTTCCAGAGCTTATTAGATCAATTGCACTCAAGGTCGCTTCTACCAAAGAATCCTCTTCTGGTTCTGCGAACCTTGTCATATGCTGAGGAAGAACTTCTGGTATTCCCCCCACTTTGGTAGTCACGACGAAAAGTCCACAAGATGCAGCTTCAACTATGACCGTTCCGAATGCCTCAGTAAGAGATGGATGCAAATAAATATCACCTTTAACCATAACATCTCTGACTTCTTCGTGTCGAACCGCACCACTCAACGAAACTCGTTCTTGCAAAGAATACTTCTCTCTCATTTGCTCCAAGTCTAAGAACTTAGGGCCATCTCCAGCGATAAGGAAATCCACATTCGGCCGCTTGGAACAAATGATTGGCACAATCGCTGTTAAAAGGTCGGCACCTTTATTGGGAAATAGTCGAGATATAACTACTATTGTGATGCGAGACTTGTTTTTAGGCTTGTTTGGATCTGGAGCAAAATCTTTTGACACGACAGCATTTGGTATAACGGAGACATTCAACGGGTCTAATGATGCGCGAAGCACAGTGTTCTCCTTACAGGTGTGAGAGACACAGATAACATGACTGATATCACTCAACGTGAACTTGAGAAGCTTGTTACCCAAGATTGAGCTAAGACTTGCAAAACCAAAAAGAGAATGATCTGTAAAGACCGCTTTCAAGCCCATGGTTCTGCCATGAAAAATAGCCTCTGCACCCAAACTAGAAAGGGAACCATGTCCATGAACAATGTCAATTTTCTCACGAATGAATATGCTTCGAAGAACAGGGAAAGCCAAGAATGCTGATGGGACTGTTGAGCTGCGATATATTTGAAGAAGTGGGGCGTAGTATACTCTAATGCCGTTCGTTAACATGCGGATGCCCGAGCGATTACCATAATCATGTGTAATGATAATGACAGAATGGCCCAAGTTTATTAGCTTTTGTGAAAGATGGTACACATGAAACTCTACACCACCCGGTTGGGGGTAGAAAAAATCTGTCACCATGGCAATGTTATAAGTTTTCAGCATTTTGTGTTCATTTTCGTAAGTATCGATCAGGTTTAAAACAAGAGAAGTTGTCAGTATTGAAGTATGAGAAGACTGCACGGCGCATGCAAGTGAAAATGAGACACAACGAAACATCTACATAACGATGAATGACGTACTAAATTGTATCTATATGTATATATACTTATTTACAATGTGCTTTGGCATTACTATACCGGTATGTATCACTTTGTAACTTGCTTCACTGTGCAAAAGCATCTGGGGGAAGTGAAGATGCCGAATTCTTGAAATTCACAATACATTGCTGATAGTCCCAATTGCTTTGTTGACAAAGCATAAGAGCATATTGCATGCTAAGCTTTGTCTCCACGAGAATTTTCACAAGAAATTCCTGTTGCATTTGATTCAAATTAGCGTTTAGTTCCGCGGGTAAAGCAGCCACGTTCGGTCCATTAGGGGGCGGTGTAGCATTGTTAAGGATGGGTTGTGTCTGTGGCCCCGCTAACGTTCCTGTCGGGTTGATGCCACCCTGAACTGGCGTGGGAGAGACGGAAGGAGCTTGCGAAGTATTCACTGCCGGGAGAACATTTGCTGGGGGCTTAAAAGCGTCTGAATCAGCTTCAACCCTAATGCAAAGTAGATCGCTAGCCACAATCATTGATGCATTGGGTCCTGGGATCACAATGAAAGTGCGATCGAAGCTTTTGCTTCCCAAAGCAATCTTATGCTTTTTTTGGAATGAATTTCTGCTGCGACCGCCACTCGAACTCTGGTTGAGGTTATCCAAGTTATCTGGAGCAGCAGTTTCCTCAAATTTCCCATGAATTGTGATGCAAATAGCCCCAAGAGCCTGCAATCTATAGCACTCGACACTGTAATTGTCTGGCTTGCCTAATATATCGTGCTTCGTCTTGGGAATCTGTGAGAAAAGCTTGAATATCTGCTCCTGACCTTGCGCAACCCTTCCCATGCGTACTTTTGCTGAAGAGATTCGCGTCAAATTTCTTGACAGCGGAAGATAGTATCCAAAATCTGGTGGGCCTTTAGAATCCAAAGTATGGGGCAGAGTCGCATCCACTTGTAAAGAAAATTGTGATTCATTCTGATACAAAACCATAAGATCTGCTCTGTTCATATCCCACAAGTTAAAGTAGTTTGTGATGAAGTTGGTAGAGATATTCTGAACTTCATTATCTTGGAAAAACATCGCATTCGGATCACCAAATGGGAACGTCAAGTTCTGATTAAGCAACTGTTCATTTCTAATAACCTCCCCATTGAACACGACCAACCTGGGAAAGATTTTTAACACTTCTTGCTTGATGTGAATCACATCGTTCGGGTTTGTGGTATTTAGTAAAGGATTGCCCGTAAGAATTAACTCTCTCAAGTAATTGAATTTCTTTTTCCACGATTCAAACGCCTTGATTTTAGTGAACTTGTTGTTCTGCAAGGACAAATTCCGCAACATGGGAAAAGAATGGGCCAATGTAGATATTGTGCTCGAGTCATTGAGATTGTTATTGGAGAGGTCTGCACTAGTGACTTCCAATTTCAAATCTTTTGCAATCTTCATCAAAGCAGGAAAGAACTTAGAGGATGTGGATATTGTGCCAAAAAATCCTTTGGCAGATAATGTCAGATCTTGTTGAACAGCGCTGAGGTTCAAGAGCTTGTTCTGTGCATCGTATCTTGATTTGAGAAACATTGTCAATGTTTCTATGGTATTTTGACTTGAAGTATTGGAATTAGTTGGAATTGCCGAACCTCCTGGTTGATTGAAACCAGCATTGGGAGCTGGAACCTTTGAGATCTTCAAGGGACTTCCGGCAAAACGGACTCCAGACCATTGAAGTAAATCCTTTGCTTCATTCTCAGACCTCACAAACCCACGTAATGCACCATTGGCTGTGTTGACTGAGTAATTTGTCAATGTAATTTTGCACTTTCTTGCTATGAAAGCGACACAATCTCCAGGTGTAGACCCATTCCACCCATATATCTCCATTTCCACATTATTGTTCCCAGCGCCCTGTGTATCATTTCTATTGAAGTTATTATTGTGGCCAAATCCACCTCTTCCTCTGCCTCGATAACTCATCATGTAGATATTTGTGTGCCAGTCAAAGCTCTAGCCTGCGCGTGCATTTTTTTCGATGAATCTTCTCATTACACCAGTACCTACTGTGGAGAGTGCTACATCAACTCATACAGAACTATCGATTATACATCGAAGTATACAGCATATAGTAATGTGGTGGAGCAATGCCTTTGTTTCGGGTGCCTTTTTTTTATCTTTTTTTTTTTTTTTCTTGTTTCAGAAACAACCATGGCTTCCGCCGACCCTCTAGTTGAAAAAAGGCGAGTGCTAATCAACGTTTGAGGAAGCCATTAGCGTAGCGATGGTACATTTACTATTCTTGCATACTTTGTTTAGCTGCTTTTTAAGCTTTCTCCAAGTCTTCTGGGTTGTGCAAGGTGCCCACAACTTTATACTTGTTCTCGAAATGGTTCTTCCAGTTTTCTAGCGACTCTTTCTCCTCTTGTGTCAAGTCCTCCAAGGTGTCTATTGGCTTATCAATAGGAGTCAACACAGAAGGGTCAAAGGAGTTGAGAGCCAAGCCTCTTGATGCGTCTCTGCCAGCAAAGTTCTCATATGGACCACCAGGTCCATAGAAGGCCTTTCCCGTACTAACGTCGTATACCGTTCCTTGAATGCCAATAAACACCTTGGGGTCAGTGGAGCCATTAAACTTGCACAATGTTTTTGGTGTAAATTTTGTCTGCACAGGCGGCTCGTTTTGGGTTGATGATAATGGGTTGGTCCTCATATCGCTGAGAATCGATCTCACGAAATAAGCAATGATGAAAAGGGCAATTATTGTGGTGATCATACTTTCTGGTCCGTATATTAATCTTTCGCTTTCTCTTCGTATGTAAGTGAAGAAGAGTGGTGATAATAACTGTCGTATAATTGTACCCATTCAAGCGCACTTCGTTACTAAGATGTGGGGATATCACATGATAATATTCGTACGAATTTCACACAACATCAGATGCCTTTCAACAGCTATACTTAATTGATCCGTTCAGTTATATTTCGTAGCTATACTTTCTTACTTCTATAGTACTAAATTAGGAGTGGTACCAAACTTAGAAAATGAGACCAGATACATTTCCATGATCGACAACATACTCTCGGTTTAAAAACGCCAAGTCGATCAATTGGTCAACATTAAGCTCATTTCGAATTGCTTTCTTATACTTTTTCACTTTCAATAGCTAAGTAACTTTGCATCTATGTAACTTCGCCATTCTCCGGATATCGTCTACGCACTACCATATACGACGCTTTTTAATGTTCATCATTTGAACTTCATCTGAAAAATAACCATGGGACGGGACATCATTACGTTGGACGATTTAACAAAGAACAATTTAGGGACTTTTAAAAAAATCATTGAGGTCACTTTGCCAACTACATATCCAGAGTCATGGTACACAAACTCTCTAAATAGTGATCAAATCACCAAACTTGCATTCTACAGTGAGTTACCCGTGGGACAGGTCAAGGGGAAGTTGATCAATTCCTCTCACAAGGTTCCAAACTTTGAAGTTGCAAACAGCAACAACATGAACCTGAAGATGATTCCGAACGCAGTATACATTGAGTCCTTCTCTGTATTAAAGGCTTACCGTAACTTGGGTATTGGTTCGAAGTTATTGGAATGGCTCATTGATGAAGCCAAGCTGAAGTTTATTCATGAAATCGTGTTACACGTTCATGTTGACAATCAAGCAGCTATCGAGTGGTATAAAAAGAAAGGCTTTGTTCCAAGCGAAGAGGTTGTTAAGGACTACTATAAACAACAAGGCTTGTCTAATCCAGACGCTATCGTCTTAACGTTAACTATTTAAAGCCTGTATAGTCTTTCTACACAATCCGGTAATACAAATATACATGCCATTGCTTGGCCATAAACTTATTCACATCTATAAATGAACACTACTTTTCCGCTTCGTCTTCGGTATCGGTGTTGATATCTGTAAAGACACTTTCAACGTCAGATTCCTCAACATCTTCACTGGACTTTTTGACGTTTTCTCCTCTCAATGCAGCCAAGGCACCAGCAAGACTGTCCTCTTCGGGATCCGAAATATCACTATCCGAATCATCATCCTCCTGCTCCGAAGCCTTTTTGACCGCCTCGATATCAACTGGAGGATTCGTGACATTCATCTCCAAAGGAATATCAACATCAGAGCCAAAGTATGCATTGTTCTTCAATAACAATCTAAAGTGATACTTTCCAATCGATGGTGGAGTTGGCACGTTCAACTTAATCTTGAAAGTACTGATAATAAGTTTATCGTCTGCAGCTTCAATCCATTCCTTTTGAGACAACTCCAAGTTGCTCAAATCGACCTTCAGCATAACAGCTGGTTCTGAACCTTCGACTAGTTTATTATCTCTTTGATTGATGATGAAACCTTCCCAAGAGTTTCTGAACTTCAGCGGGAAGTACGGAGCATAAGCAGCAGGTAAATCTGGACCATCGTCATTAGATCTCAAAGGGTTTTTCAAATCTTCTATCGTCTCCTCCTCTACAAGTCTCAGATCCTCAATTTCAGGACATGACTTCAACTGAGGAGATCTAATCAAGAACTTGATGACTAGGTGGCAACTAGAATTTGGGGGAACGATATCTTCACCTGGGACTCTAAAGCTTGCATCCAAGACTCTAATGAATGGGATTTTCTTTGCAACTGACAAAGCAATTTCCAATTTCGTATCGTCTTTAATTCCCAATGTTTTAGCGGCTTCTTCCTTTGATAAAGTGAGCAATTTACCCAATTTCTTGACATCCTGTGCTTCAACAGTCTCCTTGTCAACAAATGGCAACTGCAAAAGTTCTTTGTGTTTACCAACTGGGCTCGAAGCCTGAACAAGAGCTTTCTGCAATTCGTAAGCAGAAATTATAACATCCGGTACCCTAAAAACACTGGCGATATCGATGAAACCTTTGATTAAATCAGGAAGCTCAGCAATAATGCTCAACATGTCAGGTGTGTTCTTTCCTGGATATTTCCTATCAATATGATCCATCACCAATGCTTTAGCTTGTTCCTGAGACAAATGTGAATATTTGTTGGTGATTTCATAGGAGAGAAGAATCCAGTCCAAGATATCGTACGGCGTTATCACCTTTCCTGGATTTTTGTCTGTCAATTTACGAACAAAGAGGGTAGCTGTTTCAATGTGTAAGCCCTTCCTTGTGTAAGACTTGACATTGTTCCACCAGCTTCCCACCAACGCAGGCAACAAGACACCAATCAATAAGAAGTAAATGACAATCATAAAGGGCGAGTACTTGCCTTCAACCAAGAACTTAGGAATTGCGATACCATGCGTAATATCTTGCTTCCCGTCAGGATGACCATACAATTTCAAATTATTTTTGGTGACTTCATCGGTCAAGGCTTTGTAGGCGAGATTAATTTTAATGAAGGCTGCCTCCATTTCTTGTTTTGCTTCGTCGCTCAAGTCTCTGGCTATCTTGTCTGGGTGATATGTCAAAGACAACTTTCTGTATCTAGACTTGATTTCACGGTCAGTGGCAGTATATGGCAAGTCCAAAATTGTGTGAGGATCAAAAAGCCCTTGTAAACTCACTTCCTTAGCGTATGTTTTCCAGATATACGCCACCAAGGCCCAGCCTACCACAATTAGCAATAATGTCTTGTTCATGAAACGATCTGTTCTTCGACGACTCGAGAACTTTCCAAGCTCCTCGGAATGTGGAAGACCTAACGATTTATGGTTTTGTTCAATCTCTCCTTTGGTTTTCTTAGGACTTTCCCTAATGGAAATAACTTCGAGAAGCCATTTAATCGTGAGAGGCAACAACACAAACACAAGTAAAGCCAAAACAAAGTAAGGCCACGTGTTGGCGCCTTCATCATAATTGTACTCGGATGCCATGATTGCAAGCTGCCAAGAAGTTCTGCGTAGCTTTTAATCGGTAATCCAAAGAAGGCTAAATAGTTTAGTGAGCGCAGTTGATTTGGGAATGCACACTAGCTGACGACACGTTATAGAAAATTTTCGAGGAGGTAGAGGTGTAACCATGAACCACCACTTAGATGGGACCTTGGAAAATAGAAAACTGGATGTTTGGCACGAGTCTACAACAACAATCAAAGTAGCAATGGTTAAAGTACCGAGACAAAAGAGTAATGTAAAAGTAAGTGTAACTATATTCGCACTTAGTGGTGGAACAAACGGATTGGGTTTTCAACATACACCATGTCATTAGAGTCAGCCGCAGAAAAAACAGCCTTGTCCATGACAGAACCAGATGGAGCAGCGATGAACTTGACACCAGACTTGGCAGCTCTGTAAACATTGTCTGGGAATGGGAAGAAAGCGTCAGAAGACAAAGCAACGTTGTTCAACTTGGACAACCACTCAGCTCTTTCTTCAGCGGTCAAAGGTTCAGGCACCTCAGCAAATTTGCTCAAGTACTCACTCTTTTCTGGCTCGGTGGTAGGTATTTGGTTAGAAACATACAAGTCAATGGCGTTGGACTTCTCTGGTCTCTTAACACCCTTGGCCCACTTGAAACCTAAGACTCTTGGGTGTTGTCTAAACCACCAGTTGTCAGCCTTGTCACCGGCCAATCTGGTACAGTGGATTCTGGATTGCTGGCCGGCGCCCAAACCAATGACCATACCATTCTTGGCGTAGCACACCGAGTTAGATTGTGTGTACTTCAAAGCAATGGTGGCCACGGTCAAGTCAATGACACCTTGTTCGGTCAAGTCTTTGTTCTTGGAAACAATTTCCTTGAAAGACGAACCCTTGATGATAGCATCGTTTCTCTTTTGTTGCAAGGTGATACCATACACTTGTCTCGACTCAATGGCGTCGGGCGTGAAGTTAGGGTCAATTTTCAAAATGCAGTACTTTCCATTCTTTTTCTTCTTCAAGATCTCCAACGCTTCGGCAGAGTAACCTGGAGCAATGACACCATCAGAGACTTCCTTGGAAATGATCTGTGCAGTTGGAACATCAACAATGTTGGACAAAGCGATCCAGTCACCGAAAGAAGACATTCTGTCAGCACCTCTCGCTCTGGCATAAGCGTTGGCCAATGGAGATAAGTTCTCAATATCTTCGACGAAGTAGATCTTCTTCTCAACGTCCGACAATGGCAAACCAACAGCAGCACCAGCTGGAGAAACGTGCTTGAAAGATGCAGCTGCTGGCAAGTTCAAGGAAGCCGACAATTCCTTGACCAAAGGCCAAGAGTTCAAAGCATCCAATAAGTTGATGTAACCAGGAGATCCTGACAAGACTTCAAAGGGCAAGACACCTTGAGAAACAAAAGCTTGAGCTGGCTTTTGGTGAGGGTTAGCACCGTATCTCAATGGCAATTGAGACACATTCTCCGAGTATTGCTTTCTGAAAAAGTCTGAAATGGCAACATCGTAGTCAGCAGTGTGTTCAAAAGCCTTCAATGCCAATCTGTTTCTGGTTTCCTTGGAAATCTCACCTCTCTTTAACTCTTCCAAGAAATGAGCGTAGTCTTGAGGGTCGGACAAGATTGTGACTCTAGCGTGGTTCTTGGCAGCAGCTCTCAACAAGGTGACACCACCAATGTCAATTTCTTCGACGGCTTCATCAATAGTGACAGCAACCTTGGAGACAGTTTCCTTGAAAGGGTACAAGTTGCAAACAACAAAATCCACCTTCTCAATGCCTTGAGCAGCCAAGTCAGCCTCGTCGCTTTCGAGATTTCTAGCCAAAATACCACCATGAATAGCAGGGTGCAATGTTTTAACTCTGCCGCCCAACATTTCAGGAGCATGTGTAATAGAGGAAACATCTTGGACAGGGAAGCCAGCTTCACGAACCAACTTGGCGGTACCTCCAGATGCTAAGATTCTGACATCAGCAGCGGCTAAACCTTTGGCCAAATCCAACAATCCGGTTTTATCGTAAACGGATAAGATAGCAGTTTTTTTGTAACCCATTGTGATTAACTATGTGACTATCGAATGTGGTACCCTGTAACGAACAAAGTCTTTTTATTACCTAAGTGCTTAAGAAAAATCCTTTAGTGAAGAATTCTTCAGTAGACTGTGGGAAGGAATGGAGGGTATTTATTCTGTTAAGTTGAAAACAATTTTTCAAGGTTATTACTACAAGTTAATTAGAGGTACGGATGTCCCGCACAAGGAGTATATTATGAGGCGGTGGAGTCAGATTTATTGACTCGGGAATTCAATTCTCGTATCCCAGCAGCAAATACTCCATCAACAATTTATTGCTTTCTAAACCTTCCACTATTGTAAATGTTCAAGATCCTATACCTCACTTCTCCTTAGGTGTAGATTAAGTCTACAATCGCAATCCCAGGATCCTCACTGTATTCAGTCGGATATAGTGATTCGGCTACACACAGGATCTCGTATGAGACAATTTTAAGACACCACCAACTTTATTAATTTCAATATACAAATAGAGTCAGCAAATGAACTAAGAACGCTTGTAAAAGCACGCTTAGTGTCTGTATCTCCACAAGGACAAAGTGTTGTGCTTCTTCCAAGTGTGACGACGACCAGCCTTGGTCTTGGTGAACAAGTGACCCTTGTTGATACCTCTGGACTTCTTACCAGCAGCAGTAAGACCTCTAGCTTCTCTGTGCTTGTGAACTGGGTTGACGATCCAGTTGTATCTAGCGTCTCTTCTGATGGCGTTGTGAGATGGGTCCACCAAGATGACTTCGTAGTACTTGTAGGTGGAGTCCTGGTTGACCCAGTACGAGTTCAACACTCTCAAGTTGGCAGCTCTTCTACCAACTCTCTCTTCGGCGGTAACTCTCAAAGACTTTTGGTACTTCAATTGCTTAACACCCTGGTTAGTTGGCTTACCGTAAGTAGCACCCTTTGGAACAGGTCTCTTTCTGCCACCTCTTCTGACTCTGATACGGAAGATGACGAAACCTTGCTTAGCCTTGTAGCCCAATCTTCTAGCCTTGTCTGGTCTAGATGGTCTAGTGACTCTGTGGATGACGTTCTTTTGTCTGTATTCCCAACATCTGACTCTCAACAAGAATCTAGCGACATCGGATTGCTTCTTTCTTTGCAATTCTTCCAAGTACTTGTAGGCACCCATCTTTAACGTTTATGTTTTTGGTTGTAGAGATTAAACCAGAAAGTGAAAAATTTTTTCCCAGTGTGTGAGACTACATCGTAAGTCAATGTGCAGGCGTAGTTTTTGCATCCTTCACTCAAGTTTTCTAAGCACGTGTTATTAGGGCTGAAGCTGTCCCAGGTCACGTGAATTATACGCCAACAATTATAGTCTCGGCTATTCATTGTATGTGCTGGGAAGCAAAAAAATAAAACAGAAAAAAGCTACATGAAAGGAAACTAATGTAATAGTTCGCTGTCATACTGTTTCTATTTACGTCTATAATTGGAAGAGTGCTAGCTATTTAATTCCAGGTCGAGACATATTCGTTTCTCTTGTATCTGCATTTCGATTAAATTTTTATTATTCTGTCTCTGAAGTACATTCAGTTTTGATATCTCCAAGAAAAGATTATATTTTATTCATTCAGCGAGAAGATGGCAGTACAAGTTTTGTGATGGTGCTATGCGTAGCTGAGGTAGTAAAAGCAAATAGCTAAGAGCTCTTGTAATTCTTTCTCAACGGCTGCTCAAGGAAGGCAAATTTTTGATCCATAAAGAATTTTTCCTCTCCATAGGGGGAACAAGGATAGTTGAAAGAATCAGAGTGGGTGTAAGTACTCGGAAGAATCGTGAGGCTAAATTTATGTATAACGCGTATAATACTTTAGATTTAACTCCCTTAGACGATGTGCGTATACACAAAATGCATACCGTTTTGTAGAGATTAACTAGCTAGACATACGCCTAGACCATTTAAGATGTTCAGACTTCTTTGCTTCTTTACAATTCAAAAAATTTTAGGCTGCATCTCTGATTTTATGCACGAATAGGAAAATTCATTACGTTCTTGAAATCGTTGCTTCTCATCAAAGGTTCTCAACCCAGCTGAGGATCGGTTCCTTCTGAAACATTTATTGTCTCTGCTCTCACATGTGAAACCTGAAGTCTTTCTCTTGTACGTCCTATTGATCTCATCAAAAAGGTGACACAGGCTCTATTGTTTGATTGTAACTTCAGGTACACATAGGTAGTGAGTGCATCCATTTTTCTTTAAAGGTTCCAGTCTGTGTTTTGAATAGGATTTCTCTTCCATGAACGGTCCTTACGGGGGAGCGGGCCTCGACGCATTTTACAGAGGTTGCTTTCTAGCCCTTGATAGAAAAAGTATTTTTCCATTTTATGTATGGCGTGCATATAGAATGTATGGAATGAATTTTAGACACTGGACATTTTGTTGCCATTGCTCCGCTAAATGTATATCTTTTAGTGTTCAATAGAATAATACTTTCTTTTGCTGTACTTGTGGCTAAAATATTTTTGAGATAGTGATTTTCCCCTTACAGGTAAGAATAAATAATACTTGTCCCCTTCCTTCACAATCTTATACTATCTAAGGTACAAGGATCGTTGCGCAGCAGTTATATAAACGGAGTGACTAAACCTTTCTTATTGTCCGCATTTCGAGCACGATGCTTACCCTTTGCTACCTATAGCAGATGGTTTCTTCTTTTTGAATATTTCTTTTGCGTAGCTTACGTATGTATTTACCAACTTAAAGGTAGCAATGTTACGCCTAGTGTCAAGAACAGTTAAAATCTTTTTTTTTTTCCTCGAAAATCGGCACCGACGCCACATGTATAAGATGCACTCTTCTTTTGGACAGAACCCCGCACCCCTAAAGACCTCTATAATCTATAATCAAAGTTTAGCATCTAACACATAGTAAAATGGCAATTCTTCACGAGATTCGCATTTAGATACACCTTTAAGGTCAGATTAAAGAGCAAAAAGAGCCCGTGCATCGAGACGCATTTAAATTAGTAATACCCGAAAAGTTATGACCTCCATATCGTGTTTGAACACTAGTAGAGGAAAATTCAATGCTATTCATATCACTTGGGTTCGGGTCTCCGATTACTTGCTGTTTCCCTTTTTTTTTTTTTTTCTTGTGTTTGTAGTTCTAGAAAAGCTAACCTAGCAGAATTGGGCGGAAAATAAGCGCTATACCGATTCGCTAGACACTCTCAGCTGTACATGCTATGGGTTTACTATGCAGTATAAGAAAAAGTATTCTGGCGAAAATATTCTCTTCGGAAGATTATTTGACTGCTTTGAATAAAGAAATGAAGTTAAACAGAAAGTAAATAAGACGATCAAGTAATTAGATCCTAATAATCGGTTTCACCGTCCTAAAAGAGACAAGCATGTGCGCTTGCCAAATCGGTCTGACATTAGCATTTCGTGCGCCTCGTCGATCACACTGCATCGGGTATGCAGCAGTACTATTGTTTCGTGTGACTGAGGGTTTGGAGAAAACTCAGCGCCATTAGTTCCTAATTTTACCATGCGCATTTCCGTGGAAAGGGCACTTACGTCGATGTTCTCGGCCTTGGCCCTCCGAAGTGATGGCCACGTCTCAAAAGAATCACTGGTAATCGAACACAAAATTCCCATATGAAAGCAACAGTTATATTGATACCAGTTCATCGGCAAATTGCTTAATTACACATACAAAACCCCTGGACATATACGATTCTTAGCTTGTAACCGCGGCATCTCCACGAGAAAGTTTCTATGCGGGACGCTGAAACTTGCACCTGCGTTAATATGCATGTCTGGTTTAAGGAAGGGCGCGCTGTGCATGTCAGTTTCTCGATTAGGATGGGCCGCCTGACCCTTTTCTTCGTTATGACAGATCTGTTTGGCGATTATCTTCTTCACATAATGTATAAATAAGTATCTCGCCTGTTTCGTTTCTCAAGAATGTTGAGGTTGAGTTGTTTCCAGCAATAAACCGGGTCTCTTTTTATCATAGCTCACCATAGCATTCTTTCGTTACGTCTACATTACCATCAACTTCATAATTCACTGGAGTTATTACTAGCTAGGTAACGTGGTAAGGATCCACCATTCACATTCCGGGTTCCACCTATCCCACTCTCGCTTTCGCTTTTCTAATGGAACTTCTTTCATACACGAGCAACAACCTAGCCGATTATAGCGGGAGAGTTCGAGAATTGCTGTTTCCAGCGGCCTTAAAAGTCTTTCCAGAGGCTGAGAATTTTCTTTTAATGTTACCGGAACTGAATCAAAATCAAATTCAAGGTGGAGAATACTATCCGCTGGAAGTTGAGAGCTTCTCGACGCCTAACAGGTCCATTACGAACCAGGAGTTTGAACACCTGACAACTACAGCGCTTGCTCATTCACACCCCATTCCGATTGGGACAAAGCAAGAATTCAGTGGATTAAGTGATATTGATCAGTCTGAAAGTATTCATTGTCATACAATGTCGAATGATGTTCTGACCGCTAGTTTTCTGCCATTACAAGAAATAAGTCATCAAAGTTCTACTGTACCATCACCTTTACAGTTGAAGAAAGGACTGTACCAGTATAATTTGGAACCAAGATTGCAGGATGTTGTTCAGAAGGATCCAGCCCATAATGTTTCGGAATTACTGTTTCAACCAACTGGTTATTCTCAGTCGTTGCAACGTTCTCAACAATCATCAGACGATTCTCATCTTGAAATGCCTTCCATTTATCAGTACGAGAGTCTGTATGGTGTTCAGCAATATCCTGACGTGACCACGATGGTTAACTCAAATTCGAACATAGTGGCTCCCATGGTAGAAACAACTTTCATCGACCATAAAGTTTGCAGTATTTGCGGGCGACGCATCACTAGAGACATGACCAGACACATGAGGACTCACCAGCTTGTCAAGCGCTTTGTCTGCAAGTTTCCTAAAGATTCTTGTCGGCATAGGTCAGGCCAATTCAATCGCCGGTATGATTTTAAGAAGCACCTATTAAATAATCATTTCGTTTTCGATGACCAGAAGGTGAAGAAAGTGCATAATTTGAAGGGGAAGCTTAACGATTGGGGGACCTGTCACTGCGGGCAACGTTTTGTTTCTTCAGATTGGCTTGATAACCACATATTAACTAAAGACCCTACCCTCAAGTGTCCGATAATGTATGAATAGACGGACTTACTTATTCACTAGCTAAATAATCTTAATACTAAGCTATAATATGCCATACAAACCTTAATTAGAGGAAGCAACATCCAAAAGCTCTTTGCCTCCGACTATTTCAACTACCGGACCTTCTGCGGTACTGAATTTCTCCAGCGCTAATTGCACTGCAGCTTTACCAACTTCCGAGCCGTAAATGGGACAGAGCGTCCACCGACCAATGATAGTACCGTGGAAAAACTTGTTCACGAAAACATTCATCTTATCAAGCATGCCTTTCGATTTCTCACGCTCTCCCAACAACGGGCCAGGTCTCAAGATGATGGTTCGTGGGAACTTTAACGCAATCACATCATCCTCCAATCTACCCTTCGTCTTCATGTATAAAAATGGAGAGTGAGCATTTGCTCCAATACTTGAAATAAGAACAAATGTTTCGACGCCCGCTTCTTTAGCGGCTTTAGCAATCTTGTAGTTGATACCGTAGTCGATATCAACAAAGGCTTTCGCTGAACCTGCAGCAGCCCTAGTAGTACCTAAGCCAGAGAAACATATTTTTGGTTTAACTTCGTTGATGATTTCACCATATTTGTCAACATCACTTTCCACTCTTTTTGTAAGCTTTTCACTTTCGAAATCAAATGGTCTTCTTGTAACAGATACAAGTTTGGTCAAGTTTGGCTGCTTGTCTGCATGTTTCAATATTTCCTTTCCGCAAAGGCCTGTGGCCCCAAACACTATGGATGTCATTATTCAAGTATTTTTAGATGAGAGTTTGTAAGAATGGTGTTTGTGTTCTCAAGTTTCAAGTCCTCCACACCCTTGGCGAGCATCCTGCATCTTCATCTGCGTCGTAGCAAAGGTCTACTAAACAAGTTGACCCATTACAATTACAAAAGTGACGATAACAAAATGTTGCTCCCAAACCAGTGAGGATAAGAAAAAAAAATGATATAAAGTTGATGATCACGACTTCAATTGAATGCAAAAAAGGCCTTTGGGATACAAGTTAAGACAGAGTACAACCTGCATGTCGCTTTAAAAATGCACAGCATTTTCTTCCGTGACCAGCAGATAGTACATACATGTACCGCCCTTGTCGGCGCGAAGGTTAGTACCGATGGTCCTTTGAACAATTAAAGTTCGATCTACGAGCTTAAATTGATTGCATCAACTAATTCCCATTATACAAGGAAAGTTACAATCGTTTACTAGTAATATCCAAAAACTTTTCTCTAAATGCAGCATTATGGGCTGAATTTAGCTCTTCAGCTTTTCGGTATATTGTTTTATAGGTTAGTCGCCGCTCGTGTCCTAATTTAACTACCAAGTAATGCATTAGTGTGTTGCATGGTGGCGCGTGGTTGCTAGCGGTCGCTGATGCAAGAAGCGGATTGTTGCTGTGCATATTCCATGCATGACTTACAAAAAGTCTTGTTCTTCGTCACCTCGGTTACGTCAAAACTCACCGTACAAACTTAGTCAGCGGGGATGACGCCAGAAGTATTTTCTTACGGCCACATTAAATCTTAGCATGTTGAAAACGTGCTTCCCAGGAGTCGTGTGGGGAACTTTCAAGCCTAGAAGGGAAGGTCTTTGAAACCCGCCATGCGAAATTAATTGTGTATCGCTAGCACTGTATGTCCCTAGTGGGCGCAGAGAACCCCCTCATTTTAGAATTTCGAATGCCGGTGCTCCCCACTCTGGCCGGCATTTCAACTACGATGACTACGGCTGTACTTCTCAACTGGTATAAAGTTACATTCATAAACGTCACAGTCACAGAACAATACTTTATCATCATTCCAGAGTTCCTTAATGTCAGGATGAGGCATCTCTCGTTCCGCGAGCTGCGGTAAAGCTGCTAAATCCCATTTGAAATACAGGAATTTTAGTAGTGCACATCCTTGCAGTTACGGAGTCTAGTTCTCATGTGGTTTTTGCTCAGTAGCCTGAAAGAGTCATGTTCAAATAGAAGACGAAACGAAAACTCAAGCATGAAACTTCTCTGTAGAGTACTATCTGGTGTATGTATCCTTTAAATACTTCGTTCACCCTCACTCTGACTAGTGTGCTCTATTTTAAGGCACTTGCTCCGCCTGTAGGTTCTTCGCGACACACTTGTCGCGGGAAAATATCAATCTTGTTTTTTGAGTGTAATCTTAGTTTACTTCCTCATACTTCCCACCCACACCTCACACTCATGCAACTTTGATATCCCAATGTATGATGTTGAATCAGATCAGTTGAATATGGAAGCTGGAGACAGCGGCTATCACATTCCCCAACAAAGACCAGTTTATCCTAAGGAGCAACCATCGTCGCGAATGGCTCCGCCGGCGTTTTTTTATCGTCCATACCCGGTCAGTCCTCTATCTGCTCCCGTAACCTCTTCCACTTCCGATGATTATTTTAGCTTCCCGGGGACGGCTATAAATGAATCTCAACTACCCCGCCAAAACAAACCGAGCCGCATTAACATTAAGCAACCGGATGCGCCAACTCAGGCTACAGTCAATCCTAATGTGAATTTCTTGAATACGCATACCAGGTCGTATTCTTCAGATGTACGGTATCACAGTATGCTCTCGCAATCCTTCACTCCTAATGATCACACTCGACCTGAAGATATACGAAGTGGTCTTGGGGGTGCGCCTATCATGAAAAGTGTGGATCAGCTGGACGTTGCGTCGCTGAATATGAAAAATAGGAATCCAGGATTTCATCTACCGTTAGATAATTTGAATACTCCACATGCTTTGCAGAGGTTTCAGCCTCAATTTCAAGCCAGCCCTCATTCTGAATCCAGTTTTGATGTCACATACGACAAAATGCTATTTACTGAGCCGGACTCATTTTTTCACACGGGGGCGGGTGGAAACTTCGATAGTGGACAGGAGGATGTAACTCCTTTGATGAATCCACCAAATATGAATGAAAATGGTTACTTTGGAGGTCTAGAATCTTCGCTGGTCGGGAATAATGATCTCACTGATCTTTTCATGGACAATACTCTCAATGGGGGCTATCTTAATGATCTCCCTTCAAAAATGGGTTCACAGCCAATGGATGAGTTCAACAATTATGTCAACTTTCGAATGATGGGAGGATCGTTGGACGACAGTACCAAAAGTGACGGTATTAACCCAGTCACTGAATCTATTCAAATATTCGATCACAAAGATGAAGGCAGTGATGGGGACTCATTTGTTCTGCCGTCAATGCAACTCCATCTTCAAAGTGAGCATATTTTGCCTAATGCTTTCCGTCCACTCATGGGCCGGTCCGCCTCTGTACCAGGGACATCGGGAGCTCTTCCTTTAGCAAGGTCTGCGGACAAGAAGGCGGTATCAGGAAAGAAAAAGAAGGCGCTCAAAGGATCCGTGTGCACGATATGTGATCGATTCATAAGTCGAGACTTCAGCCGACATATGCGGATTCATGATGAAGTTGGACGATTTCAATGTGTTTTTCCTCGAAGTGTTTGTAAGCATAGATCCGGTAAATTTAACCGACCCTATGACTACAAAAAACACTTGTTGAATGTGCACTTCAAGTATGACGATCCTGCGGTCAAGCTTGCACCTAATTTGACGGATAAACTTCTAGTCTCGGGGCAGTGCATTGCTTGCGGGCAAAAGTTCATGGCTAATTATTGGCTTGAGCACCACATCTTGACTACAGATACGTCCATGATGTGTCCAGAGTTACGAAAACTAGAAAAGCTAAATGGGGAGGCCAGTGCAAGTAATCAGCTGGATGGCCATGAAGAAGTTAGATCCACGTCGTCTTAGTGTGAGCGAATTATGTGTATATGCTCTTTATGAACATGCTTCGCATTTGTATGCCAGAAGCGACCAGAAGCTTAGGAGATACGCCAAATTTTAACATGAACAGTGCGCGGATTGTCCGTTGTCGGAACATGCGCACAAATACGCCTCTTTTAGGTAATGATAAATGCTCGTGAAAATTTGCTCGTGTCTGTTTATAAGAGCACGCAATGACACATAACGATAAAATACTAGACACCTTTTCTCAATTAGTTTAGTATCAAACATGGAAGTCGTAAGACATATGGATATGGGCGGCGGCTCCTCGGGAGAAATGAGTTCTGCAATGCACATGGCTCTGTCTACCATGAGTATGGCTCTGTCTACCATGAGCATGGCTATGGACATGGCTCTGTCCACTATGAGTATGGCAATGGCTTCAAGCACTTCTTCGCATGCTCATGGCTCCTCCTCCCTGTCGCTGGGTATGGACATGGGTGGCATGTCTATGAATATGTACTTGACCACAAAGTATAAAGACTATCCCGTCTTGTTTAGTGGCTTGAGTGCCCACAATCGTGGTCAAGCGTTTGGTATTTTTGTGCTCATGTTCTTTGTGTCCTTTTTGAGCAAAGGCTTCGAGTTTTTGAAAAACTACTTGGAACAAAAAGTGTGGAAGAATCCTAATTATGCTGTGACTCAAGTCACCAACGTTGTTGAAGAATGTGCATGTGACGATGACAAAGATTCCAACCCACACAATGATGTGGAAAGCTTAGGTGCTTCGAATCAGCGCAATGTGTCTGTGCCATTGGTGTTGATGAGAGATGTTATCAGGTTGGTTTTGTGTTTCATTCCAGAGTTGCTCAGTTATGCCATGATGTTGGTAGCAATGAGCTTCTCGCTAGTTTACTTTTTTGCCGTTGTCACTGGTATGGCTTTTGGCCGCTTTTTCTTTGAAAGATTGAGCGATACTATTGGTGTTCGTCCGGGTGCAAATAATTTCCAGGGACACCATTAACTACGCACAATTATAATTATACTCACATCAATTCATTACGAAAATACTTTGCTAATTTTCTTGACCATCTCGTTGTACTTTGTTCTGTTGAACGTGCTTGAACTGTTCAGATGTAGCTTCTCACTGTATGTCAACCTCAAAATGTTGAGTAATTCGTTCTTCAGATATTTCTTCTTGCCTGAAGTCATTTCTTGTAGCAAAGAGTGGTCGCTGACCATGTACAACTGAAAGTATTTCGAAGCAACCGTCAAGTCCGCAACATCTTGTCTCTTCATGATGCTGCGCAACATTTGTTGCAATACGAAAACATTCAAAAGTATTTTCTTGATACCGTTACTATTGGTAATCGTAACAAGATAACTCCCTTGAATTAGCGCCTTGTTTAAGAATTCCGGTAAGCCTGCGAAAACACAATCATTTTCATCCACATTAAGCATTTCGTTGATTTTAGTTCCAATGTAGTAAATTTCCTTGTTGAAAGCAGTGATGAATTGGTCTGCATCTGCTGGCTCTGTTGGAATTCGGAAGTTATCTTGAAATGATTTGCCAATGTAATACAAACCTTTTAGTCTCAAATCGTATCTCAAGGCTATCAATGAGTTATCACGAATTGCCTCAAAAACTTCAACTGCTTTGTCAAACTCCCCAATCTTTTCCAGTGTTAAAGTGAGATAATCGTTTTGTGTCCTTTCGGTTATTGTTAATGGTGATCTTCCATTTTCCATAAAGACCCAATCATGTTTTAATTGTTCAGCCTCGGTTACCGAAGTTCCCTCGTTGTAATTATAGTTTGACTCCTTCCTCATTGAGGGAAGCCAACTTAAAATCCATGAAGAAGTTAACAATAAATAACAAACATGATCAAACCATTTGTCATCCAAAAGATCATCTTTCGAAACATCGAAAACGCTTTTAACAGAATCATTAGTGGAAAACATAAGCTCGATCTCTTCTTCGACCAAATCGCGTAGTTTGTCTTTATCTTCATGATTCTGCAAAATTGATCCAGTAACGTCGAGCATAGCAGGGACTCTCATCCATTTCCTGATTTGCAGAATGTGCTTATTTTGGCTGTCATTCAAGCCAAATCTTATTTCGGTGATATCGTGAGACCCACCACTCGAAAGCAATTCGTGGTAATAATCATTGTATGCTGAGGAGAATTTTTTCACTAACAGTAAGACGACGTCAGTCATATCCTTACGATAACTAAATGACGTGTTCAATGTTTGACAGGTATGGGTAAGAAGACGTCTAAAGCGGACTGCATTAGAGTAAATGGATGATACTCCAGAACTTTTCATATTAGGAACAAATGTAGAGCTAGCATCCTGGTCATTTAAATTCACTGTAGCCTGACAGAACCCGACACTAATAATACCCGTAGCAGCCTCAGCCGTATTTCCTCCGGGTTTAGACATGCATTCGTGCAAAGATGCATCAAGATCGGCCTCTAATTTCCTTAGGAAAGAGCTCTTCATGAATTCATAGAAAAATTGATATGCTATCATGCTTGTACCCTTTGTTTTCTCAAAATTAGTAAATAATTTATGAGCCCCCACAGTGAATATAAGGAAAAACTCTAATATCACTCTCATGTTGAATATACTTTGAGGAACAAGAGGTTCAGCCAAAGCACTCATGTCTTCGTTAGATATGTAGAGTGATGTATCATTTCCATGCGTATTCTTTGAAGTGTTTACCAAGAATCCTGGAAAGACTTCGTTTAAAACCAGTTTGATGTCATCTGATGTTTTGCTAGAAGATTGGTATGATACGTTATCAAACAGAAATAGTTGCTTGTTTGTCATCGCTTGGAAGAGCTTGTTGGTATTCTTGTGTTCAGACGTCAAAGGTGAATGATCTTCAATTTCCGACGAAATGTATTTTGTCATTAATGCCTCGATCTCCTTACGGGTAGCCATCCATATCGATTTGAAGTCGTAAATTCTCAGGCCTGTAGTACTGCCAGATCTGGAGACAATATCATCTGAATTAAATAACTGAACAATCTCCCATGCAATTTTATGGTTCATCAAAATGTGAACGCACTTCAAGAAGAAAGAACCAAAGAAATCTTGGAGAATTGGTACGGATGCATCGTTAAACAGCTGACCACTTATCTTATCTTCGGCACTTACCAATTCGATATTTCTGGTCTTGGATAATCTTGCCAACCTTTGAAGATTTTTTTGGCGTGCTTCCTCTGTAGTGCGACTAATAAGTGAATGAATCTCCTGTTGTGCTGTCGAGGACAAAATTTCAAGAACAGGATGCAATTTGTTGAGTTTTGATGCTGTTAGTAAAAGCATAAATATGTAATGGAAAGACTCAGCGGCAGGATTCAGAGCTGACAGAAGAAGGATCGAGTAATCAATTTTTGTTGAATCTGCTTTTGAGTAATGAGCATGTAACTTCGGAAGCTGAACTTCTAGGAAGTTCTTTGCGCTTTCTGTAAATGAGTCAGCAATCTCGCAGATGTCTAAGTTTGCGGAGTTGTAAATGTACAGTTCTAACGTGGTCAGCAGATCGATCAAGGTTTTCAACGATGTCATTTGAGGATTGTTGGATTGAATGAGATTGTTCCAGGCCTCTCTTCTATCACTCGAAACAGACACATTCTTGAGATATATCTCGTTCTGAATTTCATCAAGAATCATATCATATAGATTGTTAGACTGTGCTTCCAAATAGGTGCGAGTGGAGCTCATAGCAGATAGAGACCATAAATTGTATTTGGCCGCAATTTTGTGTGCTTCGGCAATCACATCGTACACTTCATGGATCTTTTTTTCGGTGATGAGTTTGTCAATAACATTTTGGATATCCCGCAAATACTCCATGGCGTCAAGGATTTCGATCATTTCTGTGTATTTGGCTGAACTGTTGTCCAAATCTCTTAAGTGGTGAGATCTATCATTCATGTCACGGGTGCTTTTATCAATCAAGTCCTTTATATGTAAGGAATCTTCCTGTGATTCCTTGACAATTGACAAAAGAACATGATACAGACCCACGCTGTTGTTGAATGTTTCATGGTTTTCAACAACTGAAGTCTTGAGTGCCTTACTTGTCAAATCACATAATTCATCAAACTCTGATTTCCGATGGGCTAGACCGACGGAAGTATCATCAAGAAATGCAATTGCCATTTCAATGGGCAGCACTTCATCTCCAATTAGTTGGGGCCAATCGTATCTTACCTCCTTGTAGACAGACTTGAGATCATTAAGAGATTTAATCGTTTTCTTCTCTTCATCCTCTGACCAGCTGCCGTTAAAGGCCATACTGACCGCTCGATGACGATTGACCATGATAAATGTAATGGGTAGTATTTGGATCACTCAAGGCTATTTTTGAATCTAGTAATCAAAGATGTACGGGTTTGACAACAATATAGTACCTAAACTCCAGAATGACATGTAAGAACGACAAAAGAGTCTCATTTATGTGTATATGGGAGTATCATAAGTACTTTCTATAATCGTCCATTTTTAGTTAAGATTTTTTGCTACTAACATATTTTTGCTTAAACTTCATGTTCTATTATTCGCCTCAGATTCGCAAATTTCACACAAAAAGTGCAATTGGTAGATCAAGTTTGGACGCAAGTGCATAATAAAATTTAAATACTTGTAAAGAAAATTGATATGCTATGTTCAACTACAAACAAGAGCTCTGTAAATATTATATATGAATCAGAGCTGGCTCCTTTCCTTTGTGGCTTGTAATCGGTCGTAAATATAATCAGATGCACGGGGGTTTTAAAGGTAAACAAAATCGGTTTCAATGCATCGATGGATATTATAGAGCTTCTGAGTGAGCCAAGTGAATGCAATGTACTGGTAAGAAAAAGGAAGAGATGCCATGAAGTGATCATGTAAGTAAATTTGTATCAGATACTATGGACTTAACGCTAACAAACAGCTTATCAGAGGAATCAAATGATAATTCCGTGGCAACTAAAGCAGCGGACGACAACGGCTACGCAAGAAGAACTTACGGAAAACAAGATGAAAGAAGACATTCTGAGAGTCTTTTCGAGGTTGGCCGGACGTCGTCGCAGATAGACGTCTCATCGCAATCAGGCGCAAAAACTCAAGTTTCAACAAGCAGAAACATACTAGATCTCAACAACTGGATCAGCAGCTCAGACGATGATTCATTCACTCGTGATTTGATCAAAGATGTGACACCAAAACGTCAAGGGCGTGGGCAGAAAAGCATGATGAAGAACGTTTTAAATTCATCTCCTGTCATTGAAAGATATTCACAGCCACTAGAATCGATTCCTGAGTCGTACTCCCCAGTTCGCCCTAAAGAAACCACGAGGTTCGGGAATGAACTAATAAACAAGAACCCCGTTGCTAGAATTGAATTTTCGGATCCAATTAGCAGTTCACCTATTCCTTCTTCTTTCCCTAAATCTGTATCTCAACCCACAGAACTTTCTTCCGGACCAGGAAGCAAAAGAAGAAAAACTCCTTCTCATAATTCAAAGGATGGCCCATCCATAAAGGAATGGAGAGAAGCGAATAAGGTTACTAGAAAGAAAGAGGATATATTACAGGAGATGGTAATTGAGATAGCTTTGAAGTTGAAAGATAAAATCGAATCTGAGTATTTCAAGGAAGTGTTCACACTCCCGACAGTGAGAACCACATACTTCGAATTACCAATGGTGTCTTGGAAGAGGAGGATCAAAGCGAGATATGATAGGGACAAAGACATTTTCGTTCCCTGTGAACCCACCGAAGTGTCTGAACGCGTCGTTGTAATTTTCTATGAAACTGAGGACCTAATCAATGCCATAAGAGAAGAAACCCTTGAAAGTGACGTGAAAAGAATTCGACAACGCGTAACTATGGAAGATCCTACTCTCAACTACCATTTACTTGTGATGGTTGGCGGATACAGGGAATATCTTCGAAAGCTACAAGCTGCTGAGCATCGCATGTACAAGGAACAAATGCTTGAGAAAATGCTGGATGTTTCTAAGGGAAAAAAAGCGACGACAAAACCGAATATTACAGCACTGGAGGTTCAGCGGCTAGTAATGGAGACTGAGGTGCACATGAGAATTAACATGTTTTTTCCTAAGAGCATGGAAGAAACAGTTGATTGGCTACATTCTTTTACCTATACCATCGGAGCTTCCTTGTACGATAAGCATGAACGAAACTCTGAATTTGCCAACCTTGGGAGCGTAAAGCTGGGGTCTGATCAGAAGAGCACATTCATCGAAATGATCAAAAAGTTTAATCTCATGACGAATCAAAAGGCGGAGAAACTTTACGAGTTTTATACTTCAGTTGGCGCAATCTATAATCGGCTATCCCAACATGAAGATCTTGGGAAGGTGAGCGGGAAAAGTATAGTTCCGCCTACCGTGAATGCGGCCATGAAGAAACTCTTTAGGGCTACAGATCCTAATGAAGTTATTGTTGATTGATGAGGCTAATTAAGGAAAGACCTGAACCTATGGAATAGGAGTTAAGAATATTGTACAGAAATAATTATGTTTCGTGATCAGTGCGAGCCATCAATCACACCACCTACAGCACCACCTTCTTTGCCGTTTCAAAGTCATCGTAAGAGAGTTGATCTTTCATATGATCAATTGCGTCCAATTTGCTGGCCAACTGGGTGATTTCAGATTCAGTAAAGGGGAACTTCATGGCGTGCAATTGAGACAAAATGTTTAATGTCTTATCAATACAGCCAATGTGGCCATCGACACTTATGAAATCAATAAGGTTTTCCACCAACTTCTCCGATTGAAAGTGTTCGGTCTTAACATTATCTAGGCCAGTAGATAAGAGAGCAGACAAGAGTGAAAGTTTGCGCAACAGCATTTTCTGATCATCATTCGAGGGGAGCAACTGGAGAGCCTTGAAGCCACCAAGCTCAACAAATCTGTCAGCAGCGATCTTATAGTTTCTCACAGTACTAGAGAGGGCAAATAAGCACTTCATTCTCAACTCTTTTGGTGTCAGATCAGCAGATGCCAACTCTATGAGCTGCAGAAAGCCATTATCGGCTTTGAAGAAGGCTTCCTGACTAGCAGGATTATTCTGGGTGGCGATGGCCACGATGGAGGCACTTAAAACTCTCAAGCTGACTGCGTCGGCTTGTAACTGAGCAATAACGCTTGGCCAAAGCTTCATATTTTCAATGTTGTTTGCATTATCCATGTTTTCAATCAACATCTCGAAGTTTTCCAATGCCACCTCTTTAGCTTCCTGTGTAGCCTCTGGATTGTTGACAACTTCAATTGCTTGTTTCATCAAGGTGGGTTCATCTGGACCTCCGAAAAGCTGTTTGAGCATTTCGGGATCCGGCTGACCAATCCTTTCCATAGCTTCTTTGTCGCCACTCTGCTGAGCGATCGACCATTGCAATAATTTATCCATAATGTTCTAGTTCACTAAAAGGATGAAAAGGTTAGTTTAAAAACTGACGATGAGAGAGTAGAACTACATGCAGGAAACATTCTAGAAGATTCGTGAAGGTGGTGGAACAAAAGAAAGGGACAGCAACTATCGCACTGCAAGAAGAAAAAAGAAGGTCCCTGACGTAAATGGTAGACCATCAAGGAAACCATGCATCCTGATATCTGGGGGGAGCACGAGACTTCATCCTGCATCTCCCGACCACCACAGTCGTTGTCACTACAGAAAACTCACAGGTGGTGTGTAAGTGCATGCAGCACCTGAAGTCGCATGCACTTAGAGTGCGCCTAGTCAACTTCCTCAGCCCCGGGGTTTGCAAAGGCCCATTCGGATATGGCACCAGCAAACTTTGTTCAGAAATAGAACAAGGAAGCTTTGTTGGCATTGCAAAAAAATTACAGGCAAAAATTGCCGATGTTTCGGTACAAAGCAGATACCAATGCCTGTGTAATGAGCAATCTAGTTAGGGCCACGTTCAATGTAGGCAGTCTCCTGATTGTGAGTATGGTGGTGCCATGATCTCAGGTGACGGATGAAGGTAATCCGCGGGGGAAAAGTCCGAGACACAGGAGACTATATCCAGTCGCATTCGACATATAAAGGGCCGGGATCCAGGGCCCTAAGTGCTAGATATTTTTTTCTCTTCACTAGCAATTGCTTCGTTCAATCAAACTAATCATGTCTTTGTCTAAGAAATTGTCCGTCAAGGACTTGGACCTCACCAACAAGAGAGTTTTCATCAGAGTTGACTTCAATGTCCCACTTGATGGCACTACCATCACCAACAACCAAAGAATTGTTGCTGCTTTGCCAACCATCAAGTACGCCTTGGAGCAAAAGCCAAAGGCTGTGATCTTGGCTTCCCACTTGGGTAGACCAAACGGTGAGAGAGTTGAAAAATACTCTTTGGCCCCTGTTGCCAAGGAATTGCAATCTTTGTTGCCAGGCCAAAAAGTCACCTTCTTGAACGACTGTGTCGGTCCAGATGTTGAAGCTGCAGTCAATGCTGCTTCTCCAGGTGAAGTGTTCTTGTTGGAGAACTTGCGTTTCCACATCGAGGAGGAGGGCTCTAGAAAGGTTGACGGTAAGAAGGAGAAGGCTTCTGCCGAGGACGTTGAGAAGTTCAGAAAGGGTTTGACCGCTTTGGCCGATGTCTACGTCAACGATGCTTTCGGTACTGCTCACAGAGCCCACTCTTCTATGGTTGGCGTTGAATTGCCACAGAAGGCTTCTGGTTTCTTGATGGCCAAGGAGTTGGAATATTTCGCCAAGGCTTTGGAGAACCCTAACAGACCATTCTTGGCCATTTTGGGTGGTGCCAAGGTGTCTGACAAGATTCAATTGATTGACAACTTGTTGGACAAGGTTGACATTTTGATCGTCGGCGGTGGTATGGCCTTCACCTTCAAGAAGGTTTTGGACAAGATGCCAATTGGTGACTCTCTTTTCGATGAGGCTGGTGCCCAAAACGTTGAGCACTTGGTTGCTAAGGCCAAGAAAAACAACGTCGAGCTTGTCTTGCCTGTCGACTTTGTCACTGCTGACAAGTTTGACAAGGATGCTCAAACCGGTGTTGCTTCTGAGAAGGAAGGTATTCCAGATGGATGGATGGGTCTTGACGCCGGTCCAAAGTCTAGAGAGCTTTTTGCTGCTGCCGTTGCTAAGGCTAAGACTATTGTCTGGAATGGTCCACCAGGTGTCTTCGAGTTCGAGAAGTTCTCTGCTGGTACCAAGTCTTTGTTGGATGCTGCTGTGAAGTCTGCTGAAGCTGGAAACACCGTCATCATCGGTGGTGGTGACACTGCCACTGTTGCCAAGAAGTTTGGCGTTGTTGACAAGTTGTCCCACGTTTCTACTGGTGGTGGTGCTTCTTTGGAGTTGTTGGAAGGTAAGGCTTTGCCAGGTGTTGTCGCCATTTCCGAAAAATAAATTATGAGCAGATTTGATATTTGCTCTATATAAAGTGAATAATAACGTTTAAGCGAATACTATAGATTTGTGCTTTACTTGATCTATACTATCCAGTAGAGGCTTACAATTTAGCTGCTCCACTCATGATTTGCGCCCATGAGTCTTCTGTTAACTCTTCGTAGCCGTTCTTGCCCAACCAGTAAATTACCTCTTGACCATTTTCGCCCTTTGGCAATTTTTGGTTCTTGTACTGGTTTTTGGGCACCTTATGATTGTGCGATGCCTGGATTGCATCGGCCCCAATCTTAATAAACTGTGGAATTGCATATTTGGGCAATGTCTTCTTTACATGTTCGTAAATTCTTTGCAAAACCTCCTGGTCGCTCAAACCATCTAATGGATCAACCACAGCAAAGCCTGCTCTTCCCTCATGATTTGGAACACGCACACCAACAACCACAGCCTGCTTGATTGCTTTGGTGCTCATAATTTCATTTTCAACCTCAGTGGCTGAAACATTCTCAGATTTCCAACGGAATGTGTCACCCAATCTGTCAACAAAGTACAATAACCCATCCTCATCCATTTTCAAGAGGTCACCACTTCTAAACCACGCATCACCCTTCTTGAAAACATCACGAATAATTTTGGACGATGTTGCCTTTTTATTACCGTAGTACCCTTGGAATGAGTCTTCAATATTGTTAGCGTCCATAATTTTCATCAACAACTCACCAGGCTCGTTCGTTCCAGCCGTAACGCAAAATCCAGTTTTTGGGTCACGCAAGATTTCATTATCATCTTCTGGATCCATTTTCACTAATGCTTGTGTAGTGTTCAAGACATTGGTAATCAATGATCCATACTTTCTACATGCACCCACCCCAAAATCACCGTATTGAAGATTGGTTGTTGCAATAGGTGATTCGGTCGAGGCATAAAACTCACCAACGCCTTCAATGCCGAAACGATCTTTAAACTCTTGCCAAATATCAGGACGCAATCCGTTACCGTAAGCAATTCTCACATTGTGTTTCTTCTCGTCTGGATGAGGCTTGGCATTCAACAAGTAGCGGCAGACTTCACCAACGTATTGCACATGTGTGGCGCCAACGAGTCTTGCCTGTGTCCAAAATGTAGAGGCTGAAAACTTCTGACAAACGCTGACACATCCGCCTTTTGCAAGAGTTGGACACAACCCCAACATTGCTGCAGTAGAATGATATAATGGCATTGCAGTCATCACATTTGAAGTATTATTGATCTTCATAATGTTACCAAAAAACCCACATGCCATGAACGTTTTTCTCCATGACATTATGGCAGATTTGGGCAAGCCTGTAGTACCAGAGGTGTAAATCAAAGTACAACAAGACGACATTGTATCATTGGGGCGTCTGGTTGAATCAGGAGCCCTATACTCAGGTCTGTTCTTGTCAAGAAGTGTCCGCAACAACTCTTCTTCATTGATATAATGCAAAGCAACGTCTGGTAAGCTTTCCTTAATCATGGGTTCAGTATTTCGAATTGGCTCCGCACAGTCGGGATCAATAAAAACTTGCTTAACATCAGCCACCTTTATACAGTGAACCAAAGCTTTATCCTTGGTATTGTAGTTTAAAAAGGCGGGCACAGCGCCGATGTTCCACAAGGAAAGCCACAAGATAACGAAAAGTGGTTTGTTCATACAGTCGATTCCAATTGTGTCCTTCAGAGTCACTCCATGCACATTCTTCAAAATCCAACTGAAGCGTAAAATCATTGCATACAATTCGCTGTAAGTGTACGTCTCCAAATCAAACTGATCGTCGTAAATGGGGTACCCCTCTTCATCAAGTGTTACCTTGGAAGTGTTTCTTGGCCGTGGAAATGAAATAGCAATATTGTTTGGGTATTTCTTGGCTGCCTTCTCGAACATATACCAATAACTTGCTCGTTTTCTTGAGACATTGTAAAGATAGGGAATCGCCGTCCTGACCACTTTTTGAAGAAGTAAGAGATCATCCTTCACATGATACTTAGCATCAAGTAAATGTGCACCAAAAATGGCAGCTGCGGCTAATTCAACACCAGACATTCTAAATTTTGGTTCCAACCTTTATTGCTTTCTCTCAAATCAAATAGGTAGTAAATGAGTGACAGATTGAAGCACTTATATGTCTCCGCAATGGAGACTTTGCATATGCTCTTGTACCATCTTATATGCACAACATAAATACATGGCATTATTACCACATTTAGCAAAAACATGATTTTTAGGGGATTGAAAACACAGCAACACCCTCGGTAGTCACCATAATTATGAATGATAAGTCGGTTACAGATAGGCTTAAAATTAGTAACTATATTAGTTATTAGGACCCGAAGTTTCTCGGCTGCGAATACACTGTTTGGGAACACCGAGGACTCTATAGAGATTTTTCACGTGTCTCATCCATCCAATAAATTACTTTGTCCAGGGAACCTGGAGTATTCGAATAGTCGTGCATGTGCTGTGTGTTAGACGTTCTGGCTTCGCAAGGTTCTGTCCACAATTTCACTTCCGGGTATGCCCTTCCTAGTATATGGGCGACATGATTGGCCTTCGCCCTGATCTCTGAAGACTGCCCTATCCACATGCCTTGTAAAATAAGGCCCTGGAGATGTGAATGAGGATAAAAGACGTCATGTGTGTCTATGCAGCAGTCCACATGCGGTTCAATAATCTCCGCCACGAGATCATAAAAGAAGGGTTTCACACTTGGATTCTCCGCAGCAAGAATTGATTGTTCAATCAAAGGTAATAGTTGGCGATGCTCATAACAACCTGTCTGTTGAGCGCATGTCCGAAAGACTAAACTAAGCTTTAGAGATGCCAATGGAAGCAAAAAAGAACTTTCCAACCAAACACTGCATAAAAGACGGAAGACAGATAAATGAGACATAACAAATGGCTCCAGTGCAGAGCGACGGAAGTACTCCAACATTTTCTGAGCAGGATAAGGATAGTTATCATTTTCAATTTGAGATGGGAATCTTTCAGAACCTTTTAGATTAAAAAAATCTTCGTAGTTCCAATGGCACCAAGTGAAACAAACCAACAAATCAATAAGCAACATCTGGAGACCATCTACACTAGAGGAATGCTTGAACAAACTATGGTTTTCAACTTGATCCTCAAGGAGGTTACAGAAGGTCTCATGATAGTAAATGGGGTTATCGAATACACTTTGGGAGCTTCCAATTGCTGCAAGCTGGAAAAACGCCAATGCTCTTGAAGTGTCTTCTTTATCAAGTAGAGAAATCCTCAATTCTTCAATGACCATTCGAGCAACTTTGGTTGTATCAAATTGGGGTGGAGGTAGTTGATTTTCAAATTTGAGTAGACGAGGCAAGTCAAGCTGATCAGGGAGAGAAGTAGCATTCTGAGGTTGGCAAAGCCTGCGCAATTCTGATTCCAAATAGCGATGCTTTGGAGTTTCAAAAGCATCTATATTTTCCTTTACATGACTTGTAGGTTTTTTACTTTCATCTGATGAGACGAGGGCTAAATCGAGGGAAGAGAAGACACGCGATCTGGGATTCGTTTTTTGCAAACTTCTCCCAAGAGTGGTCATTGACGATGCAAAACCATCTGATTGCTCCAATTGCAAAATAGCTTCTAGTCTTTCTGCCATATTATGCTGCTTAGTTGGAGCATTAATGTGGTCACACTTTGTTTCCAGAAGGCGTTGGACCTGGAAAGTTGTCATGATGAAATGCTTTATACGACGGGACACAAGGGCAGCAGTTGCGGTTGAAAATATTAGAACAATGAAGATGAAAAACGCGTTCAGTAATTCGGTGTCCGAAACTGTTTCCATCAGAGCCTTCGCTTCTAATTTGGAGGTGATGCAGAAATTATTAGTCACAAAGCACTGTAGTAGAAATTTGCAACAAATGCGCGACGTGCATATTGGAGACTGACCTCTCGCAATGCGAGTATACTGTATTATGCATCGCAAACGGCTGGAGTCACGTGTGTTCACCACTACATCGCACCACTCTGGGTATTAAAGACAACCTTATTGATCCCGCTTTAAAGCTCCCGTCCAGGATGTTTTGCAGGTCTGGCTTTTACTTTACGAAGAACACTAGCGTTTTGAGCATTTTTGCCAAAACGAGCGGTGCCGTCCGTTTGTCTCTTGCTCCCCGTAGAGTGAGCCCTTTATCAAGAATGTGGTCGAATCTCAATTTTACCAAGCTGTACTCGACGGTCCCCCGTATCGCGCTTCCAAAACCACAGCTTACCCGTTTCTATTCAACAGGTGCATCCCTTGCCAATGCTGCAAGAAGATCGGCGCCAGTTGTTTCCAGTAAAATCATTGGCTACTGGTTGATTTCCACTCTGGGTCTCATCTTTGGTATTGTCGTTGTTGGTGGCTTGACAAGATTGACAGAATCAGGATTATCTATCACTGAGTGGAAACCAGTCACGGGAGCCATCCCACCGCTCAATGAGAAAGAGTGGGAAGAAGAATTTGAAAAATATAAAGATTCGCCAGAATTCAAGCAATTGAATTCGCATATCACCATGGACGAGTTTAAGTTTATTTTCAGTATGGAATGGGGTCATCGTTTAATCGGAAGAGGAATTGGATTGTTTTTTGTTCTTCCTGCTCTTTACTTTTGGGCAACTAAAAAATTTAGTCCCCATGTGACCCGTAGGGTTGTTGGTCTCACTGGATTACTTGGCTTGCAAGGTGCAATTGGGTGGTGGATGGTCAAATCTGGGTTGGATGAAGAAGATCTCGCTGAAAGAAAGTCAAAGCCAACCGTATCACAGTACAGATTAACAACCCACTTGGGAGCGGCATTCTTGTTATACTTAGGTGTTTTGTGGACTGCGTTTGAGATTTTGAATGAAAACCGTTGGATCAAACAACTCAAAGAGAACCCAGAGATGGTCACTGAGACACTTGCAAAACTCAACAGTCCCAAATTGAACAAGACAAGGCAAATCGGAATTGGACTCCTCGCCTTGACTTTCATCACAGCATTATCTGGAGGCATGGTTGCAGGGTTAGATGCTGGTCTCATTTACAACACATTTCCTCATATGGGTGATGAATATGTTCCCTCGTACTCCGAACTTATGGACCCTGTATTTTCGAGAAAAGAGGATTTGTCAGACTTATGGTGGAGGAACATTTTGGAAAACCCAACTACGGTCCAACTTGTGCACAGAACATTTGCTACCATTACATTCTTCTCTGTCTTAGCCGCTCATATGTTTGTGAACAAGAACAAGAACATTATTCCACTGAGAGCCAAAAGAAGTATGCACACAATGATGGGCTTGGTCACCCTTCAAGCTACGTTGGGCATCTGCACTTTAATATACTTGGTTCCTATCCCATTGGCTGCCGCTCACCAGGCAGGTGCTTTGGCTTTACTAACTGGATGTTTGGCTTTCGCTGCTAATGTTAAGAGGCCTAGAGCACAAACTGTGAACTATATCAGTTCTTTAATGAAGGAGCAATTGTTAAAGAAACACTGAGTAATGCTCCTCATTTAACTTGTACATATTAAATTTTCATTATAGTTCGTTAGTCTATTAAAATGCGTCACCATATACGCTTGCTTGCCATTTCGTACCTTTTTACCTTGGAAAGCGAATCGTTGTCGGGATGCTCAACAATTGGTGAACCAATGCGCCTCTTTTTCACCTCCGCGTTTCTTTTCTCCTCCAACGTTGGCGGAATCTTTTCACCATAGTCGTAAATATATGATCTAGTTGACGGGTTTATGGAGGACATTTCAGTATTTGGTACGCCTGGTATGAATGATCGCAGTATCTCATTCTCCAACAAATCCTTGGAGCAACTAATCTGATCATGCGTGCTTGGGATTGTTGTTTGCAGGGAAGTTTGAATGAAACTTGCACCTAATGTGGGCAAGTCAATAAATGCTTGTGTCAAGTCACTTTCCGTATTCACTCCGATAGAAATATTGGAGTCGTCAGATAAATCATTATTCAAGGGTGAATCTACATCTACCGAAGAGGACACAAACTGCAGATGGTCTGGGGTCATAAAAGAGTGACTTGATTTCTTTACCAACTCAGACTGACGTGCCTCGTGGTTTCTTTTGATTCTTCTTCCCCACTTCAAAAGCCACAAGCTTATCATGAGTCTCATGACTAGCAATGCGATAAATGTCAAACACAATAAGGCCAAACTGCTCAGGAGGGACATAAACGTGACGGATGCAGGCCAGAATACATTCTTCAAATCACTCAATGACATGCGAAGGAAGCAAATAGCAAGGGAAATTATAGGCAAGCCGATTCTTTTAGCCAACACGAGATAATCTGATGCTTCTCTCAGAGTAAGCAGCTTCGAATTCGAAATGAAAACTTCATGGAAGTCCAAACTCAACACATAAAGAAAATTGTCGTAAACTGTTGGACGAATACGGTTGAACTTATTGATGAAACAATGCTTCAACCAATCAACGAATACTTCACTTCCTAGTACAACCATCGAGGGTCCAAAGATTGCCCCGAACCACTTATTCCAGGACTTCCAACTGTCTGGTATCAATCCTAACTGTGTAGATCCAAGCTGTGATAGATTTCTCAAGGTAATGATGAACAACATGATCGATAACTGGAATCTTTCTGTTAAGTCTGACATGGACACTTGAAATAAGCCCTCTTTATCAAACTTTTTGAACACAGCACCTTTGAGTTCTGCAAATTGGTTGGATAATAAAAGTGCTAATAAAGCATTAGAATATGAGTTTGCCGCAACATGGAGTGATACACATTGGTAAATAAGGGCGTATGAATGGCAAGTAGAGTAGACCAATGCAATAAGCAGAAAAAGGAATAACTTCAAGATATTTTCTGGACTGCCATCTGTCAAGGGAATTCCCACTAGTACAGTAAAGATCTCCAGGCCAATTGACGATAGCAACTTATCTGTTACTTCCAAAACCCCAAACATGACATACAACTTGATGTGTGCTTGACCCCTAATGTCATGGTATAATCGGGAAATGTCTAATAAAGGACTTCCCAAGGTATAGATTGTGAGCACGATGAGCATAAGGGTAAGTATATCCCTTTTGACGAAATGAAAGTTTCTCCTGATAAGTTGCAAATTAAGTTTTTTAAGGCGAATAAGGTCACTCGTGGTGGTGTAAGTTATAATGCAAATTTTCAACGGAATTAAAGTAAAGAGCGTTAGAAGGGAATTAAGACACACGAGAAGACCGTAAACAATGAATTTCTCCAAGTATAATGGAACCAGCACCATGCTGGACAACTGTTCGTAAGCCTGGTTCTCTGCTTCCTCATCTTCTTTACTTTTCCTCTTTGACGAAGTAGGACCGGGAAGGTTCAACTCGATGAGAAGTAAGCGGAAAAGAGAAATCATTCTGTTATTGGATTTAGAAGAGGCCGGTAGATCACTGTAAGATCCATGATGAATGAACCTTAGGAATGCAGAAGTGGTGGATGATCGAGATCTCGACATTGGTTGATCGGTCTGCAGCCTCTTCTCAACAACTGAGTTTGGCTTATCAGAATTATCCTGATCTTCTGGAGTGACTAAACCCTCAGAAGAGTCATTGTTTTGTATCCCCGGCTGGATACTCATTGACTTTAAGAGAGATTGTGGATGCCCGTTTTCTAATATGATGAGTAGGGGTCACGTGCGATACGCTGCCACAGAAGTTACTTCATTATACAAAAGTTTACTTCAAGAAGAATGTAACTGTACTGTTTACAGCGCAAAGATTCGCCCAGCTGCTTTACTTTAGTAGCTGCTGCACATGTAGCTGGCACTCTTACTCTCATCCTTTGTATAACATACACAATAAGATGTGTGCAAGTAATTCATCCTCAGACGAAACATTCCATGAAACAGAATAATGCAATCATTCTCAACGGGCTTTCAAAAAGACTTCGACTAATACGATATAGATAGGGCTCACGACCAAAAAAGGAAGATTAATGCCGGGAGTTGTTTACCCATGCACGTACAGGTTACAACAAAGAGTGCATAAAAGAGAGATAGACGCCTCCACACAGAGCTACTTATTGTATTATCATTGAAGATCAGCTGCAACATCCGATTATAACGGAACTGATGCAGAGGTGGACTAGAAATTATGAACAAATTGACCGTTGATGAGTTTTTGGGGTACTTGGCACCCTTCAACAATAAGGAGACACTAACCCCTTTGGAAGCTTCCCAATTGCTGTTAAAGATCGCTGAACTTGTTCTTGACAACACTGTTGACATAAATCTTCTCAAGTTTTTATGTCGATTCTTAACTCAACAATCATACGACGAATTGGTGGAAGAAAGGAACATTGAGCATCAGTGTGGGTATCTTTTGTGTGATAATGCACCCAAGCATCAAGTTCGGAGACTTTCACACCTGGGAGGCTGTATGGAAACAGCCACCAGATACCAGATTTGGAACAGAAAGCCATCCATGATTTTGCCGAACACATATCTTTCCCAATACTGCTGTAAGGAACATTATCAAGCATCGCTCTTTTACCGGAATCAGCTTTCGCAAGAGGCCATCTTCGCCCGAAAGAACATTTTAACCACACCGCCTTTCCCGGCCATGCTAGGGCCTTGGTATGAAAACTCCATAACATGTTTGGAGGAAGTTTTAGCTAAGCATAAGGAGTTGAGGGCGCAAGGAAAAACCTTGTCAGACGTTATCACGATGATGAATGGGTTATCGGTTGCGGATGGAGACAATGACACTTCAGATTTGGTGAAATTAATCCAAGACTTTGAGATCATTGAAAACGAAGGTGGTGTGCTTACGGAACTGGAAGAATTTCCCCTTGATAAGACCAATGCTGCTAGACAGGTTGAAGGTTATACAACCATGGAACGAGGATTGAAAGGACATTCGCTGTGAAGCGAATGATCTGGTAAATTACTACGAACTTTAATGATTTTCACGACCTACCTAGCCTATGTATGTACACCCAGAATCATGTGGAATTTATTTACATGCAATCTTTTCCATTGGCCCACTCTAAAACTTAAATCTTTTGGCGAAGTTGTATCCCATCTTGAAACTGCCACTTTTGAACTCCGTGAGATAGTCACCTAAAGACTTTCCTAACCCTGCTCGTTCAACCTCTGACAAACCATTCCGCCTTGACTTTTCTTTAACGTCATCTCGCTTTTTCATAGCCTCGTAATTATCTGACACTGTGTCGTTCATGAATAAATCGGAATGGAGAAAGAAACGCTTCTCTTCTAGCTTATCGAGGAGAGCACAATACCTCTTCGCACTCCGGGCAAATAAACCATTCATTTTATCTTGAAGGCGTTCTTGTTTAGCCCAAATTGGACTATCCTTGGTGACTTTATATTTATCATATAAGGCTTGAATATCCGAATTAATTCTTTGGGTGCTCTCATCAAGAGGTTTTCTCCAAGAATCAAAATTCAGCTTATCTTCATTCATTAATAGCTTTTGCAACTCTCCTGATGTGAGCTGGACTTCGTCATGCATCGATCTCATCTTCTCGATATTCATTTGAGCTTCCCATCTTGCTTCCTCGTCCACTAATCTTTCGTAATACTTGCGAGGGTACATTATTTCCTCAGCAGAGAAACCACGAGAACCTCGCACACCATACCCTTCTCCATATGATCTTTCACTGGCAGCAGCAGCGGGATCCAGATCTAGATTCCATATAAACTGCTTTCTTATAAGCCTCATCAGCTTCTTTATATCTAGAGCAAGTTCCTTCATTTCTGGTGGCTTATAATTTGGAGCACGGAGAAAATTAGCTGTCATCACACCAGCAGTAGTGTTTCTGATCTTGACCTTATAAGGTCCTTCATTAACGATGCGATTCTCCCAAGGTAGCATGAAGTGGTTCATGTTGATAAGGAATTCTATCTCCGGTTTGATGATAGAAGCAATGTATTCCATGTCATATGCCTCATCTAAAACAAAGCTCTTGGTAGAATTAGGAAGAAGCTCCAGTGGCTTTGGTATATGCGTAGAATATTTTGTGAGGGTATCTGATACGTACGGCAATTTGTAAGGAATAGGTATGCGGCCATTTAATTGAAGGTATTTCAAGTAATTTCGAACAACAAAGTTGGCATTGGCTTTACTTTCGGAAACCATAGCCTTCAATTCCTTATATTGCTTACTCGGACTGAGATCTGAATACTTGGGGTCAGATTCATTTTTGGGTCTGCTCAAGTATGATTGAATCCGCTTCAACGTGAGATGGTCAACTTCACGTTCTCTTTGATTATCAATCTCTGTCTTATGTTTTGCATAGTCGGCCTTCCAGAATTCTTTCTGGTGTTGTGATTGCCTATGCTTGGTGAGGATGTTTATCAACTTATTCCAAGACAGTGGATCCAATGGCTGCGCATGAACTTGCTTCAAGGTAGCGATGAGCAGAGCACCCACTTGCAATTTCAAAAAGACGCTTTTAGCATTGAATTTACTGTACTTGGTCCTGAATTCCTCATCGACGTAGTAACGAAGCTCAGAACGCAACAATGTGCCATATAGCTCTGGATTCCGAAGCGCTTTAGCCACTTCTGATGGAGGTGCACCATCTGCTGCCTTAGGATCTATCACAGGAACCAAAGACCGGATGTTCGCTAAAGAGCGTAGGATATTTCTGTACATGCTTCGAAGCAGACTGGCATGACTGTTGAGTGAGGTAACGGTAGGCATGTGGTTGATGTCATGTAGTTCGTTTTTTGCGCAAATTTCGTACTTAGCTTCTCAAGCAAGTACGCATCAGTTGAAAGAGTGATTTAAAGCATTTTTTTTATTTGATTAGAACGGCTCTTACATCTTCTGGTCTTTTGAATTCTTCAATTTCGTGTCTATGGAAGTGAGTTACTGTATTTATGTATAATTTGTAGTCCTAGTTAGTTAAAGTGCACTAGACGCAGGTCTCTATATAATTACAACAAACTATAGAGAATGGTATGTTCCCCACTCGACAACAGTGACGAAAAGCCATAAAGATGTCTCTTCTTTCAGAGTACTAATGAATAGCCCCCAAAACAGCCAGTCACAATTTTAAAGTTCAAAAGAGCCCGAAGCACCTACGTGATTCCCATACAGCTAACAGTGAAGAAGAACTTTACTATTGCCTCTTTCACAGAAACTTTAGCTGAAGCAATTAATTTGTCAGGAGGGCTACATATAATCGAAGATGGAAGCATGGCCGATGAAGGGGAACCCGATGAAGGTTTACAGGTAAAGGCTTCGGATCTCACAATTGCTCTTCCAAAAGTCAAAGAGACTCCATATGATAACGTCTGGATTCCCGTCGAGGATGATTCGACCTTGCAAACTATTGTATTTCAGGACTATGATATTATAGCTTTCAAATTTGGTGATGATGTCGAATTCAGAATTGAGCAACCTGAGTATGAAGACTAAAGTATTAAGTTGCTACACCTCAAGCTACCGAACACATATAAATGCTTTGAATACACACAAAACCTTCCCTGAAGTTTGAACGAAGAAATGAAAAGTTGGCCTTAGATCTTCTTTCCACTTACTTTTCTAATGCCACCTGAAACTACTCTTGAACCATTCTTACCTGGTAGTACCCCAGCACTGATTATAGTGCTTGACCGAGATTTAGGAAATTTGGGGTTGTTTGGTGAATTTGGCGAAGACGTTAATGTGGTACTCACAGTTCGCGTTGTAGTCGTTGTTGTTGTTTTCGTCAAGGAGACCGGTTGTGTAGTACTGTTGGTTGAAATAGATCTCAATATTTTCCAATCGCTGGTGTCTCTTTTAGGCGAGCTGTGACAAATCTCTCCATCGGCGTTATTAACCTCCTGCTCTATGGTGGTTGGCTCCCCATCTTGCATGAAGTCAGCGGTGCCGTGATTCTCTTCATCTGAGTTATTGACAACATCAAGAATACCAGAAGTCTGAGATTCTCGGTATTTTCTTGGCTGCCCAGGAGATTCCATAGGAACAACACTTTGGATTTTCGACGCTAAAGCTCCACTGATTTTCCTCCTGCGGATAGGAGTATTAAATGACGAATCGAACTGACTGACATAGGACGAGTTCATTTGTTGCTGCTGTTGTTGCTTCTTCTGCTTAGCCTCCTGCTTTATTCTTGCTTTAAAGTCTTCATACGAGACTAAGGAGTAAAGGCCACCAATAAAGAAATCCGGCTTGTTATCAAGACACATAGTATGTCTCCAGTCTCTGAACTCGTTTTGATGCAAGTACAACCAATGTTGCTGAGGTCCAACAACCATTCCAGGACGAATCATCCTCATATAAGCTATGCATTCGTTTGCAGTAAACCCATGGGTGTAAATCAAATGTGCACCAATAAGACAACCAGTTCTACCTAAGCCAGCTTTGCAATGAACTGCAATTTTTCCACCTCTACTGATGATACACTCAGCAGCACCAATGAACTTTTTAACGTAATCTAATGTGGGGCAAGTTCCATCTTCAAAAATCATGTCGATATGTTGGATTCCTCTTTTTGTAAACTCTGTGGCATCGTAGAGATGAGAATTGAGTCTCACCACCAATTGAACGTCATTGGCTTTGAAAAAAGACAAGACTTTCTTGAAGGGCTCATTTAACACCCCAGGCTTTCTCAAATTTTGTTGTGGTGAGGCAAATGCAATAAAATCTTTTGAAATCACATTGAAGTCGCCTTGATCCACTCTTTCGTATTGTTCATATTCTTCTAAGTTGAAGTTAGTCAAGTCAACCATATCTCTTTCTTTTGCTCTCCACATCGCGTAGACAATATCCTGGATAGTGATTTCAAAGTCAGCAGCAGAATAACCAGCATCTCTGAAGGGCTGAAATGGAACCTCAACTTGCGATATTGGTTGCAATACTTGGTGAGGAGCCCATGATTGTACTAGAACCATGTAGCAGCAAAGAAGACAAGCAGCATTGGCTCTCTCCTTTGGCGACGTGGAACTGTAGAAAACAACAGCCTTACCTTGATTTGCTTCTTCATTCAAAATATTGTGCAAAACGACCGCAAAACGATATAGAGCGCCGATATGCAAGGGACCAAAATCCAAGTGGAACGCATTATATGGTAACGCATCCTCAACAGTAAAGTACACTAAGTCTCTGGAGTCTGGAGGGGTGTAATCGAATGCTCCAAGATAGATACGGTCTAGTAGTTAGTAAACATTTCGCGAGCAAAGACTCAAAGTCGGTACAAACATACTTTTCAAGAACTCGATCATAGGAATACTCAGTCTTGCTCTGGCCATGATCGCTATATTGCTTAGGGGGAAAATGGTGATAAGGGAATATTAAATCGAGCACAAGACGGGACAGTAGCTAGCTAATAGAATGTTCAACTGTATTCGTGTAGCAAAGGAAAAGCGAATCGGCGTTCTTGCGGGAAGCGAAGGTAAATGACAGGGAAAGAAAGTGCTCGAAAGACAGTTCGTGAAACCAAAACACTGGATGCAGAGAAAAAGTGCTACAGAGTGGTGAATGAATGCCCGAATGAGAGTGTTTATATTCTACCCATATTGGGATGTGTTATTACTCCATCGTTCATTATATGCAAGAGAAACGAACTTTCCGCATGTTACACAATCGGCGTGTCTAGCTTTTAGAACTATCATTTCCCGACATCCCACGCTCAAAATGGTATGGATGAATATTGCATCATGAATCTTCAAGCTTCCTTCTAACTAACTTTTTCCCAGGCGCCGTCATTGTACACCTTTAGTTCCGAGACTTTATCGGATCTCCGCAAATTCAGGTTTGCTAGCGCACGGGCGACCACCATGCAAGCGGTGATTTGTACGTATTTCGCTTCCTGTGAAAAGGGCAGCTGTACTGACTTGTAGACTATATTGACAAGAAGACTTACGAGGTGCAAAAGGAAAATGAGCAGCCCATCGATACTTTAGAGGAGCTCACCGAAGAACTTCCAGATAACAGTGCGAGATATGTCGTTCTTTCCTACCCCATTAAGTTAGATGATGGAAGAATAAAGAATCCTTTAGTTCTTCTTTACTGGCGGCCACCAACTTGCGGTCAGGAAAGTAAAATGCTTTACGCGGGTGCTGTTGAATTGATACGGGAGAAGGCAGGAGTTTCTCAGTATGTGAGTTTTTCTTTTTCTTTTTTTTCTTTCCATTCTATACTAACAACATCAGACTTATCGAAATCGAAGACGAGGAGGATTTCGAAGATTTGGAGGAACAATTACATTAGTATACATGGTTGGGGTGACCCATCCATGAAGCTTGGCCTCGCGCTGTCCCTGTATACCACAAGAAATGAACATTGTTATAAAATCTGAGTACACCATGTATAACTGAGAACGGGTTCTCAAAGTCGAAGAGATGTGTGCGTACCAATCCTGTCTGAAAATTTTTCAAGACTATATATGTTCGCGTGAGTTCCACAGAAAAAATTTTTAGCACAGAAAAAAAAAACACACAGCAGCCATGGGTCGTATGCATTCTTCTGTATGTGACTTTGTTTCTTAGAAACATGGTATGGTGGAATAGTGAACTGGATCAATTCGGTGCACAGCTTGGGATTTGAGTCTTGCTAAAAGTGGCTATCTCTAATAAGAGGATAGTCGACTAGCTTTTAGTACTTGATGTCATTCCCCTCCCTTTGGAAAAGCTTGTTGCGTTTAGCTGGTTGATTCCACTATTGTAGACCAAATGGTGGTCATCTAAAAGGAAGATTGTTTTTTCTCGTGAAAGTGTGAAAATGCATGTCCTTCAGAAACCTTTTTTCAAGGGGACTGGTGGGTCGTGTTCTTCTTTTTATTACGGCCGCCATCTCAGCTTGTCTGGGTGCCTTCAATGTTTTGCTCTTATGTCATAACATTTTTACTAACATTATCAGGGTAAAGGTATTTCTTCCTCCGCTATTCCATACTCGAGAAACGCTCCAGCTTGGTTCAAGTTGTCCTCTGACGAGGTTGTTGAGCAAATTGTCAAGTACGCCAGAAAGGGTTTGACTCCTTCTCAAATTGGTGTTATCTTGAGAGATGCTCACGGTGTTTCCCAAGCTAAGGTTGTCACCGGTAACAAGATCTTGAGAATCTTGAAGTCCAACGGTTTGGCTCCAGAGATCCCAGAAGACTTGTACTTCTTGATCAAGAAGGCTGTCTCTGTCAGAAAGCACTTGGAGAGAAACAGAAAGGACAAGGACTCTAAGTTCAGATTGATTTTGATCGAATCCAGAATCCACAGATTGGCCAGATACTACAGAACCGTTTCTGTCTTGCCACCAAACTGGAAGTACGAGTCCGCCACCGCTTCTGCTTTGGTTAACTAAGCTTTTTGCACAGTTCAACTCTTATAGTAATATAATTTATCTTTGCATTTTCTTGAATACATTCATCGTCATCTTACGTATCCACGTTGGATAAGAATATTTTTCGCCAGTAAAATGTAAATTAAGTACTTAAACACCAGAGTTAAGATATTTATCTTCTATAATGCACAATGACACTTAAATGTCGTCGATATCCAACTCATCGTCATCTTCGTCGTCGTCATCATCGTCACCAAACTCGAAGTTGACTTCTTCTTCATCATCTGCACCAAAGGTGTCAGTTTCGTTAATCTTGGCACTTTCTGGTAATTCACCAATGTTCTTTAAAGTTCTAGCCTCATCCGAGTTGTACTTGTGAACAACATCACAGAGATCGTCTTGGAAGTCTCTCAAGGAAACCAAGATGATGTCACCTTGACCCATCCAGACCTTCTTTCTCATTTTACCTCTGATGTGACCCATTCTTTTGATACCGTCAAAGCAACTGACTTCAAGTCTACCGTTACCTAACATCTTGGTAATTTGGGCATATTCTTGGCCTTCTTCTTTGTGAATCAATTCTCTTTTCTGACCACCGTTAAAGTTCTTTCCCTTTCTTCTGTTTTTACCTCCCTTTCCTTTCGAAGATTTTCCCATTTTGTAAGTTGTTTCAAAGGAGAAAAGAAAGTTCCGAGCACAAGAGAGAAAATTTTTATGCAAGCTACTTGCTAATGGTGTACTGGTGTTTACTTCCATGTACACTACACTACATGATGGCTGTACTACAACGAGAAGATAACTTATAAACTATGACTTTTTTTTCCGGTTAACATGTTGGGATAATCTTATCATTAAAATTCTCGATGTCGTTGAAGAGAGGTGTGTCCCTACTTTTGAAAGGAAGAAAACACTAAGCTTATTTACATTCGGCATGCAACATCTACAGCTTGTTGTCATTTGTCTCTACTCAAGTACTGTTTAATCTCTCAGCTGCTTGTTAATATAATCATGTAAGTATTTACTTTGACCCATTCCTTACTTCTTCACAAGTCACCAATGCTAATGTCAATATGTGGTGTACGGATGTGAAATCATCTTGACCAAATATCATTCTCACATACTAGTATAGGTAACCAGGCAATGGACTCTTTCGAAACAAGTACTCAATTTCAACAAATGTTGAGGGCTTTGTCGCCTCAACAGCAAAACCTCTTGCGAGCTGCCCATTTTGCTTTAAAGCACTCTGAAAACGAGGACTACCTTTATTTTGCGATTATGGATTCACTTGATGATCAAAAGGTTGAATTGAACATGAAATCCACCATCTTCCAATATATTGATGTCTTGATACACGAATCATTTCATATCTCTCAGCAGACAAATTCCCATTACAATTATCCCTATGTGCATAACTTGAAAACTTCATTACCAAAGATACTATTAAAGGTGCTACCAGCATCCAGCAATCCAAATCTCAACAATATTTTCAATAGTCTATGCAATATTTCCGAATCCCTTAACGTGAACTGCTCAGAGTATAAATCCCGCTATAAGAATATAGAATCATTACTCTCCAAAGAGGAACTTGAGAGCATAGATATGGATGTTCGTTATCCAGAAATCAACTTGGACGAGATTCAAATCGACGCGACTGATCCTGTCATCCAAGCTTGGGAAATTCTTCTTCATAGAAGAAAGCAGAGTCACTATGAGCGAATTAGGCTTTTGAAAAACAAACCTTATCGAGACGATGAAATTACAGAATCTGAGATGTTTTCCATTCGACCTTCGAGAGTAGGTGACCCTTCCAAAAAAGTAAACGAGTTGATGTTATCAAAGAAACAAATCCTTTCTCGAATGGAGGATGACAGAGAAACGCACAAAAAATCTAAGGAAACGCTTTGGGTTGTCAATAGACCGAGTGGTAAAAGTGCATTAACAGAAGTAGAGTTTGCCAATTATTACTGGAATAGAAGCGGCAACTATTCTGAGAAGATGAAAAATGACTTCTTCACTGCATTTGATGAGTTAAATAAAATTGCAGCAGCTAGTTACAAGGATCAGCAATTCTAATTCAATTTATGTATTTAATCTTACGCACGCTTATATCTTGAAATTATACCAAACAATTCGTTCTGGCCTAGAGCAGTATAGGAGGCGGACGTCCTAGTCTCATCACGCTCACCATGAACTGACACAGTAATTGCATCTTTTATGGTGCCGTCCTTAGTAAGATTGTTGACATACTCATAAATGGATTCATCCATTGGGTTGAGACCGCCTGAAAAGAAAAATGAAGTCACCAAATCTCCTTTTCTCTCCCGTTCCTTTTCATAGTTAATAGAATCAGTTGAGATATGGTTAAAAATAGTATCTGTTGTCGATTTGACAGGCTTCAAATTCCATTGCTTCGTCAAACCCTTTGCGTCCATTTCTGTAGTGTAGTAAGTCAAGATGAAATTCATGGCGCGTAAGGCTATATCCTTTTGTTGAACAACAACAGAGTTGTTGATTATCGTAGCATGAACTCCAACCTCTTCGAAAGCATCATTAATATGTTGCATGACATCGCCCATGACATCCATGCATCTCTTTTGGTCTATGACCATCGAAGAATCTGCCACTAAGCGAATTGTACATTCTTCGATCACAGCGATTGATCCCGGCAAACGTTCGACTTTGGCATGAATTAACAGAGAGACTTGAGGCTTCCAGTTGGCAACTTCGTCTTCCTCATAAACCGATATCCAATTTGATGAGCCAATTAACCTCACAAACCCGCCACCTTCAGCAATTAAACCGATGTTTATGACATTTTTGAAAAGCAACTCAAGCTCTGATCTCCTGATGATACTTCCAACATAAACATGGTTTTTTGGATCTGAAATAAGCTCTTGCAACAAACGACCAATTCTAGAATACTCCAAATATCCTTTACTAGGTCCAGATTGACTTCCAAACAAAGAATTATGAGCAGCAGGAGTATCCAAATTAAAGTAGAATAGCCGGCCGCCGGACGATGAAGTATAGAACTTCTTGAAAACTTCAGCATTGAAAGGGTTTTTGTTTGCCAGTGATTTTTCTTTATCTAATTTCCACGCTCTATTCACAGACTGGAGACATGTTTTAATCCAGCTCAAAGAATCATGTTTCGTTACCTTATCATAGCAGTTCTTCCAACGCAATTCCTTCTCCTTTCCTTCCATAGTCAATGCTGATTTTATTGCTTCGCAAAATCCAACTTGATCCCATGGGTTGATGAGAATAGCACCATTTCCATCACAATCGAGTAAAGGAGAGGACCCTGTGAACTCCGATAATACCAATGGTGACTTTTTATCTTTCGACGCGATAATGAATTCATGGCATGTCAAGTTCAACCCTTCTCTCATACTCGAAACAATGAAAACGTCTGCCTCACTTTGAAGCGCGAGGTACTGTTCGAAATGGATATCCTTGTTTAAGATAACCACAGGTTGTATGTCAGAAATATTTTCCGTCAATGAGTTGATTCTAGACGCAATCTGCATTACTTCTGCCTCATAGTTCAAATCATCTGAAGATCCAATGAATATTTGAATCAAGCTGGTCGTGTAAACAAAATCCGGATTCTTCAATAAAAATTTCTCGTAAGCTAAAAGCTTCTGTTTGACGCCTCTCAATTTGTCTAGCTTATCACGAGAAACAATGAGTCGTTGATCCTTCCACCTTTCTCTAATCATTTGTTTCCATTCCACCACTGCATCAGACTTTAACACTTTCTCCAATTCGTCAGAGTCAATACCCACAGGGATCATGTTGACTTTTGTGAAAATTCCGTCGTGGATTAAACCGAACTCATTTGCGTCGGATAACAATAATCTACTGCATGTTTGCAAGAAATGGCGAACATACTCTTCCGTTTGGAATGAAATGCAGTTTGCGCCGAGCATTCCCTCAAGTAAAGCCTTTCGTTGCGCTAAGCATCTAAAGACTTCTGACGACGGGAAAGAAACATGTAAAAATAATCCAATCTTTGCTTCAGGCAACTGTTCTCTCACCATTTTTGGGACCAAGAGAAGGTGATAGTCGTGAATCCAGATGACATTTTCAGGATCATCTGGTTCCAAGCCAGAATTCTCCTTTTTGTAAATTTCAACTATTTTATCCGCCACCATCTGATTTAATAATTTGTAGTAATGGTACGAATGGTCCTCAAAAGCCTTCGACTTTGGATCATCAGGGATCTGGTAATGCAATGTAGGCCACAATATTTGTTTGCAGAATGAATTATAATGGCCATGAAATGTCATGTCGTCGACTATGACGGGTTCACAGTTATAGTCTTTGGACATTGAAGATACAACCTTTTCAAGTACTTTTTCGGGGATAGCATCTGTGGGCAGAGACAATGCACCAACCCACTTGCGATTCTTCACCACTCCTTTCTCCCTAGCATTTCTAACGGCATTATACAAGGAGCCATTTCCCTGCTCTGTTCTCACGATTTTCCAAGGCGCATGTTCAAACACGTTATCTTCATTCAAAAAGCTGGATTCCAAATTTGGCCTGGAAAATCCACCGTAAGGGGCTAATTTCTCCTCTGCTGCATTTTCAGACAGGTCGAAATATCCTGCTTCTCCTGGAGCATTTTCTAACTCATCCTCTTCTGCGATAACTAGTGAATGACTACTGTTGTTGTTGAGGGCAAGCCCCAGAAATGGTTTACTACCAGATCCACGGCTGCGATGAGGCGCGTCGGTAAATGAGTTGCTTCTTGATGGATGGTTCAAGGCACTCAAGTTTGTTCCTGAGCGATTCATCTTCAATCCAAGAAGGCCAATCCCATCGGAATCCTTTTTGTGTTCAGACACCAGGCTAGAAACAACCGGTGACGAGTATCTCGAACGAGGTTGGACCAATTGAGGGCCTAGTTTATCTTGTAAGGACTCAGCTAGAGCGCTCCCAGATTCAGACGACAGTTTCCGTGACTTGTAGAAGAATTGCTCTGCAGTAGAGTCTGAAGTTTTCTTTCCCGAAAGAGGCGGAGTGTTAGCTGCTGGACTCTGGGCTGCGGTGGTCGCGATACTCAACGATGGAAGTATTGAATTGGTGATCCCCACAGGTGTAGGAGCCACAATTTCAGCCGACAGCAGCACTTGGTCAGCAATAAGTTGCAGGTCCTCAAACTTTCCATTGTAGTTACTGACCTGAAACTTTACTGTGTAAGGAGCAAATCTAAAATGTTAGTATAACGTCGGGACGAGTGGTTAAGACATGTACATACAAAGAACCAATGATAATAGTCATTGTTCAAAGGGTCGACACGTTCTCGGATTATCTCTTTTTAAGAAAAAATAAAAATTGTATAATTGTTGTTTGGAGAAACTTATTGGTTTAAAAGGAAGCGATCAAGAGAATCGGGAGCAAATTCGATGAAGTCTGACCGTATGATTGTTCTGGAAATCCTGCAGGCTGGGGTGCCTATACCACTCTTGCTCATATAAATCAGCAACCGTGGGCTATATTGCCGCAATCAATAGTGAAAGTTTGACAAATACTTTATTTTAATGCACTCGTTTGCCTAAAGGGGTGTCTATTCTTTCGTACTGACATTGTTTCATGTCGAAAATCTGAGTAATACTGTTTTTGTCTCGGGTGGGATTTTAACGAGCTCAAACAACGCATCAGGTGCCTTTTCTCCATACAGGTTGTTTCACTTCGCACCTTGCTACAATCTCCGATCTAATACAATCAATAGAAATGCTGAACTGTGTGTGTGACACCCATTGCCATCTCGGCGTGAAAGCCACAGTACAAGATGTTGAGAGATTGGTTTCATTCATCTCATCAGAAGAAAGTGATCAGAGGCCCCAATCTTTCAGCGTCATGTCCACCAATCATCTGGATCTAGCACTTCTCGAGCATCTAATTAAGCACGACCACACAAAGGCGATTATGCCGTACTTCGGTATCCACCCATGGTATTCCCATCTTTTTACACTTGATCCTACTCTAAGTAAGGAACAACATTATACTGAATGTCTTTCACCTGCTCCGGATGACCAATTGCTTTCTCTATTGCCCCATCCCATCATTTTGGATGCGCATATGGCTCGTATAAGACATATTGCGGAAGAATGCCACAGAAACAAAATCCGGTATGGAATTGGAGAAATCGGACTAGACAAGTCTTTCCGCTTACCTTCTAATGGTTTTTATGGAAACCAGAATGTATCAGAAGACATCAAACTAACTAAGTGCAAGGTATCTATTTCACACCAACTAAGAGTGTTGCAGACTCAGTTAGCCTTGGCTCATGAGCTTCAAGTGTCGGTGTCGCTACATTGTGTGAAAGCACATGGCGCTTTGTTTGATTTACTTAAACAGAACTACGATGCTATATCTCTCGTTGTTCTACATTCGTATTCTGGTTCATTAGAACAGGCACGTGTTTGGATTCGGACGTTTGAAAAGCAAAGTCGAAAAATTGCATTTTCTTTCTCCAACATCATAAATGCCGCAGACAACAAAGTGGACACACTTGAAGAGTTGGTGAAGTCTTTGAGTGATGCTCAGACTTTAGCAGAGACTGATTTGCCTTTAGATGAATATCTCCTACCCGGAAGACTGCAGGAGTACTATGAGCATTTACGAAAAGTATTGTCTACCATAAGTAGAGCGAACGGACGGCTGGTCGAGGAGGAATCTGAAGTGCTTGAGGATACTACTCGAGTACTAAATCTAATACAGAACATAGCTTAGTTTATTGATCATTGCTTATCATCACTTACAATCTGGACTTGATGATGTCCACGAACTCTGGCTTCAACGAAGCACCACCAACCAAGAAACCGTCAACATCAACCTTGTCCTTGAACTCTGGAGCGTTCTTGCCGTTGACAGAACCACCGTACAAAATTCTGACCTTTTCAGCCTGCTCAGCACCAATGGTCTTGGCCAAGTGAGCTCTAATTTCCTTGTGGGTGTCTTGAGCATCTTGTGGGGTAGCGGCCAAACCAGTACCAATAGCCCAGACTGGTTCGTAGGCAACAACAATGTTAGTCCAGTCGGAAACAATCTTGGAAACGGCGTCCAATTGTCTAGCGCAAACATCAATGGTGATGCCGGCCTTTCTTTCTTCCAAGGTCTCACCAATACACAAAATCACGCTGACACCAGAGTCCAAAGCAAACTTGGTTTTTTCGGCAATGAATTCATCGGATTCCTTGATGATGGTTCTTCTCTCAGAGTGACCAGTCAAAGTCCAGGTGGCACCCAAGTCCTTCAATTGTTCTGGCGAGATTTCACCAGTGTAAGCACCAGAGGCCTTGTTGAAAACGTTTTGAGCAGCAACAGCAACAGTGGATTGCTTGTTCTCAGCAACAGCTAAAGAGAGGTATGGAGCTGGAGGAGCAATAACGACTTGAACATCCTTTGGCAAGTCAGCCTTGTTCAAGTTGTCAATGATCTTAGTGATCGACTCCTTGGTACCGTTCATCTTGAAGTTACCACCGACGAAAAATTGACGAGCCATTGTAATTGATTGATATTTTTTTGATGTATATGAAAGTAGTAAATCTACTGAGGAAAGAAGAAAAGTAACGAAAAGTCGCTCGCACTGGTGCTATATATATTATGCATTTGGCGGTCCTCACCAGACGAAACTGTGTGGGCCGTTCACCTCCGAGGGTGACCGGGCAGTTTGTGTTCTGCATACAGAAGGCATGTCCAATTTTAAGTCTGGACTTGTGAAAGTAGGAGGTTTGACAAAAAACAACTTGAAGAAATAACCAAGCCCATTAAATCGCCCCGACAGTTTGCCTTGGTCAAATCATCGGAAGCTTTATCTTCCATAAACCGATACTTACTTGATGAGGGTAAAAGCAATGAGCAGATTTCTTGTAGTGCACATTATAGGAACCCCATCATGTGACGGATCCTTTCAAGCGGATGCAGCGACAGTATCTAGAACATGCGCTTAGAGGATCACTCAACAACCAGAGCTAACATCTTCCACGCTGTTTGTTACGCTTTGATTGTTCTGCATGAACTTCGAAAGTTGTTTGTACTTGTTCATGGATTGTGCATATGCTTGTTTAATTTCCTGATCTTTCACTCGGCTCTCCCGAATGGCTTCAGTTTGTGCCCGCAAAATACTGGCAATGTCAAGGTCTTCGGGATTCAAAAGTTTGTTCTTACTATTGAAGTTCACTTCCAGGGCAAACTCCTTTCGTAATTCTTCCTCGACATCAGAGTCCGGTAACTCATCCCAGGTTCTTAGCGGTGTTTTAAGTTGGTATTTCATGTCTGGGCCTTGCTTCATGACTAAGAACTGGCAATGTGGAATGTTTCTAAGAGACTCAAACTCCTCGTAGGTCCACCTAAACCATTTCATTAGAAAGACACGTGCCCAAATCCCGTGCGTTACCAAGACCAAGACATTGGGAAAGCTGTCCCGCAGAAACTGTCTGAATAGAGTCTCATTAAAGCTAGCAATCCGGTCATACACATCAGCTGCACTTTCCCCATGCGGGATTCTGTAAAAAAAGTGCCCGTAATGTGCTCGTTGTCCCCATATTCTCTCCATTTCTTCCGCAGTACTTTGGAAATTACCAAAATCCTGTTCTCTCATTCGAGGCTCTTCGCTCACTCTAAATTCAACTCCCTCCAAGTCTTCAATCCCATCAATAATACCTTGGCATGTTTGTCTTGCTCTCGCGTAAGGGGAGGTATAGAAAAGAACGCTTCTTGGATTCTTTCCGTCTTCCAGCTTCATGCCAAGCTGACTGAGAAATTCTCGTAAAACCACACCGGCATGGAGAGCCTGAGAGTGACCTTGCTCAGTAAGGCATACCTTATGGTTTGGAGTATATCGGTTAACCGATTTATCGCAATTCCCCTCGGATTCACCATGTCTGACTAATAGAATATACTTGAATGGTTAGTTTCTTTTGTCTCACTATGGAGACAGACTTATGGATTCTGTGAAGCAAGAACGAAAGTGAATTGGTAACGTACTTTTGGTCTTCCCATAGTGTAAAAATAGCAAATTTAACTTTGAGTATACCTAATAAGGAAAAGAGATGATGTTGTTTTAAAAGCGACAAAGTGCCTGCATCCGAAATTGTGATCACTCCATTACATCGATGTAAATAGCGGATCGCTTCCATTCTTCCATTGCGCATTTGCAGGAAAGATACACTATCTCCGGCCCCCGCTTGGAACGAAAACCTCAACTGAACACGGAAACACGAACGTATAATCAGGCCAGTTTTACTTCTATATTTAATTCTCAACTCCAGTGTCTGTTGCAGAATCTATAGGAAATCATATTGCTTGTAACTTGTATTAACCGGTAAATGAATTAATCTACAAATGGAGAACTTTCCCACGACATGAAGTTTTCACATAATTTTTAGTTGCTCGCAGTCAACTTTCTTTCGATGGCGAAACTCTTTACCAACTCCTCATCGCACTTCTTCAATATGTCATCAGCAAATTCGTCAATAGATCTAGAGTACAAAGTATTGTTGAATCTAGAAGGACCAGCTGGCAACTTGAAGATTGACTGCCATTCTTCTGGGTCCAATTCAGACTCCCCAATCTTAGCTCTTTCTGCGTTCTCCAACTTTCTGTTTTGTTTCCACTGGAGGATCTTGGTGTGCTCCTTTTGTAATTGTCTCTGGTAGTAGTTAAAGTTGGTTTGATCAAAGTTGAAAGAATCGATTTGGCTGTATAAGTTCTCCAACAACTGGGTGGTGATGTTCGAGTTGGATGAGAAGTTCAAGTTGTCAAACTCGTTTGCAGTAACTTCTGGTTCAGCGCTTGCCAAGTACAAGTTCACCAAGTGCTGGTTGTGAATGGTGATGCCAATTTCCTCAAAGATATTGAAAAATGACAACTTATGGGCTTCCAAATCTTTTGTCTTCCATTTACCTTCCAAGTAAGTGGTGAGAAAGTTCTCGGACAATCTGATTGCTTTCAAATCAACTTTGCCGATGGAAGCCATGTTGTGGATCAAAATGAAAGTATTTTTATTAGCCAACTGTTGCTGAGCCAATGCTTCAATTAACAGGGAAGTGACAAAGTTGCCTGAAATGGTAGATTGAAACCATCCTTGAAATTCTACACCCTGACCCAAAGTCTTCAAAGTCTCCAAGATTTCTTGTTGGTACTTGCTACCGCTTCTGGAACGCAAAGATCCACCCTCGTATTGATCTGGGTAAGGGAAAGGGTAAGCATGTGTGATATCAATCGATCCGTTGTCATCTTCAAAACCCAAAAGGGAGCCAGAATACAAAGATGGGTAGTTTTCAGAAGTGTGTCTGAGAACAGACAACAAAACACTACCCTCGATTTCGATGCTTGTGGCAGTTGGAGCTTGATAGACCTTGCCGGACTGTTTAGTTGCCATATTTGGTATGAGCTAAAGGTTAAGAACCGTAGTAAAATTTTCACACTTTTTTTGCACAAGTTGCACCCGTACACCTCAACACGTATGTATTTGATAGTGGGAGTGGGAGATAGAAGGGGCAGCAAATGCACTGGTCAGGCGGAGAGTCAAAGAGATAGGCTTGCCAAGGCATGTTCAAGTGACCTAGTCCATTTGACAATTGTGAAACAGAAGAAAGTGAATGAGCGTCAGTTTTTGACCAGTAATAGTTCCTTCAAAATATTTGACTTACAAAAGTATCTAATCAATGAGTGGATGTTAGCAAGTTCTCATCATTTTAACCTTTCGTATTCTGAACGTTTTTATGTTTTACATCAATATTTCACATAATGATCAAGTAATCTCAATTGTCTGGCGCGTTTCTCAGTTTTTAAATCATTTTTAGAATATTGTGTAAATAAAAACGGCAAATTTGGTCATAAAAAAAGGTGAGAGACAATTAATGCAGTTTATTCAGTGGTAATTTATCCATCCAAATAGCAGGAAGCGAAGTCACTATATTTTCAATAGATTTCATTTTCTACACCTGTAGTTCTTTATTAAAGGTCTTCTGTGAGTCAAGTTCTGGTTCTACGCAGGGCAATTTGCACTAGAGTTTGAAACATGCGAAAATTTTTATCTACACCAAACAAACCATGTCTGACCCAGTGAATGAAGTCACCGAACAAGTCGCCAAGACCTACTTGGACGATGTTACCGGAGAACACGTCTCGAAGTCTGAATTGAAGAAGAGACAAAAGGCTAGACAAATCGAGGCCAAGAAGGCTGAAAAGGCCAAGCAAAACGTGAACAAGCAACCAAAGAAGAAAGACATCATGGCTGACTTGAACCCTAACCAATACTTTGACATCAGATCTCGTCAAATCGAAGAATTCAGAAAGCAAAACAACGAAGACCCAGAAGCTTTCAACCCATACCCCCACAAGTTCCACCGTACTTTGACTGTTCCTCAGTTTGTTGAGAAGTACTCCTCCTTGAAGAGAGGTGAAACCCTCAAGGATGTTGAGGTTAAGGTCACTGGAAGAATCATGACCAAGAGAGAATCTGGCTCCAAGTTGAGATTCTACGTTTTGAAGGGCGATGGTGTCCAAGTTCAAATCATGGCTCAGGCTCAGGACGCTGAATCTTTGGAAATTTACGAGAAGGAGCACGAAAACTTGAGAAGAGGTGACATTATTGGTGTCGTCGGCTACCCAGGTAGAACTTCCCCTGCCAAGGGTGGTGAGGGTGAAGTTTCCGTTTTTGCTACTGCTGTCCAATTGTTGACGCCTTGTTTGCACATGTTGCCAACTGAGCATTACGGTTTCAAGGACCAAGAAGCCAGATACAGAAAGAGATACTTGGACTTGATTGTTAATGACTCTGTCAGAGACCGTTTTAAGGTTAGATCGGCCATTATTTCTTACATCCGTAAGTTCTTGGACTCCAGAGACTTTATCGAAGTCGAAACTCCAATTTTGAATGTCATTGCTGGTGGTGCCACTGCCAAGCCATTCGTCACTCACCATAACGACTTGAACATGGAAATGTTCATGAGAATCGCACCTGAATTGTTTTTGAAGGAATTGGTCGTCGGTGGAATGGACAGAGTTTACGAGATTGGCCGTCAATTCAGAAATGAAGGTATTGACATGACCCACAACCCAGAGTTCACTACCTGTGAATTTTACCAAGCTTACGCTGATGTCTATGACTTGATGGACATGACTGAATTGATGTTTTCTGAAATGGTGAAGGAAATCACTGGCGACTACAAGGTCACTTACCATCCTGATGGACCCGAGGGCGAGGCTTTGACTTTGGACTTTGCTAGACCTTGGAAGAGAATCAACATGATTGAGGAATTAGAAAAGATCTACAATGTCAAGTTTCCACCAGGAGACCAATTGCACACTGCTGAGACTGGTGACTTCTTGAAGAAGTTGTTGAAGGACAACAACCTCGAATGTGCGCCACCATTGACCAATGCAAGAATGTTGGACAAGTTGGTGGGTGAGCTTGAAGACGCATCCATTAATCCAACTTTCATCTTCGGTCACCCACAAATGATGTCTCCATTGGCCAAGAAGGACAGGAAGATTCCAGGCTTGTGTGAAAGATTCGAAGTTTTTGTTGCTACTAAGGAGATTTGTAATGCATACACTGAGTTGAACGACCCATTCGACCAGAGAGCTAGATTCGAAGAACAAGCCAGACAAAAGGATCAAGGTGACGATGAGGCTCAGTTGATCGACGAAACATTCTGTAACGCTTTGGAATATGGTTTGCCACCTACAGCCGGTTGGGGATGTGGTATCGACAGATTGGCCATGTTCTTGACCAACTCTAACACTATTAGGGAAGTGTTGTTATTCCCAACCTTGAAGCCTGATGCATTTACCAAGGGCGACGAGGTTCCTACCGCTTAGTTAATTTTTTAATACGCAATAAATTAGAGGTATTCACAATTAATCTCTTTGTTAATTTTTCTTCCGTTGCATCCAATTATATACTTATCTCTTAGCAAGACCACCGTTTCTTTTCATTTCCAAAGCTTTCTTGTATGGTGGTGCAGTTGGCATTTGAACTGGTTGTAGATTGCGTTTCTCGGCACTAGAGTTCAAGCTGTAAGTGGCGTCAGAATCGCCTTCGTTCAAGTCACCACATGAAATAAAGGTAGAGATATCTCTTTCTTCTAACTGAGGCAAGTCCATGTTTTCTAAGATGTAGCTTTTACCAATACCTGCATCCTCGAAAAACTCTTCAGTTGATTTGGTGAGCTCAAGCTTGGGATTCCAGCCTGGCCGAGGCGAGTACCCCAAGCAAACGATAAAAGCCTCCAACGAAGTACCACGGGAAGAACGAGGTTTAGCACAAATAACTCGTTCAAAGAGGTACCCTAACTGGCTGTAGAGTAAATCAATGTCTCTCCCTCTGAAAATCTTAGCCACGAACGTACCACCTGGCTTGAGGATGCAAGTAGTTAGTTGCAAAGCCGACAAGATCAACTGAGCTTGAATATATTCATCCAAATCATGTAATCCAGTCACATCAGGAGCACCATCACTACATACAAAATCAGCTGGTTCTCCTCCAAACAAATCTAAAATCTTCTGCAAAGTTTTTGGGTGTGTGATATCAGCCTGGATACACGTCACACCATCGATAGGTGCCATGGGTTGCAAGTCCACAGCAACAATTTTCGCTTCTTTCTTGTCCCCGTTTTTATTCAATTCCCGACTCAAAACTTGTGACCACGAACCAGGAGCAGCGCAGAGGTCCACCACTCTGCGAACCCCATCAAAGATGTTAAATTGTTCGTTGATCTGTAGCAACTTAAAAGCAGACCGAGCCCTCCATCCTTCTTCTTTTGCTCTCCGGTAATAGAGGTCTCTTTTATCCTTGCTAGCTTTTCCCATGCTGAAGTAGAAACTTATCCTATGGCATCTCAATATATCGATGCTCACCTGCAGACTGCAAGTTGACAAGACAAACCTTTAGATCACTGGTACCTACTTCCCATGCATCGTCTGGCTTAGTCACCATACAATGATGGAAAATATCGTTTTTACTTTCAAGCGTCTGTAGAAGGAAAATGGGGTACGGTTACGCTTGAGCCTCTTCGTTAAGCCTTTTCAAATGGGCAAACCTTCTCGTGGCTTATCCAAGGCAAACAAAAACATAGTCACTAGCAAACGGCATATACCAAACAATTTTTTACTAGTTTCCATGCATTTGGTCCTTAAAGGTGAAGTAATCTCTTCTTTCCCAAATATGCACGTGAGACATGTATGGTTTGGTTTGACTGCAGACAATTTTTTTCGCTCACCTACAACTCAAGACTTTGTTCAACCAACACTTGAAAATTGATGATGATCGGACGTTCAACTTTTAGGGCTGCAACCTGGTCTGTCCGTTTTTTTCGTTCCAGTGTGACTGTTAAAGAATCTACCGCACCAAAAGGCAAATTTCTTTCACCAAAGGAGCTCGTCAACAAGAAGCATGCAGAAGAAGTTGAAGCCAAAGAATTCAGGAACTCGCTATTGAAAGAAGAGTTTGCTTTTGAACCTAAAATCATAAAAGAAGATGTGGACACATCTACTAAAAGACCTATTCCTCTCAACGTTGAATTATTGCAATATAAACCAATGAGACTTCCCCGTACGCATGGCCATAAAGTCGCTGAGATCAAATTTAGAGGGTACGACGAAAAGGACATTATCAGAGCTTCTGAATTTGCCGCCAGAGCAGCTTTTTTCTTGGGAATTCCATGCTCCAAGGTACACACATTAAAGACGGAAAAGCGGTTGTACACAGTGATTAAGTCTCCGTTTGCTCAGGCTAAATCCAAAGAGAATTTCCATAGAGTCACCTTCAACCGGCTGTTGATCGCCTACGATGCAAATCCTGAAGTTTTGGATTTATGGTTGTCGTATATAAACAAGCATGCCTTTGATAGTGTCAAGTACATGGCAAAAGTTCACACGAGAGAATCGCTTGACTTTGCTGAGAAATTGGCCACATTGACCAGTGATGATATGAAGTTACCAGAAGCATACAGTTCAGATTCCACGGACCCAATTGCTGCAAAGGTTCAGGAATTATTGAAGTCGGACACTTTCAAACAGTATATCGACAAAGCAGAATGATGGCGGTACAAGCTTGCTATTAATGTACATAGTTTCCTTAATTCAGGATTTCAGTAGCTGTCGCTACTGTAGGCAACGATGATCAGCCATACAATTCCCAATCCTCCTCGTCGTCCTCCTCTTCTTCGCTATCATTGTTACGAGCCTTTCTCAATTCCTCTTCAAGTCTCTCTTTTCTGATCTTGTCAACTTCGTTAAGGTTGAATCGGCAAAGCGGACAAGTAGAGTTAGCTTTTAACCAAGGTGCGATACAGTCCAAATCGAATATATGCTCCTTTTTTGTCTTCCCTTGTACGTGGCACGGAAGTTTAACAACCAATGGGTAATCGTTGTCAACAAACTTATTGGTGCATATTGGACAGTCTGCCCCCTCCGCTAAATTTTTGACATCAACTCTTTCCAAAGAGTCCAAAAAATCCTCGGATATACCTTTCTGGGCACCAAAATCTGGGCCCGCACTCTCAAACGAAGAAAGGAAATTCTGGATTCTTTCAGATCCTTCATCATCAGATGACATCATTCGTAGAGCTCGGGTAAAGATCTCCCGACCATTAAGGCGTTCTCCATCTTGAGAATTATGGGACATAAACGAATCTAAAATTGTAGAAAGGGAAGGGTGTTGTCGCCGGGAGTCCGTATTCCTAGCAGTGTCTCGTTCGCTTTGTAAGTTATGATCATCTAGATGTTAGTATTGAGAGACCGTTGTAGAATTAGTCGAACGAACATACCCTCATAAGTAGACATTGTTGGACTCTCTTCTTTTAAGGATAAGAATTGTGGGATCGCGATCACGTCTCAATGTATCGCAGTGATAGTGCGCCACTGAAAAATATACTTTATTCATTCAACGCCATAGGATGAACCCTAAGTAAGAAAAGACAAGACGTAGTTGATCCTTTGTACATTTCCCTATGACTAAACTATCTCCGTTTACCAAAAACTAAAAAAAAAAAATACCAGCACCAAGACTATTAATTTCCGTATCAGTCCATATTGATATCCTTTTGGTCTTCTTCCTCATTATAGTCACATTCATCTTTCTCGTCAAGATAATCATCACCAATATCCTTTCTGTATCTGAAATCTTTGCTATGTCGCGTACTTCCGTGACTGTCTTTAGTGAATACAAAGTAACTATTTTTATCCGAGTTCAAGTACAATGGAGTCATGGGTAAATCTTCAATCGGGGTCTGTACGGGGATCAAAACAGGAGAGTCACCTCCTGAATTCTTGATGTTAATAGCCTTAGAAACTGAATTTGTGGATACAACATTACCATGGACTTGATTGTTTACGAGTGTTTGATTTTGGTGTTGTTGTTGCTGTTGTAAAGAGCCAACTTGAGGACGAGTCATCGTAAGAGAGCTTGATAAAGATTTTGGTGGGGTTTGCGAGCTCAACCAAAATCGTGAGGGAGACCCACCAATCGAAGTTGGGTCTAGATTGGGCGAATCAGGTGCATTTTGATACACTGGATTTCTAACCACAGGTATAGTTTTAGGGCTTGTAGTGTTGTAAAACTCAGGATTAGATGGAATGCTGGGAGATGTCAATTTCAGGTACGGTTGAAGTCTTTGTTGGCTCAAATGCGTAATTGAGTTGCGCGATATAAGTGTGTTGAACGAATTCTTTCGATCAAGAAACTGGTGTGGCGTAGGCTGCTGCTGCTGCTGCTGCTGTTGTTGTTGTTGTTGTTGTTGTTGTTGTTGTTGTTGCTGCTGCTGCTGCTGCTGTTGATAATGTGTCGGCTTGCTATTTTGATATGTTTCCTGCAAAGAGTTATTGTTCAAGGACAAAAGCGAAATTGTAGAAGATGAGGGAATTAATCTACCATCGAGTTCTTTCCCCACCGAGGTTGCTAATAGCTCTGGCTCTGGATGATCATCTGTAAATCTTTCTGAATTGAAATACACGCCATTTTGGTCATTAAAAGTGTTCTGGAGGTTCTCACCCGCTAAAGACGATGATAGAAGAGATTTAGTTGAAATCCCTCCAGATCCCTTCTCGGGAGACAACTTGTTATTCTGCTGTGAATCGATAGACAACTCATCTAGCTTTGTGTGTATATTTTTGGCAGTGAAACTCTGGGCCATATTAATGTTATGTTCTCACTTTTTGTGACAAAAACTTCAGGTTCAAGTAGCGTCGAGACTCAGAAAAGAAACGAAAGCTTACTCAAATTATCCACAGAAGCGATAAAGTATAGAGACAGATGAACTATTGATGATCTCAAATAGCTTCCACTATATTTTCCAGGGAGAAAGCAAGAAATGGACCCAAAAATTCGGATGGTAAGATAACACTTCGGAGATAGAATTGAATAAGTTTTACCTCCTCATGAAAATTTCGTACCCGCGCGGGCACGTGAATAGATAAGACCGATTGCCTGAAAGTGGAACGTTCACTGAAGAACACACAACAAGTAGTCGGAATAAAATACTTTCGACATCTTTTTTTTACTACTTTGCTGTGTATATCATGGCATCTCGTCAAACTTTCCTCACTTTCCGGACTTCGGCATATGAATCCCGCTCTATGGTCGAATTCCGCACACCTCCGTTTTAGGGGTACGAAGTGTGTATATACTATACTTACAACCTTGATAGCGATTCGATGTGCAGTATACACCATCATGCAGACAAGCGCTTAAAAGATATTATCTGGGTATCAATTTACCTCGTGTATGTTCATTTACTAATATCTTTTTCCGACGTTGCAACTTAAAAGAGTATTACGTTGATTAAATATGCATGTTACAGTATACAGCAATTGCGTCATGCCTCTAAATTTAGTCTAAAACTCTCCGTTGTCATTAGGATCAATTTTGAACACCTTATCGGGATTCAACAACCTCTTTGGGTCTAGCGCCATTTTAACTTTCCGCATCGTATCAACAGCATCTTGTCCCAACTCTATTGGAAGATACTTCCTTTTTCCGTTGCCTATTCCGTGTTCCCCACTTGCTGTTCCCTCGTTAGCCAACCCAAGAAGCGTAATCTTGTCGATAAGAGCTTGGCACTCGGCTTTCTGTGAAGGAGCATAAAAGATGTCCGCATGGAAGTTTCCATCGCCCACATGACCTAAAATGACTGATTGAAGCCCAGACTCCACAATCATCTGCCGGATTTTTTCTAAGACCAGGGATAAGTTTGAAAGCGGAACGGCAACGTCTGTGACCCACAATCTTACGTCCTCATGAATTTCATTTTTTCCATAATTAAGAATCGCGTAAAACGCATTCTTTCTTGCGCTGAATAATTCTTCTTCTTCTTTCTTATCCTTGGCTGTGATAAAATCCTTACAGTTATTCTGCATTGACACCTCTTTTACCACAGCTAACGTTTCATCAACCACAGATTTGCTTAGTCCACCAAGCTTGAAGAACAACGTCGGCACCTCTAGCCACTCCTTTGTCCAGTAGCCACTGTAATTTATGCAATGCATCATGTCTTTGTCTAAAAGTTCTATAGCCTCGGGACGAATACCTCTGCGGAAAAGTTCCGCCACAGTGTTGGTGGTATCCAAGATTCTAGGAAACTGGCCAACAACCACTGTTTCATATGCGGGCTTCACATGAAGCTTTACTGTGGCTTCAGTGACAATACCCAAAGTTCCTTCACTACCAATAAAAAGCCCCGTCAAGTTGTAACCAGAACTGGATTTCCTAGGTCTCTGTTTTGTCTTAATGATAGTACCGTCAGCTAGAACAACAGTGAGCGAGATGACGTTCTGAACCATGGCCCCATAACGAGATGCGTTGATGCCCGAAGCATTTGTATTCACCATGCCACCTATTAAGCCATTAGGACCGCAGTCACAACCAAACAACAATTCCTTATCTTGCATTTCTTCGTTGAGTTTGACCCAGTTCACCCCGGCCTCAACCACAACATCCAAGTCATCATGGTTTATTTGGAGGATTCGATTCATACGACTTGTATCTAAGGAAACTCCTTGTCTGGTTGAGAATATATGCCCTTCCAAAGATGTGCCTCCAGAGAATGGAACTACCGGTACATTGTACCTATGAAGAATTTTCATAATTTGAGAAATCTCTTCAGTAGAAGTACCATAAATAACCCATCGTGGCTTCTCGTGCGCTAAGGGAGCATGTGGTGTGAAATAATTGTCTGTATGTGCCTCAAGTTCAATGGCAGTATTAGTAACCTTAGACTCTCCGATAGCCGCTTTCACTTCTGCGATAGCCTGTTCTAATTCAGAATCAGTACAGTAACGAGGGGTAGAAATCTGTGATAACTTAGTTGTCGACGAATGGGGGAACAAACCTTCAGGTGGATTATCTTGTATTTGTTTGCGACCGAATAGATAAGACACTGCTCCAACAGAAAGAGAAGTCAATGCAACCGTCAAAACTAGCCGCGCCCTTGAATTTACCGGTGCAGTAGAGTAGCGGCGTATTCCACATCTAGTAGACCCTAAAAATGTTCTTCCAAACATGGAATAGAAGAAGTGGAAAAGTGACTCACAAGTCAAGATGATTCCGCGCGTTGGCAGATAAGCTTTGCATCCACGGTGTTTACCATACAACATACACAGGATCACACATTCCTAAGATACATTTGGTGGAACTAACGATAATTATTTTTTTTTTATCTAAGTAGTTGGTTTCTTGCTGAAAGGCTTCATTGGTTTCAAGCCCCATCTACGCAACATCTCAGTGTCTTCTTCCCACCCATTGCACATGGTTGTGAGCATCTTCTCTCCAGTGAAGATGGCATTGCAACCAGCCAAAAAGCACAAAAACTGTTCGTTCTCTTGCATCGTGTAACGGCCGGCAGCCAAACGAATAATAGATTGTGGCATTATAAGACGAGCAGTAGCGACAGTGCGGAGGATAGCATCAAATTTCAATTTCCTTTTCAGATCCGAGGAAAGCTCAGACATTTCCTTTTCCATCGGAGTGCCCTTAATTGGAACCAATCTGTTAATAGGTAACGACTCAGGGTGCTTGTCCATGGTAGCCAAGGTATAAAGGAAACTCACATGATCGTCCTCGGTTTCACCCAAGCCCAAAATACCACCCGTACACGCCTTTAAGCCCACCTCCTGGACATTTCTGATAGTTTGTAGACGGTCTTCATAGCTCCTTGTGGAGATCACCTTGGGATAATACTCTCTAGAAGTGTCAATATTGTGGTTGTAAGCAGTCAACCCGGCGGTTTTAAGTGTATCAGCTTGTTCCTTATCAAGCATGCCCAAAGTAACGCATGTCTCCATTTTTAACTCATCATTGATCCATTTGACCATTTCTGAAATTCTCTTCAAGCCCGATTTTCTGCCATTCATGTCTCTCCAAGCGGCGCCCATACAAAACCTAGTGGATCCGTTTTCTTTGGCTTTGATAGCTGCCTTTTTAACTTCCTCTAGTTTGATCATCTTTTCGGCCTTTGTGCCTGTGTCATACCTGGAAGACTGAGCGCAGTATTTACAATCTTCGGTACATCCTCCAGTCTTGATGCTGAGTAAAGTGCACAATTGAACTTCTGAAGGATCATGGAATTTTCGATGCTGGATTTGAGCATTGAAAATCAATTCTTGAAGGGGAGTTTCATATATAGATTTGATTTGGGCCTTTGTCCAATCATTTCGAGGTCCAGAATTTAAGGCAGTTTTGAGCAACTCACTATATTTAGGAACGTTGGGTTGAATTGAACCATGATCTGCTTTGAGTGAATGAGCCAAAAACCGCCGTGCACTCAAACTGCAAAGACCCCTTTCAATTGTGATGAACATTAGAAACAGAAGAAAGAAATAATGAGAAGATGATAAAAAAAATGAACATTACACGTTGAAGAGTATGTATATATACTGGCATCATAAGACCAATATTTGCGTGCGTATAATTAAGCAGTTATCAGCATTATTTCATTGGTTACGAATAATTGCGGAGTCATGAATCATCTGAGTCGTATAGCTGGCAAGGCCGCTTGAGTCACTTGAGTCACGCACGTGCTATGAGCATTATGAGGGTACCAACCCTAAGGACTGGTAATTGAGATTAACGTCCTGCACAAATGCGCACCACCTAAATTTTTCATTTAAGAAATTATTATTGAAATTTTTCCTGTTTCTTTCTCATCAACAAAAATGGCTCCAATTGTATGTATCATTCAAGTTCCGTGATAGATATCGACATGTTTCACCACCTTGTGCGGGTTTTCCAGTCTATTAATTTTAGTTTCAATGATTGTATTATTGATTTGCTTCGAATGAATGAATTTTCGTTCAAGTAACTAGCTTTTATTGCACAGAAAACCCGTCCCGGGGGCTATGCTGTCTTTATTTACGACACCTTTAGGTGTCAGATAATAGTGCGGTAGGCTAACAGGGATCTAGACCACCAAGAACACTCAAGCTGCTAAGAAGTTTGTCGTTGACACTTCTGCTCCAGTCGAAAACGCCGTTTTCGACCAAGAGGCTTACGTTAAGTACTTGGTTGAACACATCAAGGTTGACGGTATCATCGGTAACTTGGGTGAGACCGTTTCTGTCACCGAGGAAGGTAACAAGGTCATCGTTGTCTCTACCACCAAGTTCTCCGGTAAGTACTTGAAGTACTTGACCAAGAGATTCTTGAAGAAGAACCAGCTCAGAGACTGGATCAGATTCGTTTCTGTCAAGAAGAACCAATACCAATTGCAATTCTACTCCATCGCTGAGGATGATGAAGAAGATGAAGAGTAAATTATTCGTTCAAGTTAATTAATGTACTTTTGAATATATAGTTTACCTCTGGCTGGGTTAGGTTTAATTTACAATGTTTTAGAAATAGAATCAACTCCAACAATTTAGTTGTGGAATGATGTAGAAGCACCAAGTAGTTATTGCCGTTAATTTGAGGATTACGTCTGAAAGTACCTGAACAGAGAAAGGGGGAGCATTTCTTTCACACCTTCGCGGAGATACCCCAAAGCTGTTAGGAAGATTTAGAACATAATATACTATATATTGACTTTATTGGAGTGCTACATAATATTTTCCGAATATAAGAGGACTCCGTGGCCAAGCTGGCTAAGGCGTAAGACTGTTAATCTTGAGATCGTGAGTTCGATCCTCACCGGGGTCGCTTATTTTTTTCTGCTTTTATACAAACACAAAGCCGATATGAGTCACATTGATAGCCGCGCATATTAATCAACAATGTGAATTTCTCACAGCCAACCGTGTCATGAGCAAATGTAAGTGGTGCACATTCATTGGCCTGGACTGCGGGGTTACAAGAACAGAGATCAGAGAAAGGTCAGTCATCGAAAAATGAGCTTTTTTGAATATGAACTGACCGATTTAGATGTATCCATTAAATATGAAGACTTACGTATTATGTCAATTCTGCCTACTTTTGACTTCCTGCCATCTTTTCCGAGCGCAAATAGTAGATGAAGTTCACTAACCAGTTAGAACTGCGCTCATGCTCTATAGTGTGCGTATTAGCCGGTTTTTTTCGCCAAAGAAAGACATACTTCGCACTGGTTTTTTTTTTCTGTCTTCTCTACACCCAGATATCTGCTTACGTTATAAATTCAAAAAAATCGGCATAAGCTTAAACGTATCAACTATGGAATCACTCACCCGCGCCTCTCTCAAGGTGTGTCCCTTTGTGAGATCTCAATCCACTCAGGCCCTTCGTCAGATGACTAAAACGTCTTCTTTAACTAAGCATGCTCGTGCTTGTCCTTTTGCCGGTACTGCCTTGTCTGTGAGGGAGTACACGATGGCATCAAAGACAAACAAGGCTTCGACTGCCCCAGCGTCATTCTCCAGTGGCCAATCGAGCCCATACGCTCTCAGCGATGCTGATTTGGTGGGCAATAAGTTGGAACTTTTGGACAAGGCTAGCAAGGAAACCGCATTTGACTATGACGGATTCATCGAGGATGAACTTGACAAGAAGAGAAAGGACAAGTCGTACCGGTTCTTCAACAACATTAACCGTTTGGCCAAGGAATTCCCAAAGGCTCACATGACTGAGGAGTTTGAGAAAGTCACTGTGTGGTGTGCCAATGACTATTTGGGAATGGGAACAAACAAAGAAACATTGAAGGCAATGCGTGAAACTTTGGACAAGTATGGTGCTGGTGCTGGAGGAACAAGAAACATCGCGGGCCATAACAGAAATGCGATCAAGTTAGAGGCTGAGCTTGCAGCTTTGCACAAGCATGAAGCAGCCTTAGTTTTCAGCTCTTGTTTCGTTGCCAACGATGCTGTTCTTTCACTTTTGGGCCAGAAAATGAAAGACTTGGTGATCTTTTCTGATGAGTTGAACCATGCCTCGATGATTCAAGGTATTCGTAACTCTAGAGCGAAGAAGGAGATTTTCAAGCACAACAACCTTGCTGATTTGGAAAGCAGATTGGCCAAGTACCCGAAATCAACTCCAAAGTTGATTGCTTTCGAGTCTGTTTATTCTATGTGCGGATCTATTGCGCCTATTGAAGCCATTTGTGATTTAGCAGATAAGTATGGCGCCATGACCTTTTTAGATGAGGTTCATGCAGTGGGTATGTATGGACCTCATGGAGCTGGTGTGGCGGAACATTTGAATTTTGAAGAACATTTGAAGGCAGGTTTGAACGCAATCAGACCTGACCTGGTCATGAATAGAATTGACATGGTCACAGGAACTTTAGGAAAGGCCTACGGTGTCGTGGGTGGCTACATTACCGGTAAGCGAAACTTGATTGACTGGTTCAGGTCCTTCGCTCCTGGTTTTATTTTTACTACGTCTTTACCTCCTGCTGTTATGGCCGGTGCTTCCGCATCGATCAGGTATCAACGCTCGACTTTGAAGGACCGGATCGCGCAACAAAAGAACACCAGATACGTTAAAGAAAACTTCAACAACATCGGTATTCCTGTTATTCCAAACCCTTCGCACATTGTGCCGGTGTTGATTGGTAATGCTGCTGATGCGAAACAAGCTTCAGACTTGCTATTGGCCAAACACAATATTTATGTTCAAGCGATCAACTTTCCAACTGTCCCTATTGGCGAAGAGAGATTAAGAATCACTCCAACCCCTGGACATGGGCCTCAACTCGCTCACCAGTTGATCGAAGCCGTCGACTCCGTTTTTAATGAATTGGATCTTCCAAGAATCACCGACTGGGAAAGAAGAGGTGGCTTATGTGGTGTTGGAGACTCCTCCGCTGCTCCAGTGCAGCATATTTGGACTGACGCTCAATTGAGCTTAACAGACGATGACTTGAATACTAATGTTGTTGACCCAACCATTGAACCAAATGAGGTCAGCTCTGGTATTCGTTTGTGACTCTAGGAACCATAATGGATTCTCTTAACTTATTTTATCTCTTGTCTTTCTTATTATCTTTATTCAAACTTCTTCTTTTTTTTTTTTTTTTTTGCTGAAGGATGCTTATTCTTTCGGCAATTTTTTTTAGAGAATTTATGTCTTCACATTTATTTGCTCGAATGTAAAAGTAAAGTTGTTGCGAGTAACTCTTTGTCCCAATGATTGTATGCACAACCAACGCGCTACGAGAGAAACATCAACAAAACAGTCATCTCATAAAGACGTATATGAGTTTGGATACTGCGCAGTTAGTGAAAGTCTATCTAAATCGGCTTGTTCACTCACTAGTCCCTTCCGAATTTGGGCCTGAATATGCTCAAAGCATAGCACATGATCTTGTGGCATATTTCACAGATCAACCTGGTTCACACACCAAAACTGACCTCACGAATGTTCTTGCTCAATGCAAAGCTTCCTTCCTAAGAGCCAACAAGATCGAAGAATGGCATAAACTACAGCGTATAGTTGAGGAAACATTGAAAGAAAAGCTGTTGGATCAAGTCGCGGCGTACTTAGTTTTCCTTTCTGAAATACAGAAGCCTTCTCACATATTCACAGATACTGCCCCCTCGTCATCACGGCTTCATCCTGATATTCTTTCCTCCCCAGTGATTATTGATAACCCTGGTACTTCCTCTAATAGACAGTCGCAGTATGCGGGAATAAAGAAGTCACCTTTCCAGAATATAGTGGATGATTCAGAAACCATCTTGAGCCTTCAACATACTCTCTTAGGACAGGATACGAACTTTTTAAAATTTGATTCAGTTTCTGGGAGCATTGATCTACCCCCTGATATTGATAATGGTTACGCTCAACTTTTGAGTGATGTCATCGAACCCGGCCTAATATTCAGACATCTTCAGGCTTCATTGGAGCGTGTTAGGGGCAAAGAAGGATCGCCCATCAAAAAATCCTTCTATCGGAGCGCTGAGTCACTCCTAACGAACTATGTAACATTTGTTAACCAGATGTTTGAGAACAAGATCTCATCTCTATTATGGATATACAATAATTTGCAGAACGAGATAGAAACCTTAAGGCTCCTTAATTTTCTTAATCGACAATCGGAAAGAATTGGAGGGTACGAATTTTTAAATGAGGTCTACATATTATCGAAATCCGGCGATACCAATGTTCAGCGAATCTCTCAAGATATCTTCAATGAAATCAAAGCACCTTACTTTGAATACCTTGAGCAATGGGTCATTCAAGGTGATCTTATTGATGAGAATAATGAGTTTTTTGTTTCTTTCAATCTAGAGAAAACACACATTCAAGACATCGTTATATACAATCTCCATCGTTTACCGGCTTTTCTTAGTTTTGAACCATCGACCTTTGAGAAGATTTTCCAGATTGGAAAAACCCTTATTTTTCTTGACAAATACTGCAATGAACTTGACTGGCTCAATGATTATGCATCAAGGTATTCGACTTTTATTTTCGGAACACACAATGGTCTCAAAGACATGGATCCAAACAGACTACGAAGCCTTGTTGAGTGCCAATATTCTGAAATCATGTGCTACTTTACCATAATTGTTCAATCTAAGTTCCGAGTGTTCCAGCATGTGTCATATCTAAAGGACATAATGCTAATGAACAAAAGTGACTTCATCGACTCTATATTTCAGAGCGGATACGAAACTTTAGGGACTCCAGCGGTAAATCTAACATCTGGAATGCTTTCTGAGATTCTAATCGATTCGATAAAGACATCCTCTGTGCGTAGTATGCCGCCTCAGTATCGTGAAAATATTGACGCAAGAATATTAGACCTAAGTCATGGTACAATCGGATGGGATGTCTTCACGTTAGAATATAAAATCCCGAGCTTACCAGCTGAACTATTATTGAACCACAATGACGAAAGAACTCAATACTTGAGGCTTTTCAATTTCTTGTGGGGAGTTCGCCATTTCCAGTTTCATTTAAACCACGATTTTCTCGAATACCAAAGTTTGCACAAGACTAATTTGCGGAGCATCAAGGACAAGTGCTACAAACGGCACTCCTTTGAAGGCATGAAAGATCGGATTGACTGGTTCTTCAAAGCATTGCGTACTATCAACTTGATTAGAAATAAGCTTCTCATGTTTATTAACACAATTTTGATGCACTTTTCCTTTGATTCGATCCAGGATGCATTCGAGGTTGAAATTGTTGGTAGCATTTTTCGTGAAGATTGTTTGCTTGGGCCAGACTTTATCACCGGAAAATCTAAGAAAGAAAGAAAGCTTCCAATCCTCAATGATGAATTTGCTGCAAAATGCACAGACAATGGCATCCTCATCGGGCTTGAAAAAACCAAACAATGGAATCATAATGGGTCAGAACGTACCATAGACGAGCTCATCCTCATCCATCGGCGATACTTGCAAAGGATTTCGAACTATAAACTATTGGATGAAAGCAGTAGAGGAAAATTCTCACAGGAATCTTACATCAACCAGATTTATTCCTTTTTGAACCACGCTTTTACTTTCATCAAAAGCAGTCAAGAATTTGGTGCAACAGTGATCAATTACGTCAATGTCCTCAATTTGATTGGGCTGAGTTCCGGAGAAAAGTTTGAGGAAGATTTGGAGAGATTACACACCCATCTTCAAAGTCTCATGAAAATGATACACAGCGAGCTTTATATGCGGAAAATACGCCCGCTGATGCACGTTTTCATTAAGGACTTACGGGCTGACGTTGACCTCAAAGACCTCAGCAAATTACTTTAGTGTTGAAAACTTGCAAAAGTCGCAGTTGTGTATATGTCCTAGCACCCCACATGAGCATCTGCCCCACTCTCTCCGAATGCATGATGGACCGTGAATTTCGGTTGGGGTACGCAATTTTCTGTATTATAGCCCCGGAAATAAACTTCAAAGGAGAGCCGAGTAAAAATATTTACACTTTCAATGTCTTTACTTGATATGTATAGCTCACCACGCAACGTGTGCGTTGAAGCGATCTGTAAAGCTGCGCTTGTGCGCATTTCCTTAGAACCGAGGGAGTGTGCACAACTGTATAAAAGTGGGTGTTTCCCCAGATTTCGGAGCATGCGAAAAAATCAAGCCTTTTCCATTCATATTTTCACAAATTAACGCTTGCTTTCTTCCTTTTTGTGCTTTCTCTTAATCTTGCAACTACACTCTTTATACCATCATGGATGAAACTGATTCCGTTTTAGTTGAAAACATCAAATCCTTCGCTTCAGGAGGATTCGGTGGTATTTGCGCAGTCTTAACTGGTCACCCATTTGACTTGGTCAAAGTGCGGTTACAGACTGGCGTTTACAACACCACTACTGAATGTTTGAAAGGAACATTGGCGAAGGACGGTTTGCGCGGCTTCTATAGAGGGGTGGTTCCTCCATTGTTAGGTGTCACACCAATGTTTGCTGTATCATTTTGGGGTTACGATGTTGGCAAAAAGCTCGTGGGCTCAGTGAAGGGGAAGAAGCCAGAGGATTTCACAATTGGAGAAATATCTTCTGCAGGTTTCATCTCTGCTATACCAACTACATTAGTGGCTGCTCCTTTCGAGAGAGTCAAGGTAATGATGCAAGTGCAAAGTGGCGCAAAGTCTTCAATGGCCTCTGTGATTGCTGAAATGTATAAAACTGGAGGTTTGAAATCTATTTTCAAGGGATCTGCTGCGACTTTGGCTAGAGATGGCCCTGGTTCCGCATTGTACTTTGCGACCTACGAATACCTCAAGCAAAGATTGTCTTCTCCTGGAGAGAATATGTCGTTGTTTGCCATTTCCATGGCTGGTGGATGTGCTGGTGTTGCAATGTGGTTGGGTGTTTTCCCCATCGACACTATTAAATCAACTCAACAATCCTCCAATACCAATGTCTCGATTGCTGCAACCACGAGAAATATCTATGCAAAAGGAGGAATCAAAGCGTTCTTCCCTGGAGTTGGACCAGCATTAGCCCGTTCTTTCCCTGCCAATGCGGCTACATTTGTAGGAGTGGAGTTGGCGAAAAACTTCCTTGAGAAGATATGAATAGGTGCACTCTAACGCTACATATTTATTCGTCTGATGATGATCAATTTCAATGTCACACAATACAACCGCTTTTAGTATCATAAAACATTGGCTTTTCTTATTAACTTGTAGGCCTTGATTTCTTTACAAGATTTCAAGCTAAGAGCGGCTGCGGTTTAATTAATTTGCGTGTGCATATAACCTGCTTTGTTGGAGTGCGCACTACTCAGTACTCACCCTCATGTCGAGAACGATAAGGTTCAATATATAAAAACCAGCCCTCCAAATTTGATTAACTATGTCGTTAACTGATGACCAGGTATGTTATTCATTTACATTTCAATGGCGTATCTTCATTTATTGAATTGCTATGCGATTGATTATGCCCAACAACTGCTAACTCGTACCCAAGGTAAATGCCGAACTTCGTAAGATGAAAGCTTTCATCGAGAAGGAAGCTCAGGAGAAAGCAAAGGAGATTAGGTTGAAAGCTGACGAGGAGTATGAAATTGAAAAGGCTTCTATTGTCAGATCAGAAACTGCCGCTATCGACAGTGCTTATGAACAAAAATTGAAGAAGGCTTCCTTGGCCCAACAAATCACCAAATCCACGATCGGCAATAAGACCAGATTGAAGGTTTTGGGCGAAAAGGAAAAGATCTTGGACGAAATCTTTGAACAGGCGGAAAAGGGCTTGGTGGAATTGACATCTAAAAAGGGCGAGTACAAGCCAATCTTGGAAGGTTTAATCGAAGAGGTATTGTACGCACTTTATGAAGATGCTGTCGTTATCAAGGTTAGGGAAGCCGATGTTTCGTTAGCGAAGGAGGCTGCTGAAGAAGCCGCTAAACATTTTGAGGAGAAGGCTAAGTTTTCCGTCCTGGTTACTGTTGACGAAGCAAACTTTTTGGACGCCTCCCTTGCGGGCGGTGTCATCGCTGTTAACAAGACTGGAAAGATTGAAGTCAACAACACGTTGGAAGAGCGTTTGAAGTTATTGTCTGAAGAGGCTTTGCCAGGCGTTAGATTGGAGTTGTTCGGTCCTTCCCCCACTAGAAAGTTCTTTGACTAGTTGGAATCGCTACTTGTTTCTTCAATTCACAGACACCTCTATTTTTTTATAAGCTTGCAATAAATATTTACTTAGAGTAGAGGTGACAAGGTTTCCCAAAATACATATACTTAGATTCATGTACAAATGTGTGTGCTCAGCTTCTTTCGTTTTGGCATATTTCGATCATGCATGCACTCTGCTTGAACTTTACACCGCAATATATAGAGAAAGCGATGCGCCTACGAGCAAAGCTACCTGATTTCATGTCCATACTTAGGCGAGAAGGAATTTTGTTTCTTAACACTCGATATTATTCCCAAAATGCGCCTCGAAGGATTTTGCATCTGGTCTTGAACCTGAACCTGACAAAGCCTTCCAATGATCATCGCCATAATGAGAATGCCATTTACAAAATGGTCAAGCCAATTACTCCTAACGACATGTATGTTTCCTGTACCACCTTCAACAAATCAGGAAACTTGATAGCGGTATCTCAGAAATATCCGAAGGCAACTTTTTTGAAGCAGAATAACTTATTTCCTAGAGATTTGAGAAAAGTCGATACATCTTCTATTGATGTGGTACCCTCTATAATGGTTCGTCCAGCAAATGCCATAATCGTTAATCTATTGCATATCAAAGCTATCATTCAACGTGATAATGTTAAAATTTTTGATACATCTACTCCTTCAGTTGCTAGCAAGCTAGGCTTGTTTATGTACGATTTAGAGTTGAAGCTTAAAACTCCAAGTGCCCTTCCCTACGAGTTTAAAGCGCTAGAGAGCATTCTAATAAGTGTTTTGAGCTACTTGGAAGCGGAGCTACAAACGCATTTGGCAAGTTGCGGTATGGTATTGTCAGAACTAGAGGATAATATTAGTAGAGAGAGTCTCCAACAACTACTCATTAAGCTGAAAGATCTATCTGGGTTTTACCAAAGAGCGACTTTGATCAGAGACGTTTTGGAAGAGCTCTTGGATAATGATGAAGATCTAAATGGTATGTACTTGACAAGTTCAAGAAAGTACAACCCATCAGACGAAGTTTCGGACTACTCTGAGGTGGAAATGATACTTGAAACATATTACAAGCATTGTGATGAAGTTGTGCAGCAGGCTGGCTCTTTAATCAGTGACATCAAGGCCACAGAGGAGATTCTGAACATCATTCTCGACGCCAATAGAAATGCTCTTATGCTTTTTGAGCTTAAGGTTACAATTTACACTTTGGGATTTACGGTAGCAACCCTTGTGCCCGCATTCTATGGTATGAACTTAAAAAACTATATCGAAGAATCTTACTACGGATTTGGTGCCGTGGTTGTCGTTTCTCTTTTGCAAGGGCTTCTTTTGACATTATGGAATTTTAAGAGACTTCACAGAGTGCAAAAGCTTACTATGATGTCCAACCAAAATCATTATCCTAGCAAGCTAGGATCTCGGTTTTCTTACCTTCCATGGTTTCACAGACGGTATTGGAATAGAGTTTTATTTGGAGGCCAAACGAAGTATCACAAGCCCACGAACAAGGAAAGGGATGTAATTTGGCGCATGATTAATGATGACAAACCATATCGCTAGCTCGATCGTTTGAATGTATATAGATTTCGGTCTTTCTTCTCATAATAAATGATGCTAGACTTGAGTACATTCATGATAAAACTGTATTATTTACAGTAATTTGTACTATACAACCCTGTAATGCCTAGAAGTTTCTACTATCATACCTTAGTCAGAACTCTCATCTGAATCCGATGAGTCACCAGTAGCATCACTGTCTTCGTATGTTGGTATCGACTCAACTTTTTGCTCTGTAGTTTCAACAATTTCTGGGATTGGCTCTTCATCAAACTTCATGTGTCTGCCTGATGGGACTCCCGTAGTGGATCCACGCCGTTCTTGCGAAACTGGCTGAGCATCAATTTCACTTTCTGGTGGTACCAAAGTACCTTCGAGTGACAACATCTTACCAGTTGTATGAATGGATCTAACAGTAAATGTGATTTTACCCTCTACCTTAGTACCCTCAGCATCAGACCAATATCCGTATGATCTAAACTTGCTAGAAGCATTCTCTTGCAGTTGCTCAGTTTCAAACTCGTCTTCTTGGCTAGGGATAAATTGCCAATCCTGAGGAACATTTCTCAGTCTAATAGATGCGTTGAATGTATCATGAACCAACAAACCAATATGAGAAGCTGTTTGCATGTACACGTTGCCCTCTAAGACATCTCCAATCTGTGGACACCATATGAGCATGTCAACATTCACCCACATGAAAGAAAAAGGCGAAGAGTCAGAGACTTTAGCGATAGTTATAGGTTCTCCGTTAGAGTCAACTGAGTGATGGTCCTTACTGACATGCAAGTTGGAGTACGACAACACAACACCTCCTGCTTTCGGAGAGTATGTCATGATCAATGGATCCAAATGCTGGGATTTTATACCGTTGATAGGGTTCTTGATGTGACATGGTGCCAACGAAACATACAAGCTTGTTCTGACAACTTTGAAGCATTCAGATAATCCGTCTTTATTTGTTGCATTGGAGCTTTTGTTGGGTGCTCTTCTTTTTGGAGCAGAGTTACCCATGAGGGCTTCATCTGCCGTTCTCACTTCTGCCGGCATTGTATGTTCTTACTGTGACAGATGCGATGTGCGACACTCTTTTCAAGATGAGTACCAAAAAAAAAGAACATGAACTGCATACTGTGCAGATTATATATTTGCACCCACTAAAATCTGGATTTAAATCTCGAGAATCTCAGTGGTTGAGAGGTTGATACATAAGAAGCCGCAAGGTGCTGAGTCACCTGCTGCTGTTGTACGCTGTCTGGATGAAGCTGTTGCCGGAAAGAAAAACTCTCTTCCTTTTTCAACTGCTGATCCTTCTTCTTAAAAGCAGAAGTTCCTGGTATAATGGAAGTCTTTGAAGGCGCAAAATTCTTAAGGATTCGACTCGCGTAGGTACTGGGAGCATCCTCAGCGGGTGTATATGCGGGAACTCCAGCAAAGCGTACCTTCTTACCATTGGTAAGAGAAACATCCTGGCTTTCGCCACTAGTACTCCTAGTTTGTGAAGAAGAGCTGGATTGCTCGCTTCTGCTATCCAAAGAAACCTCATCAAGTTGAACAACTGTACTGTTCCTTTGAGTATTAAGCTTTGTAACCTGCGATCGCGTGGGCGCACCTGCAACCCGGGGTGCTGACTTTGGCGTATCGCTTTTTGTTGACGCTCTCGAAACAGTACCCAGTGTGTCCTTCGTTGTCAGAGATTGCTGCTTGGTCATGACACCTGTCAGTCGTGAGGACAACTTAGATTTATCACTTTCGGATGTCTGTTCCTGAGTATTCTGTGCTGTTGGCGACAGCGACTTGACCAGATCCGATCGTTTAATCTTTGTAGCTGAGGGATTATTCGGATCGAAAATAACATTCGTTAGTGATTCCCTTTGTTGTGCATGGAGTGCACCGGACTTGGCGGCCTCCCTCATATGCTGCTGAAATTTCTGATTTGCAGTAGGTTTCCTTGTTTCTGAACCAGTCTCTCTGATAGCTTCTTTATGCTCTTCAACTGCTTTCAATCTAATAGTCTTAGCAACTAGTGGTGATGTGGGTTGTGAAGAAGTATTATGATTAGGCTTTGACAAGGACAGACTTCGTCCCAAACTTCCATTGGGGGACCTGAGCAGAGTTCTAGTATTAGCTGGTGATAGCGGTGTACCGTATGATTTTGTCGCAGCACTGACTAATAAAGGCTGTGAATTGGACCTGCGGCGTCCTCCTGCGACTGTGTTAATCATTTTGCTCTTGTCAATCGGGTTACTTGCTTGTTGTTGTAATGAGCTCGCGGACCCATTGCTGTTCATGAATATCATACTTTGAGGTCTGGATAATGGACTTCTTTCCGTCGAGTTAGATAGCAAGCGGCGTTCGTTGTTCGGAGACAAAGTCACTCCTCGTGCAGCACTCGCTGCGTCGCTGAAGTCATTCAGATCAATGCTATTAATAGAAGATGATCGGGATGGTCTTGTTCTCACAGCGGTTTTATCCTTGGATGAGCTTTGGGATACCATGGAAACTTCGGCAGCTGCCCTTGCTGAGGAACTCTTTCCTGATTGCTTCATCTTTTCTTTAATTCTTTCTCTTTCTCTAATTCTCTCCTTTTCTTTTTCTTTCTCTTTAGCTCTCTCCCTACTCCTCTCCCTCTCTTTCTCTAATGCTTTCTCTTTCTCTAGCGCTTTTTCCTTCTGTAAAAGCAAGTCTTTTTCTCTCTTCAAACGTATTCGATTAACTGCATCTTTCTGCACCACATCTTGAATCAGCAAAAGGTTTGCCAGAGGTAAATTGTATAACTTTCGAAATATAATCTCTGCTGTTAGCCAATGCAGTCCAAAATCGTGAAGTTTATTCACCATAGTTTCTACGAAAGTAAAACTCTGTTGGATAAATGCAACAAACTCAAGAGCACTTTGGCATTCCATAGTGTCAAGTGAGCTCATACGTATGAATCGAGTGATAGTGGCAATAAGAACTCCGTTCTTTTTAGTCGTGTTATAATAATCGTCAATTTCGGGTAGAATCTTTGAGCGGAAAAATGCCAGATTTGGTACTTGAGATAAGAATTTCTGATCATAAAGATGTTCGTAATTGGATAGGTAGATCTGGCGACCAAATTTGCGAATGATTGAATACAAGTCATTCAAACGAAAAGCCCAAAACAAAATTCTATGCAAAGAATACTTAAATTGTGGGAGTTTCTCGAATTCTGCCTGTTGGGACAGTTTCGATAGTGATTTGATCTCTCTGTAACGTGCGATGAGATCTTTGTGGCGGTTGAGTGACGATGTCATTTGAAGTGTTAAACTGAAGAGTGAGCGAATATCCATGTCAATCAAGTTTGCCTCAACCGCATCAGTATCATTCAAGTCTAATGCCAGCACTCCAGGTAAAACAAAATACGGAGGTTCTAATTTGTCACATTTGAGAGTCAAATCCACGTCAGTCTCAAGGTTGAAAAAGGATGATTCGAATAAAACATTTAAGCCATCCAAATAAGGCGCATTATTTGTTTCATTCAGAGCATTTAAGAGTCTCTTCTTATATCCTTCCATACAATTTGCACAAATGAACTTAAAACTCTTCAAGCAATTGATTGAAGACGCAACGGAAGGGAGCTTCTCTAACGGTGATACTTGATAATCTTTGAAGTCATAAGCCACGTGTGTTACTACCGGTGAAATGTTGACGGTAGATGGTTTCAATGCTCTAAACGTTTCTAAAGCAGATAGCTTTGGACCAAAGCCACTATCATTGATGGCAAACACCATCGACGTAAGGCAAACTATGTATTGCATTAAAACAAGTTCGCCTGGGTCTTCTGTCAGGTTTATTCGTTGCAACATCGAATCAATCGATTTTATGACCGCATCAAGTTTCGTAATAGCGTATTTGTATTGGATAATTCTAGCATCTAAGGAACCAAAGGAGACAGGCTCATAGTTTGAAGCAGGTTCCTTGGTAGCTGCAGAGCTGACAGAGACAGACATCTGCACTTGTCACAATCTTGGGAACGGATGAAAAGAGGAGATACGCCTGCTGAAGTTTAATCTTGGACGGGATAAATACAGATCGTGATCATTCGCGTCTCGTTAAGTGTGATTGCGAACAATCTCAGACGGATATAATACACCGGAAGATCATTTCATCCGAAGCCTTAAACATTCTTCTTTTCAAGAATCCTAACACTATATCACCTCAGGACATATGATATTTATAAGAGAAGTATTACATGGTTCATTCAGTATGTGCATGATTTTATTGTCTTCTTTTTGTTTGCTTGGTTCTGTTCTACGAAATTGGAGAAACAATTGTTAGGTTATAATTTGTAGTTAATGGATGATATCCAAAGATCATGTAGATAATGATCAATTGTGACTCAAGAAGAATCTCAAGAAGAATCTTTTAGCCAATGTCTGTTAGATGATAAACATGAAATAAAATAAAAAAAAATAAAAAAAAAGTTTACGCACAACACACAGTCGCACACCAAACTTTCATCTTGCGAAGAAGTTGTGTAAACAAACAAATGAATTCCAGTGACTACAGGGCAACAGCTCTTCTCTCAGAACACTTGGGCTTTGCACCTTTGACTTTAATCGACGAAGTTATCAATGATGTCAATCAGATCATGTACAATTGCACAGATGCATTGGAACGGTTTCTTTTGAAGCGGCGAGAAGTACAAGTGCAAGCACTTCAAAATGCAAAACAGGGATCTGGAAGTAATCCAAATCCAATGAATGGTGATTATGTCAGCTCTTCTGTGTTTCCGTTAGAAGAAATCAAGCTGGGTGCAGCAGAGTTGGAAACCCTTTTGGTTTCTCATGTTGACAAAAACTTTGACAAGTTTGAGCTCTATACTCTTCGAAACATTTTAACTATCCCGAGGGATCTTGTTGAAGGCGGCTGGATAAGGCTCAAGCACCATGAAGGACTTGATCTAGGCTTATCTTTAGAACTGAGTGATGGGAGCAATGCTAACGAAGTTATGAAACAACTTATTTCAAATATCAACCTCGAACTTCAGCTACGCAAAATTCTCCTTTTGCAAAAAGCGAAGGCCACAAAGATAATCGGATTGCTTAGGCAATGCAAACTCTGCATTGAAAAAGTCATTCTGGCTAACAGTGGAACATTACTTCCAGCTGATGTTGCCAAAATATTGAAGCAACACTTGCAGCCTATAAATGAAAATGTTTACTACCTCCTAAATCAGGTGGATGAGCTACTACTACAAGTTTTAAAATTAAATGATAAATTCATGAAGGACAAGTCCTTGGAGGGTGTTCGGGACTTACGTTTCACTCCTACCAATAGAGACTGTTATGTTCATGACAAGACGGTGCGAATCTTGGAACAAATAGGAATTTTGGGTCCAGACGCCGGACATAATTCTCTGGCTACTGTTTTGTACTCTGCCTATGCACACACATAAACTTCATTGGGTAAACGGTATTTTTTTTTGGGTAATGGTAAAATATGGTTTATAATAGTGTTTCTTTATAATACACAGTCCTTGGAAGAAGAAGTGGTGTGCACACGAAAACAGAACCAATTAGCGAGCATTAAATATGAACTTACGTTAAACAAGCACCTCTAGCATTCTTCTGTTGTCATGGCTGCAACATTGAAACCAGATCCAGCTTTGCAAAGATTCAACGCGGCAAAAGAAAGCCAAGGCCACTTTTTCCGTTTTAAGACTAAGTCTGCCCTTTTCAACGTTCTCGTTATGGGCATCGTTCCAGCTGGTTTAGCTTACTTCGCCTACTCTAAGGAAGGTCAATATCCATTTTCTAGAGTGTTCAGAAAGGAGGTCGTTTTGGAAGAGGAATATGTTCCAAGAAAGAAGGATTTATAAGCTACTCGCTACCCTTGGAGGTTTACGTCATTAATCTTTCACCGCACCCTTCGGTTGTATATTTAACATAGGAATAGAAATCAAGAAAGGAACTTAAAGGTATACTATCAGGTAGAAGAATAAGAGCCTAAAGCTATTATCCTTGATTATGTTCAGCATTCTTAACTTGTAGCTGAAACGAGAAAAGACCAGACTCCATATTCTTCAACACTTTGGGCTTTGAACGGCAAGAATATTGCATGCATAGATTCGATGTTGTTTTTGACTTCCGAAGCATAGAAGGTGGCTTGTTTAACTTTGATGCAGACTTTTTTTTTGAAATTGGTGTGCCGATTCCCAGATCACATTGCTTGCTTACCTTCGCAGTTTCATCTTCAAAAGAGTAGTTACCTTCCAATACATGAAATTCGCTAGCACAATCTTCGAAGGTGAAGTTCGGAAGGGAGAATTCTTTAGATGTCTTTAACACAGCAGCAGAAAATGATTTCGTCTTCCTAATAACTCTTGAAAACAGGCCAGTGCGTCCTTCCTCCCTGCTTCTATTAAATTCATGAAAATTGTTCTTAATAATGCGCATAGCATCTTTTGGCGACGTAGTTCGTGATCTTTCTTCCCTTTCCAGTAGGTCAGTCAAAGTGGATGCCAGATCCGTATCTTCGACTTTGATAAGGGGGTCTTGTACTTCGGTAATTCCTTCCATGCTTTTGAATGGATCTTCCATCAAGAACTGCTCAATAGTAATGCCATCTTCTTTAGGTTTGTATAGTGGTACATTAGCGCATTCCGTAAGAGAAGATATGAGACCATTAACTTTATTATGTTCTTCGTTTTTGATGAAAACTTCCCCTGTCGAAATCATAGATGCAGAAAACCGTTCGTGCTGGCCATAGTGAGGTTCAGAAGGGAACTGTGTTTGCTCGACTTGCGGTTGAACCACAGAATTCAACTGAACGCCCGTAGGATATATACCTGCGGCAGGATTCATATCGGCACTTTGTCCAGAAGGTTCAAAAGGGATATTCGGTGACGCTTGAAAACTTCCTTGCATTATTCTGGGCGTTGGAACAATCATTGATGTTGGGGTATGAAGAATGCCACTAGGAGCATAAACAGGACTCAGGGAAAAATCCAGGATATTAACAGGTGTCGGCGTCTCTTCCTTTAGCTTGTACTCCGATGAAGATGAGTTTATGTCATCAGTAGACAATTGAAAGCTATGAAGTTGGTTCGATGTCCTCGGAGATGTACCACTTTGAAACAGTGGCCCCCCAGGCTCAATTGGATCTATGCGGGAGTAATGCGGTGAAAAGGGATAAGACGTTTCTGATGACATGTGTTGAAAAAGCTTAGTATGAAGTAAATAGTATATTCCCCTTATTAAGCGAATGGTGGGGTTCAACGGAAAAATAAAACGAGAGTTGATATTATATTCACTTTAATGGACAAGCGATTGTGGGTGATGAAATTAAATGGACGAGACTAGAAGCCTCTGAATATTGAAGAAGTGGAATGGAATGAGGAAAGAATGGGGAATAAAAAAAGTAAGAATAAGATTTAGCCTAGTGATATCTAACCCCATGAACCCGTACATTTCATTGAAATCTCAATTTTGCTTACTTGCTGAAAGTTCGTTTTAGGAACTACATCCAGCACGATTGAATTCAGACAGGAATGTTTTTGATGACTTAAAAGAGATCCATATTGAAAAGGATGTAGCTACAAACACTTCAAAGTTATTTTTGAAGTATAAATTTGCATCACGTTAATTTTAGCAAAAATTTTGCGTATTTGGATGGGTGGTGTCGAAAGTAGAAAATTTTGAGAAAGTGCGAAGTTAGATGATCCTCTGCAACGAAAGAAAGTTCAACAAACCTTAAATTAGAACCGACGTGCTTCAATTACTATTTTTACAATTAAATAAAAGTTTCGTTAACAAATGATTATATTTATGAAACAAGAACTAAGTATATGCTCAACAATAGATACACTAAATTATGGCAGTTCATTGCGTCCCTTCCATATATCCCAGCCGGACATCCCATGCCAAAACCAAGCCAAAATAAAATAAATAAGTAATAAAAAAATCGTGAGAAATAAATGAACCAAACCTTCCCGTACCCAAAGTCATTCAAGACAGTATTGAACTTCGTATGATCCGAAGCCTAGATATACTTCGCAAAGTGATCGTCGTCAAGCCATCCAACTTTTTCAAACGCAGCAAACAATCTGCTTGCTTTGTTAACATCTATCCTGCAAGCCTTCTGAGCGTCTGTTCTTCTAAAGAGCATTCCATTTTTCAAGCGGTTCACCTTCTCAAAAAATAAACGTCTCTTTGAGTCAAGGTAAACATTACAAGGTAACCTTAAAGTAGAAGCTAGTAAAACTTCTGCTGGATGTAACTGGTTCACATTTGGATCGTTTTTCAAATCCATTGGCTGCCCTTTCCATTCAATCTTAAGGCATCTGTTGTTACCCTTAGGTAACGTAGCATTTGGATCTGGTGAATAGTCTGGAATTGATTCGTCAATCATTGACGCTTGTTGGGCGGCCAAAGGAGAGCCAGCATACCGAGGCTCCTTTCTGACTTTTCTCTTCTTCGCAACTGGCAGCGGAGGCGTGGACGAAGAAACGTCAATCTCAGCAAGTTGAGACAGATTTTCCTTCACGACTCTTCTAGTTCTAATCCTCTCAACTGATTCGGATTCAGACTCAGAACTACTTGACCTTTGAACACGCTTGCGCGAAACAGCCGCATGCGCCGCTCTTCTTTCTGCCATGCGGAAAGAGTGCATTGACAGCTCTTTGGATGAGATCGTTGCGTATTGATTCAAAAGCTTCAATTGCCTCTTTTTATAGCCAGCACCCAAGCCTGACCAAGGATTAACAGTCATGGTGTAACTCCTGTAATCTTCAATCTTGAACGGTTGCTTTGTAGGCAAGTACACCTTGTGGGTGTAGCCCGTAGAAGATGATTGTATACAAGACAGAGCATCAGGCGAGCATGTTTTCTGATAAGGTGATAGAGGAGGAGACAAGATGTCATGGCTCTCGGAAAGCCCAGTTTTTGGAACTTGCGATTTGGAGGATGAGCTTCTTCTTTCTTCGCTATGGTTACTGGGTGTGATGCAACCATCACGATGGCCAAAGGTTCTTGATAGTGGTTGATACAACAATGTCATTGTGAGATAAGCAAAATAAATTGCTTAGTTGAAATTGAAAAAGTAAAGCAAAGAAAACAAAACAATCAAGTGGTCGGAAAGGAAGCCCGGAAACCCTATTAATAAATGAGATCGATAAAACAACAGAAACAAAAAAAAAATGCACAAAATTTGCAGTCTTTCCTTTTTTTTTTTGTATGTAGAAACAGAATTTCTTTTTCTCCCGCGTCATCCAACCTGGCGTCGAGCGTTTCAAAGCAATTGCGCTACGGTTTTTTCGTTACTTCACAGGAGGGTTACACTTATTGCTCAATTCCATGATTAGAAAAAGATTACTGTTTTATTTTCAAACAAAAAAATCTCTAAAACCAAGCTTTTCTGTAATTTGGATTTCGTACGAAAGTCATCACGTTGTGCACAGAGAAGATTAGTCTGTTACATAACGAATGATCGCTGTACGCCTGACCATCTCATGCAGTCTTCTCCATGTTTGTTTCCAACCGATGACATCTTAGTCAGTTGTTGATATGACCTCCATTCAAGCCTCAAAGCTGACAAAATAGGGGATGCCAACTAAAACCGCATTGATCCTCTACTGAAAATAAAGATTGAATATAATTGACCATTAGAAAACACATTTTTAGTCTTTGTTTGTTTTCTTTCTTTTCGCCTATCCTGTGTGGTCACACGCAGATAAGAAAGTCGCTCCACCGTGACTCCCAAATTGGGCATTTCCATTATCGGCATAGCCAGATACGTAGATGCAAGTAGAGATCAGCTTTTCGATTCCCTTCTAGAAGTATAATGTGCTTCCAACTTTATCGTCATTCAAGTAAAGCCAGGTGGAGAGAGAATTTGTTCCGATCACCGGCAACTAACTAAATTGTAGCGTCACGTGAAGATATGACTGTCTTCCTGAATCCGGTAATTGTTGCGCAGTACACTCTGACTAATGGAGTGACCAATAACGTACTTTAGGGAGCACTACGGAATTCCGGTAATAGTAACCCACTTACCGAGAAAAACATCACGTCCTATTTCAATACAGTATGTCAATTTGCCTTTGATTGATATGATTGATCACGTGGACTATAATCACATGACCAACTTCGCTGTAGGCTAACAGGCTCATCGCTCGATTGGTAAGTTGATTGTATGCTTCAGAGGCTGTGGAGGTGTCTATCATTAATTTCTACTAGATCGATTCAAAGAATGCCCGAATACGCTGGTAAACTCTGCCTTGCTCCGATGGTGAGAAGTGGAGAGCTCCCGACTCGGCTTATGGCCTTAAAGTTTGGAGCTGATTTAGTGTGGTCACCAGAAATAATCGACAAGAAAATCAGAACGTGTTCCCGTGTCGAGAACAAAGAACTTGAGACCATTGATTTTATCGAGACGGGGAAAAACGGCTCAAAAAACTCTTTGATCTTCCGCACCAACCGAAAGTATGAAGAAGGGAAATTAATCTTCCAACTTGGTTCAGCAGATCCTGATATAGCTGTGGAAGGAGCACTAAAAGTCATCCAAGATGTAGATGGGATTGATCTTAATTGTGGATGCCCGAAACCATTTTCAACACACGCTGGCATGGGTGCAGCTTTGCTTTCTAACCCAGATCTTCTCTGCCTGATCTTGGAGAACTTGGTGGAGAAGGTTGGTAAACCTTATAGAAAGCCAATTAGTGCCAAGATTAGATTATTAGATTCTAAAAGCGCCGAACCAAGTCTAGCGTTAATCGATAGACTTTGTTCCACAGGAATCACAAATTTAACTGTTCATTGCAGAACAAGAGAAATGCGCAACAGAGAAAGTCCAGTTCGGGATTACGTTTCGCAAATCTATGATCTCACGAACAAAAGAGGAGTTTCACTTGTCATAAATGGGGCGTTTCGGTGCAGAAAGGAAGCCGAACAATTCAAGCAGTTCATGGGTAACGACCAGATAGGGATAATGATGGCAGAGGCAGCAGAATCCAACCCATCGGTCTTCAGCAAGGATCCATTGGCATGGAAAGAGGTTTTGGTAGAGTTTGTAAAAACTTGCATCTCTTGTGATAATCATCCCAGCAACACAAAGTATATTCTTCTCAATCAGCTTCCAGGAAAGTCGAAGTATTACCAACAACTCTGCAAACTCAAAAAGAACGAAGACTTTTTAAAGCTTGTGGAGAGTATTGAGGATGATGGAACGAAAATTTTCATTCGGGTGATGCAAAAAGATCGTCTCTACGATAAGGAAGAGCTCGAGACCATTTTTGGTCCAAAGAAGCGTACTTTGATTACGCCACCCCAAGAAGAAGCGATGATTCATAAAAAGAAAAGGGCAGAATGTGCTTAGTCTTCGGGTATCTTCAACTGATCATATTTATAGATTTTATAATCATGGAATACGTTAAAATTTCAAACACAGGACTGCGGCGATTTATCGAGTCAGCGTTGTAATAGCTATTTACAGTAGAAGTACCACAGACACCAAGAAAAAGAGACGAGAACGTAGGAACACCGTCCATAATAGTCATGCAATTAAGAAAGAAAACGCTTCAAGCCACACCAGGCACCAGCAGCAGCAGTCATGATAGCGGTCGAGTAAGCCATTGGCCTAACACCAGCCGAGCTTCTGAACAAAGCACCGGTCAAGGCACCCGAAGCGAGAGAGTTATAGTCATCGTGCTTACCTCTCAAGTGGTCGATAGATGAGTCAATCAAATTGTACATCAACGCAAGGACACCCGCGGAGTTACCCATGAAAGGACCTCTTTTAGTAATGTGGTTCAAAACAGTGTTCAACTTTAATTTCGGAGTAGCGTTAGCAGGTAAGTTGTTGAGACCTTCTTGCATACCGTAGGCACCACCAAGACCCAAGCCAAGCAAGTAGACAGTACCGGTTCCGTAACACAAGTCATCGGTCCAAGATCTGGAAGCCAACAAGCCATGGGCACCTTCCATGTCCGATAATCTTTCTTCTTCCAAATCCAAGTATTCCACACCTTTCTCCAAACCAGCTAGCGGATGCAACTTGGTGGAGTCTAAGACACCAGGCGCCTGCAAAATAGAGGAAACATCGGACACTTGAGCTGGGTCAAAGCCCAAAGACTGTTTGAGAGATTCTTGATTTTTCTCTTCCTGGGATTTGCCACCGAATAACCACGACATATTCTGTAACTTTCTACCTTTCGTGACTACAACTTCGTTGTATATCGCATTTTTTCACCGTTTTTTTGAGTCGTGAGAGAATCATAAAATTGCACACCGCGCGCCACCAAATTCTCTGGAAGCATGCTTCTGAATTGTTGCAATATCAATGGTAAACCTGTGGTTTGTAATTTTAGTTTGATAGCATAATGTAGAACTATTCAAGTGTAAATTTGGAAAGGGAACAGAAAAAAACGTACAAATCATTAAATTTCAACTATACATGTTCATGCCTTGACTCCTCAGGCTTTTCTAAGGTATCTGTAGCGTCTTCAACAAATTCAACAAAAGCACTTTGCTTGTATTGTCTCCAATCTTCCTCAGAGCCACTGTGAGCGAAAGGCATATCTCTAGCAATACTGACAGACTTCCATGGCTTATTGGAAGGTGTAGCTGCAAAAATGAGATCCATCTCTTCCAAGGTGCGGCCCTTGGTTTCTGGATACAAAAAGTAGAACACTGGGATCATCAAGAAGTTGATTCCGGCAAAAATCAAGTAGGTGTGGTGCTTGATCCTTTCAAAACAAACCGGGGTAATCATCACAACCATGAAATTGAAGCCCCAGTTGCATGCGGTGGAGATTGCTGCAGTCGGTGCTCTTACCTCAAGAGAGGAAATCTCTGGTGGATACAACCAAGTGAGTGACAAAAGAGAAATAGCAAAGAATGTGTTGAAGACAAACAATAGAACGGCTGCGCCAATTGCGGCACCATTGTGACCTTTCTCATCCATTTCCATGGAAACAAACAAAAAGAGCATGGTCAAGAATTGACCGGTAGAACCAATGATGAAAAGGGGTCTTCTACCCACTTTTTCAATAATAAAGATGGGAATGAGAGAAGCCAAAAAGTATTCAGTTCCATTGCATGCAGCTAAAACTCTAGATTGAAATGGTGTCATTCCAATATTATTCTCGAAGATTGTACCAGCATAATATGTGATTAAGTTGATTCCACATATTTGTTGCATGACCTGAGACCATCCTGCCAAGTTCACTCTTTGAAAGTTTTTCTTTTCTCCTTGTCTGAACAAGGCCTTAGCATTGAACTTGTTTCCACCAGCCTTAATTTCCATGTCCAAGCTCCGTTGAATTTCCATAATTTGCTCTTCAACAATGGGGTGCGATTCGGGTAAACTGTAAAGAGATGCAAAAACCTTTCTAGCTTCTTCGACACGCGATTTTCCCATCAACCATCTAGGCGATTCAGGCAACTTAAAAATAAAGCCTATGATAGCCAAGGGAAACACGAGTTGGAAGGCAACTGGGAATCTCCAAGAAATGGAACCCTGATCCCTAGTAAAGTAAAAGGCGAAGTCCATCCAGTAGGAGATTGTGATACCAAGGGTGATCAATGATCCGTGGATACAGAGCAAGCGGCCTCTGCTTTGTGCTTTGGAGCATTCAGCAGCATATAAGGGAACAGTTGATGTGAGAAGACCATTACCCAATCCTGAAATAATTCTCGCAACTATCAAGAATGGGACACCAGAAGCTGCTGCCTGCAACACTCCTCCAATAATCATAATCAAACATCCCAAGAAAATCAATTTTAACCGTCCAAAGCGGTCACCAATATAAATGGTTGATAATGCTGAAAGCAAACACCCAACTTCGTATATGGCAATCACTGCACCTTGTAAAGTCGAGTTCCCGGGGTTTCTGTGGGTATCAATATCTTTGAATGAATCTCTAAATGGTTGCAAAGTCAAAAGAGATCCCATAACACCTTGGTCATAACCAAATAAAAGAAACCCTACACCGCACACAGTTGTGATTGTCTTGTTGAGGGTTTCTCCTTTGAAGCCAAGAAATGTTGGAACTTCTTCAGTAGTGTCATTGTTCTCAGAAAAAGATGTCGTTGAAGAGAGCGTCATATTGCTGATTTGTTTCCTACTGCCTTCTGCAACACGGGGATTCTGTGTTGGTATTTATACGCCACGATGGCCCGTATCTACCCCACACTAACATCTTGGTTATCTCTCAATGCGTCAATAAAAGACGCAATTTTTGCGTTGAACGGTTATGAAGCTATCACACTCCATACATTGTTACCCCAGACATCATGTCTCCTGACGTCATGGACATGCACTTTCTGGTACTGTGGCCACCACATGCAGTATGAGACATATTCGATGCAGTCATCATCTTTATTCGGCAAGTAACAGGAGAACTTCGACGTGTGACTCTCCACTTTAAAACTGAAATTACACACGGGCAAATGGGAAAACCAAGAGATTGTGCTGTTTCTCAAATTGAAGCTTGTAACTTTTTACATGTATTTTGGCTGCGCAGGTGAGCGGAGTGAATTCCATTGTTCTACGCAAAGAAAAAACAACCCGTCTTTCATTTTGGCAACTTGAGGCGCGTAGTCAATAGAATGCACAAAGTTTAAGCCAAGCAATAAACAAGGGCACAGGTCCCCGCCGTCACTACAGGTTACAGTTTGGTTTCGGTGCAGTACCTTTAGGAACGCGCAAGGCTGGCTCCAAAAGTGGTCTTCGAGACTTCTGCAGGATAACTAAAAACTCAGGAGAACTGCCATGAATAGGACTAGACAAAAAAAAAAAATATACAAAGAACATAAGATAAGTCCCACTGTAATGAATACGTGCAGGAATTTTGATGCTTATATAGATCTGGGTTCGTAGAGAGCAATTGGCGGCATACAGCAGAGGCTCAGCAGTATTTAACTTGCCGTTGAGATCTGTCATGGGTATCTGCCACCAACAACGTACGTGGCTTGATTGCCAGACTCATCGTACCCGTATTCATGACTCAAGAGTTATATTTGCCATTACAAACACGCATATATGATCAATGTCTGCACAAGAGATGTAGAAGAAAAATGAACACTACCAAGCTGAGATATATGCAGAGATGCTGAGCACGCTTTTCTGTTAACCGTGTCAAGGCAAATTTTTTTCCCAGAATTTCGATCCTTTCTATGGTTTACCGAGATTATGTACTACCGGTGAGTGAAGAACCAGGAAATCGATGAGATAATTCGCGCTACAGATGAAAGAGACTGTCGCGCTTTTCGCATTTTTGAAAGAGGCTCGCCTTGCTAAGAGTGAACAAACTTAGTAATCGTATTCCACCCTCTGTTTCTCAAGGCCATATGGATTTTCTATCAGTAGTATAATGGACAAGTCGGAATGATTTGTTTTTTCATTGCAAACGCCTTGAAGCATTCGGCCAAAAACTGTGTCGTTACGTCAAGTATTGTGCAGACTTTTTGGGTGGCACACGCCGGTTTTGGGCCAACTTTTTCAATGTTGGGACACAACTATGTTGATTTGGTGCGAAATAACTGGGTCGTTGAAGGTGACGTGCAGGCCAAATGGAACCTGCGCATTTACTTCGCTTGTATAAAATTACCATCCTTCTCCTACTTCTTCTTCGTGAGTTTCCCAAATCTTGGCTAATTGTTTAGATATAGCAACAGTGAACTACGCTTGCGGATATTAGAGATCTTATCTACTTCAACAACAACAACAACAACAACGATTTTTAATTCCTTTGCTAGCGTATTGTCTTTCGATCCACAGTCATATCAATCCAGTATGTATCCGCTTTCGGTGGCTCTCCGTCACTTCGCTTCTCCATTTCCCTAGCAGTCTCGTGTTATGTTCCAATTGCCTATGAGCTCTTTCCCACGCTTCTTGATCGTACTTTACAACATCTACCGTGCCTCCCTCCTTCAAAATGAATTAATAGCGACACCATCAAATTATAAATGGACGCAATTGCTCACGAGAAGCAATTTGAAATAGTCAATTCTCATCCTTCGCTTTTCATCCACAGATAACTTCGATTGTCGTTCAACATCCTCGGAATTGGCCCCACCCTCGGAATTCACCTTGCGCAGGCAAAGAAAAAAAAACCAACATCTCCGCCATTATCCCAACTGCACCCACAAAACCACAACATCCTGGGGAATTGGAGACGACTTTTTTATGCGTGCATCCGGCACCATATTGACCTGTCAAAATACTAACTCTTCCAGATTTCCTCGACTACTGGGCCCCTTCAAGCACTTTGTACATACTAGAACCCCGCATATTACATTATTGCGTGCACATCGCTGTTTGAGCATCCAACAGAACAATCACGCCCCTAAATCTCGAGCCAAATTCATAGGTCAACTCGGGAATCTCTTTAATCAAGCCTATAATTCTATTCAGAAACTCGCCATGCCTCAGTCATTTCCTGATTGCAGCGAGCTCCATTCGGGCTTACCTCCTCATTTTATAGGGTTGAATACTGTCCAGGACGCAGAGCCTGGTGCAGTTACTGACTTTGTTAAGAGTCACCAAGGTCACACAGTCATTTCCAAAGTTTTGATTGCCAATAACGGTATTGCCGCTGTCAAGGAAATCAGATCCGTCAGAAAATGGGCTTACGAGACCTTTGGCGACGAAAGAGCCATCCAATTTACCGTGATGGCCACCCCAGAAGACATGGCTGCAAACGCGGAATACATCCGTATGGCTGACCAGTGTGTCGAAGTTCCAGGTGGTACTAACAACAACAACTACGCTAATGTTGAATTGATTGTTGAAATCGCAGAAAGAACAAAGGTCCACGCTGTCTGGGCCGGTTGGGGTCATGCCTCAGAAAATCCATTATTGCCTGAAATGTTGGCTGCTTCCCCAAGAAGAATCATCTTTATTGGTCCTCCTGGTTCTGCCATGAGATCTTTGGGTGACAAGATTTCCTCCACGATTGTCGCTCAACACGCTAAAGTTCCATGTATTCCATGGTCTGGTACTGGTGTGGATGAGGTGCAAGTGGATGAAGCTACCAACTTGGTTTCCGTTTCCGACGAGGTTTATGCCAAGGGCTGTTGTACCAGTCCTGAGGACGGCTTGGAAAAAGCGAGAATAATCGGCTTTCCTGTCATGATCAAGGCTTCTGAAGGTGGTGGTGGTAAAGGTATTAGAAAAGTCGACGATGAGAAGGACTTCATCTCCTTGTATAAACAAGCCGCTAATGAAATTCCTGGATCGCCAATTTTTATTATGAAGTTGGCTGGTGACGCCAGACACTTGGAAGTGCAATTGTTGGCTGATCAGTATGGTACGAATATTTCTTTGTTTGGCAGAGACTGTTCGGTTCAAAGAAGACACCAGAAGATCATTGAAGAAGCCCCTGTTACCATCGCTAATAAGGACACTTTCCATGCCATGGAGAATGCTGCTGTTAGATTAGGTAAATTGGTTGGATACGTCTCAGCAGGTACTGTTGAATACTTGTACTCTCACGCTGAAGATAAATTCTACTTTTTGGAATTGAACCCAAGATTGCAGGTTGAGCATCCAACAACAGAAATGGTTACTGGTGTCAACTTGCCCGCAGCCCAGTTGCAGATTGCCATGGGTATTCCTATGCACAGGATTAGAGACATTCGTACCTTGTACGGTGTTGACCCACACACCTCCACTGAGATTGATTTTGAGTTCAAGAACGAAAAGTCCTTATCGACTCAACGCCGTCCAACACCAAAGGGCCACTGCACTGCTTGTCGTATCACTTCTGAAGATCCTGGTGAAGGTTTCAAACCTTCTGGTGGTAACTTGCACGAATTGAACTTCCGGTCGTCGTCTAACGTCTGGGGTTACTTCTCTGTGAGTAATCAATCTTCGATCCATTCTTTCTCGGACTCGCAATTCGGCCACATTTTTGCCTTCGGTGAAAATCGTCAAGCTTCCAGAAAGCACATGGTTGTTGCATTGAAAGAGTTATCCATTAGAGGTGACTTCAGAACTACAGTCGAGTATTTGATCAAGTTATTGGAGACCCCAGATTTCGAAGACAACACAATCACTACGGGCTGGTTGGACGAGTTGATTTCCAAAAAATTGACCGCTGAGAGACCTGACCCCATCCTCGCTGTCTTGTGTGGTGCTGCCACCAAAGCGTACATCGCTTCCCAAGAAGACAGGGCCGAGTATGTTTCGTCTTTGGAAAGAGGTCAAGTTCCAAACAAATCTTTGCTAAGAACCATTTTCCCTATTGAGTTCATTTATGAGGGCCACAAATACAAGTTTACTGCTACCATGTCTGCTGATGATACCTACACTTTGTTCTTGAATGGTACAAGAGCAGTTGTGAGCGTTCGTTCTTTGTCTGACGGCGGTTTATTGTGTGCAATTGGTGGTAAGTCGCACTCTATTTACTGGAAGGAAGAGCCATCTGCTACCAGATTGTCTGTTGATGGTAAGACTTGTTTGTTGGAGGCAGAAAACGACCCAACTCAATTGAGAACTCCTTCTCCAGGTAAATTGGTGAAGTACGTTGTTGAGAGTGGTGAACACGTTATCGCTGGTCAACCATACGCCGAGGTGGAAGTCATGAAGATGTGTATGCCTTTGATTGCTCAGGAGAATGGTGTTGTGCAAACAATCAAACAACCAGGATCAACAGTCAATGCAGGTGATATCTTGGCTATTTTGGCCTTGGATGACCCATCGAAGGTGAAACACGCTTTACCCTTTGAAGGTACTCTTCCAGAAATGGGAGAGCCTTCTGTCCAAGGTTCTAAGCCAGTTCACAAGTTCCAGCAGTATGCTACCATTTTGAGAAACATCTTGGCTGGATTTGATAACCAAGTTATCATGAATTCTACCTTGAAGAACATTATTGAGGTTTTGAGAGACCGTGAATTGCCTTACTCTGAGTGGAACTTGTACGCGTCTGCTTTGCACTCTAGATTGCCAGCTAAGTTGGATGAGAGCTTATCCACGTTGATTGAAAGATCTCATTCGAGAGGTACAGAATTCCCTGCCAAGCAAATTTTGAAATTGATCAGCAAAGCTGAGAAAGAATCTGGCGATTCTTTGTTTGGTAGTATCGTTGCTCCGTTGGTTGATATTGCCTCTAAATACGCTAGTGGTTTGGTTGAACACGAATTCAACTTCATGGCAAGCTTACTCAATGACTACTACAATGTGGAGAAGTTGTTTTCTGGTTCCAACGTTCGTGAGGAAGATGTCGTCTTGAGACTCAGAGATGAGAACAAGACAGACTTGAACAAGGTTTTGCTGATTGTTTTGTCTCACTCGAGAGTTTCCTCTAAGAACAACTTGGTCTTAGCTATTGCTGAAGCTTACCAACCAATCTTGCAACAATCTGCTACCATTGCATCTTCCATCAGAGATGCATTGAGAAACATTGTCGAGCTTGAGTCTAGAGGATCGGCCAAGGTTGCTTTGAAGGCTAGAGAAATTTTGATTCAATGTTCTTTGCCATCGATCAAAGAAAGATCAGACCAATTAGAGCACATCTTAAGATCTGCCGTGTTGCAAACGTCGTACGGTGAAGTGTACGCAAAGTACAGAAGTCCAAACTTTGACATCATTCGTGAAGTCGTCGACTCCAAACACACTGTATTTGACGTTTTGCTTCAATTTTTGACAAATCAGGATGTATGGGTTGCAATGGCAGCAGCTGAGGTTTATGTTCGTCGTTCTTACAGAGCCTATTCTTTGGGTCCTATCACTTACGATTTCCAAGAACAAGAGAAATTGCCAATTATTCAATGGCAGTTCCAATTACCATCTCTCGCTACTTCTTCTAATTTCCAAAACTTTAAAAAGGAAGAATCAACATCTATGAATCGAGCAGCTTCTATTTCTGACTTGTCATTCGTTGTGGACAGTAAGACTGGCCAAAAGACCAGAACCGGTATTTTGGTCCCAGTTAGACACATTGATGACATGGATGAAATGTTACTTGCTGGTCTCGAAAAGATTAACCCATCTGATGCTATCACTTTCAAGACTGGTACTACCGAACCAGAATATTTCAATGTGGTGAATGTTGTTGTCAGCAGCATCGACGGTATCGAGTCAGAAGACGAAGTTTTGCAGAAAATCCAGGAAACACTTGACGACAACAAGGACGAATTAAAGAACGCTGGTGTTCGTCGTATTACCTTTGTTTTTGCGAACAATGTTGGAACGTACCCTAAGTACTACACATTCACTGCTCCAGATTACCTTGAGAATAAGGTTATCAGACACATTGAGCCCGCCTTAGCTTTCCAATTGGAGTTGGGAAGATTGGAGAACTTTGACATCAAGCCAATTTTCACCGACAACAGAAACATCCATGTTTACGAGGCTGTCGGGAAGAACTCTCCATCAGACAAGAGATTCTTCACTAGAGGTATTATTAGAACTGGTGTTATCAACGAAGACATTAGTATTAGTGAATACTTGATCTCCGAATCGAACCGTTTGATGTCTGACATTTTGGATGCATTGGAAGTCATCGACACGTCTAACTCAGACTTGAACCACATCTTCATCAACTTTTCTGCTGTTTTCAATGTCTTGCCTCAAGAAGTTGAAGCTGCTTTCGGATCTTTCTTGGAAAGATTTGGCAGAAGATTGTGGAGATTGAGAGTGACTGGCGCTGAAATTCGTATATCTTGCATTGATTCTGCCACTGGTCAACCTTTCCCATTGCGTGCTATCATTAGTAACGTTTCTGGTTATGTCGTGAAGTCTGAGTTGTATATGGAGATTAAGAACACTAAGGGTGACTGGGTGTTCAAATCCATTGGTGCTCCAGGTTCTATGCACTTGAGACCAATTTCTACTCCCTACCCCGCAAAAGAGTCATTGCAACCTAAACGTTATAAAGCGCACAACATGGGAACCACCTATGTGTATGACTTCCCTGAATTGTTCCGCCAGGCCACTATCAGTCAATGGAAAAAACATTCTAAGGATGCCAAGGTGCCAAAGGACTTTTTCTCTTCTTCTGAGTTGATCCAAGATGAAAACGGAGGCTTGACCGCAGTCGAGAGAGAACCGGGGTCGAATAAGATTGGTATGGTTGGTTTCCAAGTCACTGCTAAAACTCCCGAATACCCTCGTGGTCGCCAGTTTATCATCGTTGCCAATGATATTACGCATAAGATCGGTTCGTTCGGTCCTGATGAAGATGAGTACTTCAACAGATGTACCGAATTGGCAAGAAAATTGGGAGTTCCAAGAATTTATCTTTCTGCCAATTCTGGTGCTAGAATTGGTATTGCTGAGGAATTGCTTCCTTACTACAAGGTTGCTTGGAATGAGGATGGCAAACCAGAAAAGGGTTTCAAATACTTGTACTTGACCGCTGATGCATTACATGCTCTTGATGAGAATGGACAAGGTAAAAGTGTGGTTACCGAAAGAATTGTTGAAAATGGTGAGGAAAGACATGTGATCAAATCCATTATCGGCGCTGAGAATGGTTTGGGTGTTGAATGTCTTAAGGGTTCCGGTTTGATCGCCGGTGCTACTTCAAGAGCCTATAAAGACATCTTCACCATCACTTTGGTAACTTGCAGATCTGTTGGTATTGGTGCTTACTTGGTTCGGTTGGGCCAAAGAGCCATTCAAATTGAAGGACAGCCTATCATCTTAACTGGTGCGCCCGCTATTAACAAATTGTTGGGCAGAGAAGTGTACTCTTCCAACTTGCAATTGGGTGGTACTCAAATTATGTACAAGAACGGTGTGTCCCACTTGACAGCTAGCGATGATTTGGCTGGTGTTGAGAAAATTATGGATTGGATGTCGTACATCCCAGCTAAGCGTGGTGCTCCAATTCCAATCTTGAACAGCGAAGACCCATGGAATAGAGATATTGACTATGTTCCTCCAAAGAGTGAGCCTTATGATGTGAGATGGATGATTGCTGGTCGTGAACAAGAAGATGGAAGCTTCGAATCTGGTTTGTTCGACAAGGACTCTTTCCAAGAAACCTTGTCTGGATGGGCAAGAGGTGTTGTTGTTGGTAGAGCCCGTCTCGGTGGTATTCCAATCGGTGTGATTGGAGTTGAAACAAGAACCGTCGAAAACTTGATTCCTGCTGACCCAGCAAACCCAGACTCGACCGAAATGATGCTTCAAGAAGCTGGCCAGGTTTGGTACCCTAACTCTGCATTCAAGACTGCTCAAGCTATCAACGACTTCAACAATGGTGAACAGTTGCCATTGATGATCTTGGCTAATTGGAGAGGTTTCTCTGGTGGCCAGCGTGACATGTACAATGAAGTTCTTAAGTACGGTTCTTTCATTGTTGACGCTTTGGTTGACTTCAAACAACCAATTTTCACTTACATTCCTCCACATGGTGAATTGAGAGGTGGTTCTTGGGTCGTTGTCGATCCAACAATCAATGCTGACATGATGGAAATGTATGCTGATGTGGACTCTAGAGCCGGTGTCTTGGAGCCAGAGGGAATGGTTGGTATCAAATACAGAAGAGACAAGTTGTTGGCTACCATGGAGAGATTGGACCCAACATACGCGGAGTTGAAGAAGAAGTTGGCTGGTAAGTTGGACGCTGACGAATACTCACAAGTTAGTGCCAAGTTGGTTGCTCGTGAGAAGGCTTTGTTGCCAATTTACGCTCAAATCTCTGTCCAGTATGCTGACTTGCACGACAGATCAGGCCGTATGATGGCCAAGGGTGTCATTAGAAAGGAGATTGAATGGCGCCATGCTAGACGCTTCTTCTTCTGGCGTTTGCGTCGTCGGTTGAACGAAGAGTACTTGTTGAAGATGATTGGCGAAGCAATCAACAGCAAGTCTAAGTTGGAGAAGGTTGCAAGATTGAAGAGTTGGATGCCTACTGTTGACTATGAAGACGACGAGGCTGTGTGCAACCATATTGAAAGCAATCATACTAAGTTGCAAGAAAGAATCGATGAATTGAAGAGTGAAAAGAAACGCCAAGACTTATACGGTCTTTTGAAGGGCGACTCGTCTTCTGCAGTGTCTGTGATCAAGGATTTCATCTCATCCTTACCTGAAGAAGAAAAGCAAAAATTTGTTCAATCTTTGTAATAGGGAGGAACACGATTTATTTTACGAAGAATGATAAGAAAGATACGAAGGTGCAATGCTTAATGTTAATGCTAAAAAAATGCTCCCTTTTGTTGTTGTGGGTAGCGAATTATATAAGCCAAATTGAACTTTGCCCGATAAATCACTGTAAATCGCACAAACGTATATTTGCACCACCACAACCACCACTTTTTTCTTCTAGTAATGAGAGTGCAGATATTCTTTGGATGGATTATTCTCATCTGTAGTGTCAATGCCGTAAGTCAAGATTATCTCGTGGCACTCAAAACTAGCGAAACCCTCGAGTCGTTTCTCAATTATGATAAGAGATATCCGGTGGCTCGCAGGCTCAAGAATTTCATCAAAAAATCATTCAACATTGGCACCTTTAATGGCTTCTCTGGTACCTTCTCTCAACAAGATTTAGAGCGGCTTCACAGATGTCCCATGGTCGACGAGATTACACCGGATATCAACGTGACTGCCTTTGACTTACTGGAACAAGCGAATAGTCCTCGCCATTTGTCGCGTTTATCTCTTTTCGACTATGGTAACGAGGACAGAAACTCATATTTTTATGACGAGGGTGCTACAGGCGTGAACGTCAACGTTTACATTGTAGATTCAGGTATCGAAGTCGATCATCCTGAATTTGAAAGCAGAGCTTTTGCCGGGAAAGATTTTACAGGTGAAGGCAGTGGAGACACCAACGGGCATGGTACACATGTTGCTGGAATAATTGGTTCTAAAACATATGGTGTCGCCAAGGACGTGAACTTGATCGAAGTTAAGTGTTTAGATGAGATGGGCCACGGTTCTCTTAGCAGTATCTTAGGTGCGATTGAATTTTCTGTCAATCATAGCAGACATAGCAGGAAACCTGGAGTGGTTAACCTAAGTCTTGGTGCTATGAGGAACTCGGTCTTGAACAAAGTTATCGAATCGGCATCTAATGCTGGGCTAGTGATAGTTGCAGCCGCTGGAAACCTGAATGTGGATGCATGTGCTACACTGCCGGCTTCTGCTAGACTGGCCATCACTGTGGGTGCAATTGATGATTCTACTAACACCATTGCCGAGTTTTCTAATTGGGGACCATGCGTCGATGTTTTCGCTCCAGGAATGGTAGTTTCTAGTGTTAATATCTACAGAAAAAGAGACCCGCAAGCTCTTTCTGGAACTTCAATGTCAGCACCTATTGTTTCGGGTTTGGTTGCTAACCTTTTGAGTGCTGGAGCTTCTCCTGCTTCTGTCAAATCTCTTATCCTTTCTACCGCTCACCAAGGACGAATCACTCAGGCATCTTTGCAAAGGAAGAACCAGACTCCTAATTTAGTGGTGTACAATGGGCTTGATCCTGAAGAAATTGAGACAGATTCCGACACAGACGAATAGTTAATCCTGCGCTATGTTAAATCCGGATATACAATGTGTTGACTCAATGTCCCCTTAAAAACCAGTAATGTAAACGCTCGTAGGTTTCTTCGAACGCCGGCTTATCCAACATCAACCGTTCTAATCATTTCATAGATGTCTAGAATGGGACTGCGAAAAGTAAAAAGATTTTTCGAATCTGTGGAAGCACAACTACTACTTGTAGATTGACGTAAGTTAAATTCAATAAATCTTATTTACTGCTGAATTATAAGGCATTTGAAACTCACTATGATTTGAGAACGTTCAAGCATGGGTAAAAAAAATAATTCCAAAAAATCTGATAGGCGCTACAAAGGCTTGTCTATGAGTTGAACAAGATGCTAAACATTTTATAATAAATATATTTAGTATCCGAAAACTATGAAAATGTAAACGCCTGGTTAGCTCAATCGGTAGAGCATTTGACTCTTAATCTTTATAAGGTCAATCAAAAGGTTGCGGGTTCGAGCCCCGCATCGGGCTTTTTTTGCCTTTTGCGCGTTGAATTTGCAACCGGTCGCAATACTCTTTTTGAATCTTGAAGTAGATCGACACAAACAGGGGCACACACACAAATTCATGAGAAATTGTAAGTACAAAAGATACAGTTCCAATAAAGGTTTATTGCCTCTCCGTTATTTTCTCATCTTTACGATTCTCTAACGCAGGAGTTCCATCGTCTTTCGATATACATTCTGGCGCTTACACAGGCATTGAGCTAAAAGATTTAAAATCCATTTTTACCCACACAAATACGTGGGCGGATACTGTTAATCTACAATCTGAACAATGGAAAGAGGTTGATGAAAGCTGCACTAGAAATTCCAGCAACAGTGAGGAGCCCCCATGTCCTTTTCTTTCTTGGGGACCTGAGGACGAAATTCCCATTACTAAGGATGAAATATACTCAATCCTAGTCCGTTTGGGTAAGATTTTTGGATTTCAAGAAGATAACGTGGAGAATATTTTTGATTACCTAATGACAATGCTTGATTCTAGAGCATCAAGGCTAGGTCCTGTTAATGCTTTGAAATCAATTCATGGTGACTACATTGGGGGAATAAACTCAAACTTCAGAAAGTGGTTTTTTGCTACAGAAATGGATACACAAGCTGGAAACTCTTCAGGCTCTTTGTGCTCTTCATTGGCAGCGTCAAGGAATCTGTGGAAGGCTTATATCCAAAATTTGACCTATTCTGGGATGATTTCACATGTGGGGCTCTATCTTCTATGTTGGGGGGAAGCTAACAACATAAGATTTATGCCCGAATGCATTTGCTTCATTTTCAAATGCTGTGTTGACTTGCTTGAGGCCCATGAGGATTACTTACATATGCAAAATGATCCCAGATCATTCCTCGATGAAGTTATCACTCCAATTTACGAGGCTTTGAGGAATCAGTGCTACCCACAAAAAAATGATATAAGCTTTACTTCAAGAAAAGACCATGAGTACATTATTGGTTACGATGATATGAACCAGATGTTCTGGAGCAAAGGAGGCATCGAAAGAATCATTTTAAAGGATAAAACAAAACTTATGAGTCAACCTATGGAAAAACGAGCTTTGCACTTGAGGTACGTAGATTGGGAAAAGTGTATGGTCAAAAACTACAGAGAAAAAAGGTCATGGTTTCACTCTTTAATCCACTTTAACAGAGTTATACTTCTCCATGGGTCCGTCTTTTGGTATTATCATAGCTACCACGCATATCCATTGTATACACCCAGTTACCTGATTTCGAAGGATAATCAACCATCTATTCAATTAAGGCTTATGGTAATGTCTATGGCAGGAGTCTTTTCTTTGATATTTTGTGCCTTTACCACGTTCTGTGAGTTTATCATCATACCCGCAAGATGGAAAGAGATCCCTGCCATAATGCGATTGGGTTTCCTCTTACTAGGATGTTCTTTTCAAATTGCAGTGTTAAGCATGTACTATTTCCTTGATGTGATGAGCAAAGATTCAATAATAGGGCTTGCATCAGCAGTTTCTCAATTCTTGGGATCGTTATTCACAGTTGTTTATCTATCTTTTACCCCTTCTGCTGTTCTATTTGGTTTCCAGAGTTCCCGTCCGGGATCTTTGGGCTTCAAATCATTTACGGATAACGTGTACCAATTATCAGGAAAGCCCAAAATTGCCTCAATTACTTTATGGCTGGTAATTCTATTCTCTAAGTGTATTGAATCCTACTTTCACTTGGCATTATCTACTAGAGAGCCAATTCGTGAGCTCAGCATTATGAGCCCCAAATGTATAAGTGATGTCTGGATCGGAGGAAAACTATGTTCATTTCAACCACAAATAGTACTAATTCTTTTAACCACTTTGGAGTTCATTCTCTTCTTTGTGGATACCTATTTGTGGTACATCATTTGGATTACAGTCTTTTCAGTTGTCAGGTCATTCTATCTTGGTTCATCTATCTGGTCACCTTGGAGAAATGTCTTCTCTAACTTACCTAAAAGAATAACCAGCAAATTGCTCACACCTTCAACAAAAGTGTTCATACATGACAATGATGATAGGGTTCCTAAATTATGGAACACAATCATCGTATCAATGTACCGTGAACATTTACTTTCGATTGATCAAGTACTGAAGCTACTCTATCGCACTGTTGAAACAGAAGATTCAATCAATTTCGCTGAACCAAATTTTTTTATTTCGCAAGAGGATGAATCTTTAACTTCTAGTTCCTTATTCGACAATTCAGAATCAAATAGAAGACTCAAATTTTTTGCCCACTCTTTGTCAACTCCAATGCCACAAAGCCAAAGAATTCACTCAATGCCATCATTCACTGTCTTGATTCCTCACTACCAAGAGAAAATAATCTTGCTGTTCAATGAAATTCTTAGAGAGGAAGACAAATTATCAAACTTGACAATACTTGAATTCCTTAAAAATCTACATCCATTGGAGTGGAGCAATTATATGAAAGATAATAAATTGATGGCAGAAGAAGATCTTTTAAAACTCAATTCTTCAAAACGTATGAGCTCAGCATCATCGCCTCCTGAACTTATGTTGCAAGATAACGAGGCTATAATGCGTACAAGGTTGTGGGCATCATTGAGAACTCAGACACTTTATCGCACTATTACAGGATTTATGAATTATTCAAGAGCGATAAAACTATTATATGACCTTGAAGAATTCAATGACAATGACTCGTATGATAGAATGAGGCTTCTGAAACTTAATATTATGGCGAAGAGGAAGTTCAAACTAGTGGTGTCATTACAAAGATATAAATTCTTTGATACAGAAGATAAAGAAAATGTTGAATTATTGCTTCGGAGTTTTCCCGAATTGCAAGTTAGCTACATTGATGAAGTTGTCAATGTGCTAGATGGGAAAGTGGACTATTTTCTGTGCTTACTTGATGGCGCGTGCCCAATACTTCCAAATGGAGAAAGAGAACCAAAATACAGAATCAGACTATCTGGATACCCAATATTAGGGGATGGAAAGGCAGATAATCAGAATCATGCCTTGATATTTACGCGAGGAGAATACATTCAGCTCATCGACGCAAACCAAGATCATTATTTTGAAGAGTGTCTCAAAGTAAGAAATGTTCTATCTGAATTTGAAGAAGGATGCATCGGTGATCTCTCTAACTACGATCAGAAGCAAGGAGAAGAGGGTCACCCTGTAGCCATAGTTGGGAACAGAGAGTATATTTTCTCTGAAAATATTGGAATACTTGGCGACATTGCGGCCGGAAAGGAGCAGACATTTGGAACCTTGTTTGCACGAACTCTCGCATATATTGGGGGAAAGTTACATTACGGTCATCCAGATTTTTTGAACGCAATTTTTATGACCACCAGAGGGGGTGTTTCAAAAGCTCAAAAAGGGCTTCACTTAAATGAAGACATATACGCTGGGATGAATGCCCTTTTCAAGAGGTGGTCGAATAAAATATTGTGAGTATATGCAATGTGGAAAGGGTAGAGATCTTGGATTTACTTCAATTTTGAATTTTGTTACCAAAATAGGGGGCTGGGATGGGGGAGCAAATGATTTCACGAGATTACTTTTATCTTGGAACGAAGCTTCCAATGGACCGTTTCTTGTCATTCTACTATGCACATGCTGGATTCCATATAAACAATATGTCAATCATATTGTCATTGCAGTTATTCCTTTTGGTTGGCATAAATTTAGGAGTACTCGCAGATTCCTCTACAATTTGTGAATATAATAAGAGCCAACCCTTTACAGACCCGAGGAGACCAAAAGATTGCTTGAATCTTATACCAGTCTTACTTTGGCTTAGGAGGTGCATTATATCAATATTTGTTGCTTGCATTATTTCCTTTCTTCCTTTAGGATTTCAAGAACTTACAGAAAGAGGGTGTTACACCTGTTTGAAGCGGTTAGGAAAACAGATATTGTCGTTCTCTCCTTTTTTTGAAATTTTCGTCTGCAAGATATACACTCACTCTTTAGTAAGTGATTTAAACTATGGAGGAGCGCAATACATAGCAACAGGTAGAGGATTTGCTACGCAAAGAATATCTTTCGTCCCCTTGTACTCACGATTTGCTAATGCTTCCTTAAAATTTGGATTTGAATCATTTGTCCTAATGATATACATCAGCTATTATGTTTGGAATTTTTCTCTACTTTATTTCTGGATAATTGTATGTGGCCTTCTCTACTCTCCATTTCTTTATAATCCGAATGAGTATGTGTTCATGGATTTTTTTCTCGACTACAAAGACTTTTGGACGTGGCTTTTCTCTATAATCGAGAAGGAAGAGAAGCAAACGTGGTATAGCTATACAAAGTTGAGAAGAGGACAAATTTCTGGTTTTATCATTAGTCTGTTAATGAAGAGGGACTTTAATGTCACATCCGCTAATAGACCTTCAAGGTTGCATTTGATAACGACTATCATCATACCCAAAACATTGAAAACACTAGTCATAGGCTGTGCTTATTTGTTTGCTAACTGTCAAAGTGGATTCACACCTGGCTCTTACTCGTATGCCACAAAGCGAATACTATTAGTTTCCCTCTTTCCTCTCGTTTCTAACATGGCAATATTATTGACTTTCTTCGTGTTCTCATTAATTTTTGTTCCATTTTTCACGATGCTTTTCAAACATCTTCCAAGCGTAATATTTATTATTGTTCATCTGTTTTCCATCTTAAATTACATCATATCTTTTGAGCTAGTATGGTATCTCCAAGGCTTTAATATTTGCCAAACCATCCTCTCTATTATCCTTTCTATAAAGGTGCAAGAGTTGATACTAGAAACCATGAACATCACCTTACTAAGTCGTGAGCTTGACCATGAAAATGTTTGCAAAGCTTGGTGGTCAGGCAAATGGGTAACCGCAGGTCTTGGATGGAGAATAATTCCACAACCTTTCAGAGAATTTGTTTGCAAGATAAGCGAATTGACTTATTTTGCAGAAGATTTTTTTTTGGGACAATTTTTGTTCTTATCCCAAAGTCCCCTATTATTAATTCCCTATATCAACAAATGGCATAGAATGATGCTATTCTGGTTTAAGCCGGATACCGAAAAAAATCAAAAGGGAACATATCAGGCTCAGAAAACTAAGAGTCATTTTGCTATTGCCTTCTTCATCGTATTCATAATGTGCTCGTTATTTAGTGCCTTGCTCGTTATCTTCCCAGTATTCCTCGCTGGAAGGTACGATATAGACGGCATAATTCCGTCTTGGCTCCATGAATTGAAACAGCCAAAGCGGGGCTCAATTGCTTATCTGGCGCAATATCCTGGATTAAGAAAATAACGATTTGAATGAATCGAGACATGCAGGCAGTGATCGTTGAACAGCTGTAAAAAGATCCAGTTTGAGTGAATCGGGACACATTCTAGA